GTGTAGTGACTGTATATTTTGTAGACAAACACAGAAGACAATTTTCGCACAGCAATTTCTATAAACAGTCATGAAGTGAACGACTAATTTTATCTGGGGTATTGTTTTTCAGGACACCAGAAGAAACTCCTTTCTCTTCGAATTCTGCCATGTGATCTTTAACTTTAACATCCACCTGAACAGGAAATATGGCCTTGGTTTAAGTTCTCATCCAAAGGGCAGCATCTCCAACAATGCAGTGCATCCCCACCACTGCAAACGCAGTGTCAGCCTAGACCATGCAAGTTCAAAGTCCCATAACCAGTTGAGCTAAGAAAAAACCCCTGAGAATTATTGTTGATATATACTTATTTTAAAACATTATCCTGTGAAGTTGTTTATCCTGTGGTCCGAAACATTGACTGGGACCTCATCCAGACGTGAAAGGCGCCATACAAATGTAATTTTGTTATTGTTGTTTACTTACTTGATTATTTGCTTTAACACTTTTTGTCCTGTAACTCTTTGGATCTACCACAGCAGTAGTCCTTCACGATTTCATACTGTAGAAAGAAATTTGCAGGATGTGACCACTCTTCTTACAATTTCTGGAATATCTGTCACGTGTGATGTTCTTTTATTCTCCCCCACCTGCACTCAGTAATACATTACATTGACAGTGATCTGGCTGATAACAATGGAAGTTATTTTCCCAACAAAAATGATTGAAAATGCAAGTCTTACCTTCAGAACACTGCAAAAACAGAATGTAATATTATAATAATAATCCTTGCATTTGATATAGCACTTTTCAAAGTGCTTCATCGAATATATTATAAAACGAATTGACTATATATTTATGGGTGAAACGCGGCAGCTAATTGTGCACAGCAGTGTCCCACAAACAATCGTGGATTGAAGTGACCAATTTATTATTGATTTTTTTTCTTGAGGGATTATTATCAGGCGTGTAGAGTAAGGAAACTTGCCCAAGGTTTCGTCTGCTGTGAATCGAACCCAGGTCTCTCGCTTGCGAGCCGAGAGCTCTAACCACTGAACAACAACAACAAAATATACATTTTAAAGTGCCTTTCACATTGGGAGGACATCCCAAGGCACTGTCCTTCTGACGTGAATCTCACAAGTTCAATAACAACGACAACAAGATTACATTTGTATAGCGCCTTTCATGTCGGGAGGACGTCCCAAGGCGCTGGACAGAGTACAGCATTTCAGACCCAAGCTGGGGTCGGAGGGGGAGAAGGGAGGGGAGGGGAAGGGGGTGGCCGATGGCATGGTTGAAGAGGAGGTTCTTAAGGCGGGACTTGAAGGAGGCTAAGGAGGGGGTGAGGCGGAGTGACTGGGGAATGGAATTCCAGAGGTTGGGGGCAGAGTGGCTGAAGGCTCTCTTGCCAATGGTGGGGTGGGTGGGTCGGGGGACGTGGAGCAGGCCAGAGCCGGCTGAGCGGAGGGAACGGGCGGGTTGGTAGGGGGTTAGGAGGTCGCAGAGGTAGGGTGGGGCGAGGCCATGGAGGGCTTTGTATGTGAGGACCAGGATCTTAACTGGATCCTCTGAAGGATAGGGAGCCAATGGAGTCGGGCGAGAGTGGGGAAGATGGGGTCACGGAGTTTGGTGCGGGAGAGGACACGGGCTGCAGAGGTCTGGATTATCTGCAGCCTGTGGAGGGAGGAGTTGGGAAGGCCGACAAGCAGGGCGTGTGCATAGTCGAGCCTGGAGGTGATGAAGGCATGAAGGCACAATAAATGTGTTGAACTGAGCAGGGATGTTGAAAACAACCATGAGCATTACTTCGTAATGCATTTTAATACATAACAACTTACATTTACACAGTGCCTTTCATCTAAAATGACATCAGAAAGTCTTTGCGAAATGAGAATAATTTGGAATTAAGTGAATAGTGTTATGGCAGGCAAACTTGATATCTAATGTGTGCTAGCAATGTGCCATTGCACAAAAAACAATGAGTAACCAGTTAAAGTGAATATAGGGGGTGAAGTTGGACATTGGTCAGAACAAACAGAAGTATTTAAGACACTCCTGAAATATGACATGGGATCTTTTACCATTGACCATGATCATCGAGCATGAAACACGAGCTAGAGTGAACCTTGGTTTAATGACTCATTCAAAAAGAGATGATGATCTGGAATAAATAATAAATAATTCTTGCATTTAACGTAACAGCTTACCACATCAAAATGTCTCGAAGTTCTTAACAAAAAGAGTTACTTTGAAGTACATTGAGTGTTTTTTATGTAGGCAACTAGGCCAGATAGAATTGAGGTCCTAAATCCAGCCAGTTCAGTTTAAACTTATTTTATATTGCAAAGTTGTCACATATTAAAGATGCTGACGTTAAATATATTAACCCAAGACTCTTGGTGCTAATAAAATGTGGTTGAGCTTGACTTATAGGACTGATGACATAAGGGTTTTAACTTTTAGACTGCTGACAGTTCCAGGAAAATCACTGTCTTTGTGTGCCAACTGGTCTTATTTGTTTTAGCTTAAATACCGTGATACTAACAGCAACACCAATATTACAGTAATATGGTTATGCAAACATCAAGATCAGCTTTATTCAGTAATATGAACAATTGGCATTCCAAGGCTGAATTTACCGCGTAATGTCAGATTTTCTGCCAATATAAAGTTTTTTGTATGACCTAACACTTAGATGCAAACTCCATGTCAGAGATCGATTTTATTGCATCAAATGCTTGGTAAAAGTGACACGTAAAGCCAGTTTTCACCGAAAAAAGGTTTTCAACAGAAAGGTTCCCATTTTTGAATGAATAGGGAGTAAGAAAATATTGTATAATTAATAAGAGGGCAAGCACAGTTAAAGACTTTAAATGTTTCATTTTAAATTGTTTGCTTTATTTATTGTAGCAGATTAGGGTTAATCTTACACAATGAAGCGTTTCTAATATTTGAGTAGTTTTATTTCTGCAATGCTTTATCTTATCATTTTATTGGGGTCTTAGCAAGTGAGCTAAAAGAAATTACAGAACCAATCAGCCCAGAGGAACAGGAGTGTTGGAGGAATGAGTTATGCGCTATGAGTGAACAAACTAGAGCTTTCAGTTTTGAAAGGTGACATCTCAGAGGGAATCTGAGGTATGCTCTTTAAGCACTGCAAATTAGCAGCAGTAAGTGACTGACGGCCAAGACATGAAGGAAAGAAACCATATGTCTCACAGGTGCATCCAGGCAACTAGGAACAAGCATGGACCAAGTCGAGTGCATGCTGCTGATGTGACAATAATCACGATATTTGACAATAAAGCTATACTATTAACATGTACAGAAAACATACATGGCGGATCACATGAAGCAAGTGATTTTGTGGACTATATTCTGTTTCTTTTGTGAAACACAAGTTGATTCATCAATGTGGAAGTGGCCACGATCTGAAAAGCAAAAAGGCCACGTGTGGCCAATGGCCACTCGACTGGACAGCCATGTTACAGGGATAGACAAGATTTCAAATAGGATTGAAGAAGTAAAGGCACAACATTGCTGAACAATGCTTAATAATAATAATAATCTTTGCATTTGATATAGTGCTTTTCACGTCTTCGCGACATCTCAAAGCGCTGCACAGAATAGACTGTAAAGTGAATTGACCGTATATTTGTGGGCGAAACCTGGCAGCCAATTGCGCACAGCAGTGTCCCACAAACAGTCACGGATTGAAAATGACCATTTTTTATTATTGTTTTGTTTTGGAGGGATTATTATTAGACGTGGAGTAAGGAAACTTGCCCAAGGTTTCGCCCTGGCTGGAATTGAACCCAGGTATCTCGCTTGCAAGGCGAGTGCTCTAACCACTGAGCTACAGGACTCCTTAAATTCATTGGCTGCATTGTAAATTTTAGTACAGGAACTGTTAGTATTCACTGCTGTGTTAAATCTACATTGGAAATGTGGTATGGCACGAAACGCACTAATATAGCCTTACTGCTGGAAGTACAATTTTTCATGAGGTATTAAATTTTACTGATGCTATAAACAGAAGACCTAAATTTTCCAGCACTAAAATTTAGCCAAGAGAATAGACAATGGGCTTTAATATCCAATGATTTGTGAGAGGAGTTGGAAATAATGACTTTTGCTGGTAACCGGAGTCAATCTGGACTCCAGTGGTTGGAAATAGATTGAGTTGTAGCAGAGTTTCTCCAGGTCAGTGTGACATACTTCAGGTTACATTAAGGTGTCTCTCTTTGTGAATCAAACTTGTCGATGTTAGGAACTCCTGTTATGAATCACTGCACATTAAAACTTGAATGCTTGAATATCAAAACCTTAAATCACAAGAGAGGTTCAGATGAATAAGGCTGTTCCGCCTATTTTATCTCATCCATCCAGCACACCCACTCTCCTGTCCTCCCATTACAACATCAAGCTGGTTTTCAATTAAAAAAACAATTAAGGTCAGGATTCTGGTAACCTGTTATAGTCATTAATTACCCACTGGTTAAAGAAATACTTCCTGGCGTCTTTCCTAAAATTGCCCTTTGCAACTCTGAAACCTGTTGTCCTTTTGTTCTACTGTCTCACTGCATCCAAAAGTATTGTTCTCAGTTTATGTTCTCAATCTCAATGCCATTTAAAACCCAGCGATGTGCAGTGATTCACACCAGGAGTTCCTAATATCAATAAATTTGATTTGCAAACAGAAGCACCTGAATGTAACCTGAAGTGCATCAGACTGACCCACAGGAGCTCGGCTCAGACTCAATCACATGCCGGCATAAACCAGTTGAGCCAAATGGCCTGTTTCTGTGTGTATATTCTAATGTATTTGTATCACGCAGAGGGGATCTTGAGAAGGTACAATTATGATTCCATTCCTCCCTATTGAAAATATGCAAATGATATAACAAATAGGGAACATGACAATTATCATCACACGTATGACTCTGTTGATACATCTCTGTGTAGACAGCAGACTACATTTATTCGACAAAGGACTGTCTAAGGAGGACACCATTAATATTGTGGCATAACAAATTAGTTTTATTGACATTCTTATACAGCAGTATGATTGTACAGGAAGTGCAGCCTGAGTATCATGTGACTTTCAAAAACAGCCAGAACAGCCAATTAATGTGTACTTGTCCGACAGTGAAATTCAATAAAATATTCCACCAATTCACGGTAGATTCTCTGTGAATTTGCAGCTGAATTTGAATACAATTCATGGCTCTCACACATTATTTGTGAAGATGTGCTAATGAGGTTACATTAGTTGCCTTTAACAATAAGTGGCCCTGCCAAGAAAAAAAAGGCTTTAATTGCATGAGATTGTCTATAATCCATTCATTTGGGAGGGGGGAGGGGGGAATGTTTATTTACAAACTTAAAAAAAACAAAACAAGCAGGAAATAGTTACAACGGTTCAACATCAATTAATTTTCTTCCTTTCTCAGTCAGTTCAGAGATCAGGAAACACTGTCCATAATATTTGTTAATCAGGCATCCTCTTTGCACATGCACACTTTGTGCTTCTCATCTAGTAAAGATCAGGGATGCCTCTTGTTCACTGCTTTAATACAAGTCCTAATGAGAAGTGAGTGTCTCTTTCACTCGAGTCCAAAAGTGCTGGTTTCTTCCACTGCCGTGAGCAGCTTTTCATATAGCATAGAATACGACGGATATGGCGGGAGATCCAAGCGATTGAAACAAGTATGTGCCCTGGAAGAGTGCAGAAAAACAAGCCAGTAAATTCACTGCAGCTGTTAGCATATTATTAAATAAATAACACACTTCCAGAAGTAATAGAAGTTCACTGATGAATATGACATACTTTCTTCATTGCAATAATACAGCATTTAATTTCCATACATTATTTAAAACTGTTCAGGAGAATTGTCACAGAGACTTTTATAGTCACTCTCCACCTGTGTGAGTAACTTGTGTTAGTTACTGTCCATTTGTACCATTTACTTGTGCAGTTACTGTCTACCTGGCAGTGCTGTCAGTTTTACTCAGCTGGTGAAACTCTCAACTAATGGAGCAAATGTTGTATATTTACAACCTCAGTCAACTCATTCTCTGGTTGGACACTCCAGTGCAGTACAGTGAAAGTGTTGTAACATCTTTTAGATAATAATAATTCTGATATTTGGTATAGCTCCTTTCATATCAAGAAGTTGTCTCAAAATGTTTCAGAAGATTTACTGTAAAGTGTAGTGATTTTGCATTTTGTAGGCAAATGCGACAGCCAATGTGCACCCAGCAATATCCTGCAAATAGCCATGAAGTGAATACTGATTTTATCTGAGGGATTGTTGGACAGGACATTGGGAGAAATACCCTCCTATTTTCAAATAGAGCTATGAAATATTTAATGTCCACCTGAACAAGGGTCCTCAGTTTTACATCTCAACCGAATGATAGGATCTCCAACAATGCAACACACTCCATCATTGCATTGGAGTGTCAGCTCAGACTATGTGAGTTCAAACTCTTGATGTGGAACTTGAATCAATAACCATTTCACTCATAAACTAGTATGTTGCCACAATGATATCTAATGACAAATGAGATGATAAATGAAATTCTTGTCTTCCTGTTCAGGTAGATATTAAAGGTTTCCTAACACTAATCAAAAAGTGAACCTGCCAAGGGGGAAGTTGAAAGAGATCCAGGGGATTAATTGACTCATCACTCACCATGTTAACAGGGCTATATTACTAAATCACCTGTGTTCAGATCACCTAGAAGTCATGATCAAGTTGTACAGTGCCCTGGTCAGTTCTGGTTGCTCTGACATAAGGAGGTGATAGATGAATGGTGGAATTTGTGGAGTCCTATAGCTCAGTGATTAGAGCACTCGCCTTGCAAGTGAGAGACCTGGGTTTGATTTCTGGCAGGGCAAAATGTTGGGCAAGTTTCCTTACTCCACATGCCTCTGTTTACCTAGCAGGAAGTAGGAACTTGGTTGTTAGTCAATTGGCTGATCGTTTTTCTGGTAATAATAATCCTTAAAACAAAAACCCAATACTAATTTGGTCACTCAATCCATGACTGTTTGTGGAACACTGCTGTGCGCAATTGGCTGCCGCATTTTGCCCACAAAATATACAGGCAATTAACTTTACAGTATATTCTGTGAAGGGCTTTGAGATATCTAGAAGATGTGAAAAGCACTATATCAAATGCAAGTATTATTATTATAGGTGCAGCACAGATGAGAGCAACAACGATGTTTACCAGTGTTAGAGTAAAGAGCTTTGAACAACAATTACACAAGCTAGGGCTCTTCATTCTTAAAAGGAGATGCCTCACAGTAGAATCTTTGAGAATTGTACAGAATATTAAATGGATTTGAGAAAGTAAACCCAGAATAATATGTTCAGATATACTGAGGTAGCAGAACTGGAAGGCACATGTAAAGGGCAATTTCAGGTCAGAAATCAGGAAGTATTTATTTTCCCAGAGGGTAATTAACAACTAAACATGTTACCAGCAAGGGTGTTTGTAGCCATTACTCTGGACTCATTTAAGAAACAACTTGATACTCTAATAGCGGACAGTAGATTGGCATTCCAGATACGATCAAATGGGCTGAAAGCCTTCTTTGTCCAAACCTCTCTCGTGATCATGTGCTCTGAGAAGAGAGTTTTTCCTGGAATCCTGGAAAGTGATTCTCCAGATTAATGGTTCAGGGCTGGTTGTCGGAATTTGCTGGCACAAATAGATACAGGATCTGCCTGCAAAAAGGGTCACTACACTTGACAGTAATTAGGGACTTCTGCAACCTCAGAGTTATAATCTGAGCTTTCTTCTGGTGAAAAGCTGATTTTAGGCAGATCATCAGTGGCTTAGTGGTGCTCCTCCCCTAGGAGATTGCAGTTATGGATAGTTTGTGGTCAGATTGGGCATTGGCCAGTCCTGCTGATCGCTGTTCATCCAAAATAGTACATTCCTCTGTATTAAAAGTCTTGTATGATTTCTTAGCCAGAAGCCTCGTCTGTTTAATATTACTTTCTGCTTTTCATTACTAAGTTTCATATCAAAGCGGCCAGCACATTTGCCATTAATTTCTGTGCCTTAACCTCCTTTTAACGCTATAGATGTAAAATGCCTTTAGAAAATACCGATAAATTATATCAACCACATAGCACTTGTCCACTAAGTTTTAAAAGAATCCCAGTAGATTTGTAAGAAATATTAGGTTTTAAATCAATGCTGACTACTCCTTATGGCCTCTGCACTCTGTAAATGAATATTGTCCCATAAAATATTTTCTTCACTCAGTGATGTTGGAATAACTGGTCAATGATTTCCTGATTCATGTATCAAGCCTTTTTTTAAAATGTTGGGCAATCCTGTAGTTCCCAGGTACAGATCTGACATCTATGGAGCTCTTAAAAAAATTCAAAAAGAATTCCGTCTATTTCCGCACACTTCCTCCAGTATTTTACAGTGCAATGCACCTGAATGCCCTAAGCCATATTTAACTCTTCTAGTTTCTTTATTGCACATGTGGTACTGACCTCTACATATGTTATGCATTCCAAAGTCAGTTTGCCCAGATCTTAAATCTTTCCACAGTCTTCACTTGTGAAGGATTTACTGAACACATCTGTCTTTCCCAACCCCCATCATATGTATATCTAATTTAACCCCTGAAGTGTCTATCTGGTCAAAAACATTGTCTTTTGCTCTTTCTTTCGGTCCCTCTTTCTGTTATCTGTGCTGCTCACCAAGAAGCTCACAGTGGGTAACTGGTACTTGGACCTATGCTTGTTAGATGTTAAATGACCAACTAATGACTATGCTCCTGCATTGGGGGTGGGGGGGAGGTAAATAAGGGCTCCTTGAAGGTGAACTGGCTTCATGGTGAGATGCTTGGAAACAGAAAGTCAGAATTGAGTCAACCCGCTGTGGTATTCTCAGTAGTCTGGTTCCTGAGCCAGGTGGGTCCATAGTACTCCAAGGCTACTGCTGGTGAGAGATCAGCCAGCCTGGCTGCTCAACATGCCTAGGAGAGCTAGATTGGTTGGTCACTTGGAGTGGGGATTCTTCCATGTAGCTCCTGTTAACTCTACAAGCCAAGGTCCTAATTGATAGGGAGGTTCTAGCTGGACAAACAGTGGAAAACTTGCTCGACAGTGCTTTCAAAGGCAAGATATGTGATGTTAGCTGGGTAAACTCCAGCAATACCCCAATGCACGTTCTAGTGTCTTCAATCCTTGGCCCTTGCCGATCTGCCTCTATTATAATAGTAAATAATAATAATCCTTGCATTTGATATAGCACTTTTCACATCTTTTAGATGTTTCAAAGTGCTTCACAGAATATATCATAAAGTGAATTGACTATATAGTTGTGGGCAAAACGTGGCAGCCAATTGCGCACAGCAGTGACCCACAAAGAGTCGTGGATTGAAGTGACCAATTTTATTGTTGCTTTTTTTTCTTGAGGGATTATTTTCAAGCCTGTGGAGTAAGAAAACTTGGCCAAGGTTTCACATGCTGGGAATTGAACCCAGGTCTCTTGCTTGCAAGGCGAGCGCTCTAGCCACTGAGTTACAGGACTCCTGTATTGTATTTCAATATGATACAACACAAAATCACATTTGTAAAGCGCCTTTCACGTTGGAAGGACGTCTCAAGGCATGGGTTAAGATAATACTCTCCTGGATTAAGTAAACAAGATGTGTCCCTACATGGAGAGAATTCATTTTCCATTCTAGACCCACTTTTCATGTGTCTGTGGCTTTCATGTGTGGAACTCTGTCTGGTTTGGATATTCTTATCATAGAATCATAGAATCGTACAGCACAAAAAGAGGCCATTCGGCCCATCGAGTTTGTGCCGGCTCTTTGAATACAGCAATTAATGTCAATCCCACTTCCCAGCCCTTTCCCCATAACCCTGCAAACCCATCCTCCTCAAATACCCATCCACCGCGTTTTTAAAAATAGTTATCGAATCGGCCTCAACCACCCTTTCAGGCAATGCGTTCCAGATTCGAACAACTCGCTGTGTGAAAAAAATTCTTCTCACCTCCCCTCTGCTTCTTTTAGATACTATTTTGAATCTGTGACCTCGAGTCACCGACACACCCACCAGTGGAAACAGTTTTTCCCTTTCCAACATATCAAGGTGGAATCATGTTTAATGCATTGACTCTAATCCACAGGTTTGGTGGTATGAAGAGAAAATCACCTTATCAGACTTTCACTATGTCCTACTTATTCATCCCATCCCATTATCTCTACCCACACAATAGTATTTACTGCACTGGGCTTTTCCTCTCTTTTCCTCTCAGGCTTCCTTTCTTTTTGATGCCTCTCTATAGATTTTTTTGTGTATAGCTTACTTCGACTGCCAACTCCCAGACCTGTTGACACACATTCAAATAGTTATTGAACCCTGCGGATTTTTAAAAAATTGTAATTGCTTCATTCTTTCACCTGAAAAAAGCTCTTTTCAGCCTTTAAAATACACACCTCTATCCTTTCACACATCCCCTGAAAAAACTATCTTGTGCAACAATTCGTGTTGAATGTTGTAAAAGTGAACTAGAGGAATAGATACGACCAAAGTATTCAAATTTCTTGTAATCTTGATTAAAACAACAAAACAAAAACAGTATTTTGAGGGTTTGATTTAAATATAAAAATGCTACTGCAGCTCTCAAAGGAGCGTTTAAAACAAAGTCCTTCTCTGATGTTGCTATCAGTGCATTAATGAAATATTTATCATTTGTTGTCCAGCCTATTGAGACATTCTTATACATAAAATACACTATAGAAATCCAAGTGGTTGATATTAAAGTTAATAGCTGTGGAAGTGCAGTATTCAACATACAGTCCCGACTTGTACAATTTAGTTTATTATACACTATGATCCCGAGCTGCTTGTGGGGTCCAGCTCTTCAAGCTCCATTTCTTTATCGTTTGCATTTTCTCAATTTGCTATGCTGTGCAAACCCAAATAAGAAGCTGTCAACTCTCAGTAATCTATTCCCTCTTGTCTTAATCCCTGTGCAACCAACAATGGAGATTAACAAACACACTAGGCACTGAAATGCAAACTTGAGGACGGCTTTATATTTTGCTTTACAATGACAAACAAAACTAAAATCCCTCTTTGGGGCTTTGCTTTTAACTGGAGGGGAGGTGGGGGTGGGAGAGATTTATTTCAACACATTTCCTTTGTTAAAGGATGATTCTGAGGCATTTGTGAGCAGTACTTGAATCTGATGGTTTAATGAAGATTTGGGATGCAATTAATTCATCAACATTTCGAGTGCAATCTTACATTGAGAACCCCAGGTAAAGAGTGTAAATCTATACTGTCTGAATCATTAAGCTTGAAACAAAAAGAAAAGGAAGATACGTGTAGCGCTTTTCAGACGTTCTCCCGACATGAAAGGCACTATATAAATGATAATGCATAAATTGAGGTTAGATAATGTAAACCATTGGTTTTAAAAGTCTGTAAAGTATAGGATCAAGGAAAAACAGAAGAAGGTAAGCAGTTTAAATTCTTCAGATCCTAGGAATCAAAGGTGGAGACAGTGTAGTGAGTGTTGATTTTAGCACTGTAAGGTTACAGGGGATAGAAGAAGGTGTAAATAGGATATTTGGAACTTGGGAGGAACAAGAAAAGGGTTTCTCAAATGATTAATGCCCACAATAATATTGATAATATAGACAAAGACAAGAAGAGATGGATAAGGAGAATACCCGGGTCCTAATTTCCACTGTGAGGCTCCATATAAGGCCCAGTAAAGCTATTTCCCAGTGAGTCACAAAAAAGGTTCCAGATTCAAATCATGTCTTGCTAAGTTTCCTGATCTCAACAACATCAACAAATTACATTTATATTTCAGTCAAAACAACAGTGAGGTATAAGGTTTTCAGCACCCTTGGTTGGGGTGAGGGAGAAGTGGAGAAGTTACACCGAGTTCCCATTTGCCATTCAGTGGCTTCTGTAGACAGTATTCATGTGTGGACTTTGTAAGGATTGTACCTAGTTATATCCCTCTATAGCTGGCTCTCACAACCCAATCTTACACATGAAGAATGAGCATTCAGATGAGCTATAAGAGTTTCTGTTTTTAACTGTAGGGGGGTAGAAAATATCATCCACCCCCAAAAAATATTTGCTTCCTTGCCTTGTTTAAATCAGTATTTATGTAGTCATTGGGTTTTCTGATAAACTGCTACAAAAGTAAATTCTTGGTGTCCTGATGTTTAAAGTGAACATGGTTTAATAAGCTTAAAATATCTGTATGTTTGCATATTGTGTGATTCAAATGTTCCTTCTCTCTTTATTAAGACATCTAATATTAAAACTCCTGTGACTATAACCAGGATATTAGAGTGGCACAAATCATAATTCTGTCTTGGAAAAGATTGGGGAACTGACATTTGTCCTGTTGAATTTGTGTGTCTCACCAGAGGAATAGGCAGCAATGGTAACAATCTAGCTCACCACTATGAAGCGCTGGTGAATTTCATGGGTCTTGTCCAGTTATTACTGCTTTACCCATTTTGGCTTGTAGGGGCAGAGACATGTACATCTCCATCAATAATGGATTGGATTACTGCAGGCTTCCTGTGTCCTCAGAGCCAGGTCAACCCAGGGAGAACCTGCTTATCTTCAGCCAAGATCATCGGCTCTTTTAGCTCAGTTCTAAACTACATCAGGGATCATTGCTGCATTGTTGAAGGAACATTTGTTCACTTATTTCTAGCTCTCCATGACAAATACATTACCTCGGCAAAGATGTCACTTTGCCCCATTTCTCAATGCAGAATCGCCTCAGTCCATTGCTCCCTCTCAGGGCAGCAAAGCCTTCATAAGGTATGCTGGAGGTTCCCGTCACAAACTGTGGGAAAAAAAAGCCAAAACTGTCTCCCAAATAGACTTAAGCAAATGTACATCAACAACAAACAACAAATTGCATTTCATGTCAGGAGGACATCCCAAGGTAAATAGGTTAGGAAGGTAATGTGGGGTTCCAATGGGTAGAATCTACTTAAAAGGGTGGATCTGTCATTAATTTAAATGTGTATAGAAAGGTACTGAAATGTATCTCTGGTCTGATGAAAAAGGAAAGGCACAAATACTGGAAATCTATACATTTCAGGCATTTTATGTTTTCAAGGGCCAATTGGCATCTAACGGAGAACAACAGATTAACATTTTGGGTCCTCAAAGGTCACACCCAAAACATTAACCTATACTTTTATTTCAGGATCTGTCAGACTTAATGTTTATTTCCACCATTTTCCAATTTAGTTGTCAATTTACTTTACAATATATTCTGTGAAGCGTTTTGGGATGTCATAAGGCTATATCAAATACAAGAATTATTATTATTATATTGCTGTGTTGTATCATTTTGGGCTAGAATTGTGGAAACCAAGAGCTGAACTTTGGTCACAATTTCCACTGATCCATTCAATTTATAGCTAGAAAATATTTTCATCAGAAGAACATTTCAGCTATGATCTATGATAAAATGTTACACTGCTATAACACTGTGCACTGTAATGTTAAAGTAAATTAGATCTAACTTTGTTACGTACCTGTAAAAGCCGTAGCCTTTGCTCATTGTTGAAGTGTTCTACCGCTGCCCAGAACCACCTTATTACAATGTGGCCATCGTGGTATCCTGAAAGCAATATAAAAATTATACTGAGTACAAGACAACTTCCTTCCAACTAAAGACAGATCTACCGAAGGAAGTTTCTGGGAAATTGGACCAATGGTCTAATCCTGTCCAAAATTTCTTTACCTGAATGTCACTAACAGATTCTCCACAATGACACCTCTTCAGAGGGACGTTAAAGATCCTACGGCACTATTCAAAAATAGAAGAGAATTTTCCCAATGTCCTGGCCAACTCTCAGATAAAATTGGTCATTGACTTCAAGGCTGTTTGTGGGACTTTTCTGTGCGCAAATTGGGAGGAGCTGACCATAGGCGTGGTTGAACAGCTAAGTATTAACTTGGGATTTAAACATAGGGGGCGAGGCTGAGGGATTGAGGCAAGATATTCTAGAAGTTAGGCACCTTGCAGCTGAATATACATTCAGGGCTGAATGTATCATAGTTATAACATCATATTTATAACAACTGTTGTGCACAATTGGCTGCCGTGTTTCGCCCACAAATATATAGTCAATTGACTTTACAGTATATTATGTGAAGTGCTTTGAGATGTCTATAAGATATGGTAAGGTGCTATATCAAACGAAAGGATTAATATTATTCTGTCATTTTGCATCTCCATACCATTCCAAAAATACATGATATTTACAAATATTAGTTTCTATTCATACTTCATACAGTGGTGGCAAAATATATGACCAGTTTAATAGTGTCTAGTGAGAGTTGTATCTTTGATTTACAGAGTTCTTCAATGTGGCCACCTACTTCCTGAAACAAGTTACACTTTCCACTTACAACCTTTTCAACCTATATTTACTTTTAGCCAGAAATATAAAGTGGTCACATTGGCCATGAATCTCCTCCCAAGCCCTAGTCCACCAGTCCTGGTATAGTTCTGACCAACCCCCTTTAGGAAGATTCACGTATAAACTATACTAAGGAGTTGTGTGACTATCAATTCAATTTATGTTTTTGTGCAGACAGAAGAACAGGAACATTGCTACACTCTCTTCCCAGTCAGCAGAATAGGAACAAGAAGTATAGAAGCAAATCTTCTATAAAAACTTTTGCTTACATTAGCAATAGTCAATCCTCAAAACTCTTTTGCTTTTTAATCTGTTACTATAAGCGCACTGTCCCGAGAAGGAATTCAAATTCAGCATTTAAACTTTAAAGCACCTTAGATTTATATCTTGAATTTTGTTAAGCCTGAAGTGTACACTACAAAACTGCTTGAATTGGTGAGCAGTGAAATCAAATACCAGAGCTGAATACAGTGTTAATCACTGCCCACTGACAACTGACAGAACAGAGTCAATACTCACCACTGCGGTACTCAGTATTGTTGCGCCAATCATTCAGGTCAATCTCTGCTGTGCCTGCGATTACCAATTCCAGCTCTCTGGCATCAAACACTGACACAAGTCTTGAATCCACCACCTGTAACAGTTTAATCATTAGCTCTGAGAAAGTCTCTAGCAGGAGTTTTGCAGTTTATTTACAGAATGTTTTTCAACTCTGTTAGAAATATCCTTTTGATACAAGTCCCACATAGGTGGACCCTGTAAAATTACAGATAGAGACAACTCAGTGAAGTGTAAAATGTGACCGATTATGTTAATGCAGTAAAAGTGACCTCAGAGGCACAGAACTTTGTTTGAACAATAAATTGTATTGAAACTGGTAAAGGCTACAGTTTCCCTTTCTATTTCTGCAAGTTATTTTTTATTTCCTTTCTGCTCGGTTAAACCTGCATCTCCTCCAAGTCCTTTCTTAATCCTATTCTTAATGTAGCCATTAAAGATATGCGAAAGGAACTGCAGCTGATGTTTTCTCCAATGTTAATTGTTCTCCCTGTGGGGAATCATCTGCTTTCTGTTCAGTACTTTTCTAAGACAGCTATACCATTGTGAGTTATGAACTTCAATTTTTTTGATAAATGACTCAGCATTAAACAAAAGAAAAATAGTAATAAAGTAGAAAATTATAGGATATAATGCAAACCCACAGGCAACTGGCTTCTCTGAACATCACTTCAAACGCTAAGTTAGCTATTTGTTGTGATAAATAGTTTAATGTCAAAGAATGCTGCAAAAATAAACTTTACTGTTCATTCAGACTTACAAACTGGGGTTATATTTTTATAAATGATCTAGAACTAGGAGTCACAAATACAGTGGCTAAGCTTGCAGATGATACAAAGCTAATGAAAGTGGTAGATTTCAAAGCTGAAGAAGATAGGTTACAAGAAGATTTGAACATATTTGGGAATTGGGCAGACTGGTGGCAGATGAAATTCAATGTGGAGAAATGTAAATTACTTCACATGGGGACAAAAAATTCAAGAAGGCACTATTATTTGAATAGAAGGAAAATAATATGTATGGAAAATGAAAGGACCTTGGGGTCCTGATTGACAATAAATTGAAGCTCTCACAACAATGTTCTGTGGCAGTGAGTAAAACAAACCAGATGTTGATTTGCTTTATTCAGCAAACTCAGAATCACGGAATCTCCTGTGATTCATGTCCTTTAAAAGATCAATGTAGATTTAATGCCAGTACAATTATGATTGCTGTATTGCAAACCCTTAATATTATTCAGTTAAATTTTGGCTTTCAAACGTATTTCCGAAGTTTTTGATGCTTTGTACACCCACTTTTGGTCTCTGTGGGCCAAAAGCCATGCCCTGACTGAGAGAATAACCTGGCAAGTGACTTCTCCCAAGCCTGTGGCAATGCTGAACTGCAACACTGGCTGCTGGAAGAAGCCTGAGAATGGTTTGTGGTAATCTGCCCTCAGATTTGTCCTTCATCTAATTGAAGAACCTTGAAACCATAATAGTTAAGACTCTGTTTTCTCACCAGGTTAAGTTACAGTTTGGTTGTAAAATGCTGTGAAACATGACTGTATGTCAACAGCGCTATATGAATAAAATTTGTTGTTGTTTGGGTACATTGGGTGCAGTATGTGTATGTATAAGTCATTTAATGCTTTACAAACAGGCCACTTCACGACCAGATCACTAAGCATGCTGTCATTCCATTTTAAGGATGCATTTGGATTACGGCCGTCCAGCCCTTCAGTTAAACCTGTTATAAACCTATTCAATCTAGTTAAATAGGAGTCCGTGGTCTATTCCTCCTACACCAGTTGTGGCCATCCTTTACGGTCAGCCAAAAAAATAATTTTTCTTGATTAAATATTTCTTGATTCAATCCATAAATCAAGAAATATTCAATCAAGAAAAAATTGAAATCACATTACTGACCGAACACGGACTTACCTAAACTCATGCAAATGTTCAGGGGGCCACTTCTGGCCCGCAGGCCACAGATTGGCCACCACTGTGTTACATGTTTGAAGAGGAGGATTATTGAAGGGAAATGGAAGTGAGTGGGAGAGTGAGTTAGATTATGTGGTTTACGTGGAAAAGAAATCTGCACAAGCATGGAGAGTGAATGGTCCATTCCTGCGCTGGAGCACTCTACCATTCTCGTGGAAGGAATTGTGTATGGGTGCAGGCATGATTTAAAACTCGCAATGGAGAATGTGGATGAAAAAGCAATCAAATTGAAATAAATAACAATTTAAAGAAAATTCTCAACCAAGGAAGAGAGAGAGGCTTAGATAACCAACTGGAGCTGCATTTTTTCAAGTTTCACGAGCTATTGCTTTTCTGACCTGTGAAACTTTTGCATATCTGCGGTGTTCCACCTACCTCATAGAACCCTCTAACCAAGGCTTCAGTTTGCTGCACGACACCTCTTTCAACCCGCCACTTCACCATGCGTTCAATATATTCCTTTTTATTTTTCTCCGTTACTTGAATATTGGCACCGCCTGTCTTGAGCTCTCGTTCTGTGACCTACCGGAATGAAAAATGTCATTTAATAAAAATAGTTAGCGGTGCGCACTCTGGCAAAACCATTGATAGATTAATGACTAAACTTTTCTCCTATGTCAAAGAGTCTGCCGTTTTTGAAGGTTTCAGATTGCAGCAGCCCTGATGGTGTCGTGACTACAGCTTATGGACCATCAGACTTTTGAACAGTTTCTGGTTTGGAATCTGGTCTGTGCTGAGTTTGCTAGTCTTGGCTAGGGCTGCATGGAGAGGTTAAATTGGCCCTGGTCTTTCCAGTGTTAGGGAGGGGAAAACCAGCGAGGGGTCCTGCTCCTGTTCTCTTTTCAGTATCCTCAATTTTACCTGTTTGGGGCAGCCTTTTGGGGAGAAGCCAGGCTCGGCTGGGTTGTTCTCTACATGCATACAGTTGAATGGTCTGCCGATATTCACACATGGGTAATTGCCTCTTGCGCAGGGGACCAGTGGGCCACCTGCATCTGTGAAACCACCAGGACCTATTGCCATATGTCATTTATTAAATGACATATGGCAGTAGGGAGAATATTAGAAAATAATTAGACACACTAAATTTCTGAAGAAAAAGAAATAAAATGATCCAGATTGCTGAGAGCATTGTGAAATATCTTAAATCTTCATAATAATAATAACTCTTGCATTTGTTAGAGTGAACTGCCTTTTGGTTGGTGGTTTACAAAGTGCATCAGCAGTAGATTCAGTTGACAGTATCTGGCGAGCCCATCTGGTGTTTGTGGAGTCCCATAGCTCAGTGGTTAGAGCGTTGCAAGCGAGAGGACTTGGGATTTGATTCCCAGGCAGTGCGAAATCTTAGGCAAGTTTCCTTAGTCCACACGCCTATGTTTATCTAGCAGTAAGTAGGAACCCAGTTGTTAAGTCAATTGGCGGATCACATTCCGGGGATAATAATCCCTCAACGAAAAACTACACCCCCCACCAAAATGTGGTCACTCAATCCAGGACTGTTTGTGGGACACTGCTGTGCATGATTGGCTGCCGCGCTTTGTCCACAAAATACAAAGTCAATCCACTTTACAATATATTTTGTGAAGCGATTTGAGATGTCGCAACTATGTGATAAGGTGCTATATCAAATGCAAGGATTATTATTAGTAGTATCTACATGTTCCAGCAGAAGGGGAACATTCAGTGGAACTACAACAATAATTTGCATTTATATAGCATTCTTCACGCTGGACCGGGTCTTGGAGCTCTCGGAGCACTAGGGAACTACCTTAGGGATGTGATCAGGTTGGCCATCACATCAAGCTCTCTTATGGAAATGGGGTCAAGGCTTACAGGGGCCATTTCAATGAGTGGCCATAGCTTATCGCTGGCACAGGTTCAATTGTAATCCTTAATTCTTGCACTATGCAAGCAGCACTACTGAGAGACAAAAATTGCTAGAGACAATGTGAAAAGTAGAGAGCATGTGTGAGAGAGGGCGAGAGAGATAAAAATATAAAATAATTCATTTTGAAAACCTATCTATTGAAAAATATAGCAACAGTTATTTGAGGATCTCAGTCTGGTCAGAATCATCCTCTGTAATATTCACAGTAATTAGACAAATGAGACCAAAAATAGATAAGTACATTTAAAATGATGACAGATGTCCAGCAACATTCGTTCTTTTTCTCAACTCTTCTGAAATTTTCTTCCCTCTTTTCCTGTGAATCTTGACACAGGAATGGTTCCACGGGTACTGGCTACCTTCCGGTCCTCACCTTTTACTCTTCTTCATACAGGAGCCCAGCTAGTCACTATTGTTAAACTGTTCACCCCTTTCTGACCACACCTTATATAATCCTTGCATTTGAGAAAGTGCCTTATCACGTTTTCGAGACGTCTCAAAGCACTTCATAGAATATACTGTAAATATAGAATATACTTCATAGAATATACTGTAAAGTGAATTGTATATTTTGCGGGTGAAACATCATTACATCCCAGCAATGGTCACTGATTTGTCAGGAGCAGGAACTATAGCTGATTTTGCTCTCCCTCACCTAATGTGCTGAAGCAAAATAAAATCTATTTTACAAACTGCTTTAAGCTTTTTTTTTTACCTTTGTCCAATTGGTGTAACACCAAGTCACCAGACCAGGAAGCCCCTAAGTTTGAATCCCTTTGTAGGGATTGTAGGTTGAATCAGCTGAACTTACACAGAACAGCAATTTGGATCTTCATGCCCATGGGTCGGGAAAGGAATTAGCTAGAATTCCCAGTTCTAATTGCTATCCAAATACACTTATTAGAAAGTGGATGTGTTTCGACATTGAATTAGGAGATAAAATATGCGTCCCATGGTTGTATAGGTTATTCATTCTTCTGACTGCACTAAGTGATGAATTTGACACACAAAACCATCTCGCATGAGAAATATTTGCATACAGTTATTAAATACTGCATATATTTGCAATCTCTGTGTACATCTATAGATCAACAATGAAGAGCTTGGAATGAGTTACTTGAATGCTGGACTAGCTGAACTCTATAAACCTGGAGCCACTTTTCTTTTTTTTTGTCAGCCGAGTGCCTGATATATGCGGAAACCCATCACAATGCTTAAGAGTATCAAGACCAAGTTGATGCATCCCACCTAAACTTCATTTATCTGATGACAGAAAGGCATTTTTTTGCTAAATAATTATTTCAAGAATGCAAAATGGCACCAGAGAGACCCAGAACCCCAAAGTGCTGACCAGATTAATAACATCAATACAAATAATCCTTACATTTACTAAGAATAACTTGTACTTATGAAGTACCTTGAATATAAAATAAATGTTTCTAAGTGTTTTACAAAATAAAATTGCTGAAAAATCAAAGTAAATATTGTTATGGAGACAAACATGATGGCCAATTTTCACCAGCCACATTCCCAAAACAACGAGATGACAAGTTAATTCATTTGAATTTGGGAGTGAATTTGGATAAGGGGCAAATAAAAGCCCAGATAAAGGAAAGAAAAACTCCATGTTTCTTTTTTATGGTCAGTTGGGTGTCTAATGCATTCACTCACAAAAATCCACTGAGTCATCAAGAAAGCCCAAACTGTCATTGTTAAAATTCTCAAGATAACATTTTTTTGAGGTTTAGATTTTTTGCGGCTGAAAATACAAACCTGCCCAAACACCTCCTCGTTGACTGTAAAAGTGAGGTCAAGGATATCAGTGATGTCATTGTCCTTCATCCACTGTAAACTTTGGTGAAACTCCTCATCCAGGTACTCCAGGTCACTCAGGTCACATGGCCTAAAAGGAAACAGCACACCATTAATATTAGTTTGCATTGGTTTAATCTTTGCAATGATTTAGGATTTCTTTGCCACAGGTGAATCTTAGAATTCCAAAGAAGTTTTTAAGAGCAATACTAAAATTCCTGTTGCACTTTTCTATTATCATAGAGGCAGCGAGGCGGAGGGTCGAGGCGGAGGGACTACCGGATGGAGTTCCAGAGGGTGGGGGCGGAGTGGCGGAAGGCCCGTCCACCGATAGTGGGGCGAGCAAGGCGGGAGCCGTGAGGCCAGAGCCCGCTGAGCAGAGGGAGCGAACAGGATGGTAGGGAGTTAGGAGGTCGGAGAGATAGGGGGGAGCAAGACCATGGAGGGCTTTGAAGGTGAGTACCAGGATCTTGAACTGTATCTTCTGTGTGATGGGAAACCGGTGGAGTCGGGCGAGGATGGGGGTGATAGGGACACGGAGCCTAGTGGGGAGAGGACACAGGCTGCAGAGTTCTGGATGATCTGCAGCCTGTGGAGGGAGGAGTTGGGGAGCCCGACAAGCAGTGCGTTTGCATGATCAAGCCTCAATGTAATGAAAGTGTGTATGAGGGTTTTGGCGCCTGTGGTGAGACAGTGTCGGAGCCGGGCGACGTTGCGGAGGTGGGGGAAGGCAGAGCAGGTCATGGTGCAGATGTGGGGGAGAAAGGATAGTTTAGGGTCAAACAAAACCCCAAGGTTCCGGAATGGCTCAGCAAGGTGGAGTGTGCAGCCATGGATGGTGATACTGTGAGCGCCTGAGGTGAGGAGGCACTGACGGGAGCCAATCAAGAGAGCCTCGGTCTAGGGCATCTATTACTTGACTTGACATTAAGAAATAATAATCATTATAATCCTTGCATTTGATGCGTTTCATAATAGCAGAGAATGTGTCAAAGCGCTTTCCATGATATACTGCAAAGAATAGTGACCCTGTATTTTGTGGGCAAATGTGACAGCCAATTTGCATTCAGCAATGTTCCACAAATATGAAGTGAAAAATGGAGTTGAATCTTACCAGGCACCAAAATGGCATTTGTGAAATAACATTTGTGATACATCGCAGGGTCCAATTTGTGATATTTGCAACAGGATTTATAATTAAAGGAAACTAAATGTTTACTTGAATGTGCTTCAAACTGAGTCTTTGGAACTCTGCTCAAACATTGATCTCCTGCCAGGAGCCTCCTTTGACCCCAAGCAAGCTTCATGGAAGTAGAAACAGAGATTGATATCCAGATGGTTTGCCCAAGACATTCATCTACTCATAGACTTTGCTAGACACACTAGAACCCCATTATAACAAGTTTTATTAGAAATGATGTGTAGACCCCACATTTATTTACCAAACAAAATATGAGCAGAAATCTATTTTCACAATTCAACGGGCTTCCCTCGTGCAAAACAATGGCTTATTTTGAGATCTATGAAGCACTTTAGACGTCTCGAAGACGCGATAAGGTGCTATAATAATAATAATAATCCTTGCATTTGATATAGCGCTTTTCACGTCGGGAGGACATCCCAAAGTGCTTCACAGGACACACTGTAAAGTGAATTGACTGTATATTTGTGGGCGAACGCGGCAGCCAATTGCGCACAGCATTGTCCCACAAACAGTCATAGATTGAAAATGACCAATTTATTATTGTTTTTGGTTTTTAGAGGGATTATTATTAGGCGTGTAGAGTAAGGAAACTTACCCAAGGTTTCGCCCTGCCTGGAATTGAACTCAGGTCTCTCACTTGCAAAGCGAGTGCTCTAACCACTTTATATATCAAATGCAAGGATTATTATTGTTATTATCATCAGATCACTTCTAACATCACATCCTGTATGAGCAGGAAATTTTACATCCTTCCTTTGGAAAAGCATCTTTTTCCACTGATGACAAAGCAGAGTCTGGGAAATCGCTCTGTAGGGATTTGTGGGCAGGAGCCACCTCCTACAACTCTATGGAGCACAAGCACTATATCCTTCTCCTTGGCATCTCTGGAATAAACCAGAGGCCCATAATGCTACTTATCTTCACTTGTAAGACCATTTTGCAGTAAAACTTAAAGAGTGCCCAGAATTGTAAAAAAACTCTTCAATTTTCTCTGAATTCGTGTGAATGGATGAACATATTGCAAGTCTATTCACTCTGTCCTTGGGTAAAATAGGACACATCCCTTTATGAGAAAAGCCGGCAATGGTCAAGGACAAGTGTGGAGGGAGCGTGGATATAAAAAGAAGCATGGGTGGGGTGGGGAGGAAGGAATGGAGAGTGGTGTATGACTGGAGAGACTCAACAACTGGAACTGCAGGTTTAAAGGATCTGTGGGTTTAGACAAAGTTATTATTTGGTTTTGGAAACGGGTTTTGTGAATTTTTGTTTATTCTGTGAATAAAATGCTGGTTTAATTTCAAATTTGTGATGGAAAGTGGTCTTTGGAGGAACCATGGGGACTGTTTGCTCACTAATTTGAAGCAGGTTTTCCACATTTTTTAGAAATTGACCAAATTTAAGAATTTTCCACAATTCTTGTGATAGTACATTTAAATACAAAATAGTTTAATATGCTAAGATGAAGTGGAATTTATATTAATAATAATCCTTGCACTTAATATCGTGTCTTTCACATTGGGATGTCTCAAAGTGCTTCACAGGATTTACTGTAAACAACAACAACAAAATTACATTTGTAAAGCGCCTTTCACATTGGGAGGACATCCCAAGGCGCTGTGACCCTTTATTCACAGAATAAAGGGTAGTGACTAAAGGATAGTGACTGTGAATTTCAATCCTCTCAAATTCATTAATTTAAAGGATAACACAATGACATAAAAAACATTTCTTTTTCATTTAAGGGCTTGCGGTAATGGATGTGTGGATATAATTCAGATTCTCAGTCAGTGCACAGCTGGTCTTTGCTGAGTTAAGTTCTTGGTTGGTTGCACCGGTTTATAGACAGGATACACGCAGCTGCGGAATATCAGGGAAGGGACAGAGCCCAACTGTGCCAGATAGAAATGACAATATAGAAAAAACAACTGCAGTATGTAAAATGCAGTTGCTGCTTTCACCAAATGTGATGTTATTGTTGCTATGCCGTCCACATCAATAGAAAAATCAAATTCCCTGTTACAAACATGTACAGACCAGCAGCAATTTAAACAAATACTAGTTAGCATTGTGGAATTATAAAATCAAGATAAACTGCATTTAATTTCTTGGAAAAATACCTACTCTAAACAATAAACATCAGCTGTTGAGATTGTGGAGTTTGTCAGTGCACAACCTTGCTGTGCCTTTGCATGCCTTGTTCATGCTCTGTGGTGACCCTCCTTGGGATGAGGTAAGCACGGTCTCCTTGGGTCCTAGCTGGTGTTCACAATGGCAATGGTTTTAACTGGTGAAACTCCACTAATTTGCGATTCTGAATCCTTGGCTTTCACCAACCTGCTTCCTAATAGTTCTGGGATTGAGCAAACAGCGTGCTTCCGTCTCAGGAGAGAACAATTCCAGAAAAAAGGGAAATTTTCATTCCTTTGTTGAACTCTCAGTCTAATGTGGGTATTCAACAAAAGTGATGGGTTTCCTTGTGTCTCAGACATTTGGCTGATCAAAACAAATCCTAGATTATTTTACGTATTGAGCCCAAAATTCATGAGACTATTTTACCCAGAGAGTGGTTGAAAAGATCAAAGGCTAAGTCAACTTGTGCTACTCCTGGGTACTCACTATGTGAGTGGAGCAGAATTATCTATGAGGCAGCAATGAGGAGAAGTTCTACCTCGATTCACTAATTTATTTATGTAGAATTTCTGAGAGTCCTGAATGTTAACACCTTAAATACAACCTTAATTTTGAAGCTACATTTCTGTAATTTCTTTTAAGAACTACAGAATGCCAACTTCAAAGAATGAATTTAACATTTTGCCAAAGTTTGGACATGTTAAAATGTTCTATAAATAGACTAAAGCTAGATATAGTTGGAATGTCTCTTCACAGAAAAGTAGTCTTATCAACCTGCCAGCAATTCTTCCCACAGGTGCACAGCATTTTGGAAGGAAATTTGAAACATATTTATTTTTGTCAGACTATGGAAAGAGGGGAAATCAGCCATAGTGGAACTACCATGCTGGATGCTGCCCTGACAATCCATAGAGACAGGCCATCAGAGGATGAAGATGAATTTAAGTGGAAACACCCTGGGTTGAAAGAAGGTTGCTCACTGGTTTCTGATCAGGATCATTTTCAAATTCACTGAAAATCCACCTTCTGCTGTGTCAACTGGGCAAGCCAACATCTATCCTGGGATCAAAGTAGCCATTGTCATTGTGCATCTGGGTGAGACCAGTCTGCACACCTGCCAAAAATATTTTGAATGACCTGAAGTCTCTTGGCACTCCTTCCTCCAGTGGGCTTTGGATATGAGATGGAAATGAATGAGAAAGATTCTGTCTAATACATCCCTCTGTCATTTTTCAGACAATTCCCTGGCTTGAATGTTGCAATACAGAGACAGCTTTGGGGATGAATGCTCATAATGAGCATAATGTCCTGCTGTATTTCACAGAACAGACTTGGGTGTCTCGCTGAATGCAGCCACTTCCAGTGCAGTGATCTGCTCCTCTTCCCCTTCACCATTTTCCTCCTCGAGATCACCCTCAAGTTAGGTTTATGCCTGAAGACCTTCCTCTTTGAACAAGCTTATGGTCACCTCCCCCCTCCCGGCATTGTGCTCTGCCACTGTCAAGCTCTCTGGGACGTTATCCTGCGCGAGAGGCTCTATATAAATGCAAGTTGTTGTTGTTGTTGTCGGTCCTCAGCAAGAGAGGAAAAATTGTCATGGAAAATCGTTTTAGAATCCACTTCTTCATATTAGTTTGTAAAGCAATGGTGGCCAACCTTTTTGGTCGGCCAACCTTTTTGGTCAGCCAACAAAATAAATGTTCTTGATTTAATTTTTTTCTTTATTTATGCCATAGATCAAGAAAAAAACACTGATTCAAAACAGACTCACCTAGACTAGCGCAATTGTTTGGAGGGGGCCACTTATTGATGTCATCGTGGCCCACTTACAGCCCACAGGCCATTGGTTGGCCATCAACGTTGTAAAGTAATGAAATCGCACAAGCAAACCCTGCAACTCTATAACAGTCTCAATTATTCTGTGTGAATGAAAGAAGATTTTTTTGTGCTTTATTCTGTCAGAAGAGGTTCTTTCTGGTAATTGGATGTATGTTGGCTGACTTGGAGGAACACTGCTCCTTCGACTTTGACCTTCTGCTCCAGGGTGGAATTCCAAAAAGCCATTGGGAATTTGGAGTCCTTGTAGCTCAGTGGTTAGAGCTCTTGCCTCGCAAGCAAGAGACCTGGGTTCGATTCCCGGCAGGGTGAAACCTTGGACAAGTTTCCTTACTCCACACGCCTGATAATAATCCCTCAAGAAAAAAAACAATAATAAATTGGTCACGTCAATCCATGACTGTTGTGGGACACTGATGTGTGCAATTGGCTGCCGCGTTTCACCCACATATACAGTCAATTCACTTTACTGTATATTCTATGAAGTGCTTTGAGACGTCTCGAAGACGTGAAAAGTGCTATATCAAATGCAAGGATTATTATTATTATTTATATAATTCTAACAGAATTCCTTCATTAAGAAATTTTGTTAAAAATTACTTCAAATGAGACCTCCTCCTCATTATTCAAGGCAATAGAATTTATTTCTGGCAAATGTTTTGCTTGTATATTAGTGAAGTTCTAAAACAAAACATTCTATATAACTTACCAAAATAGAAGCTGAAAATGCTGGCTCCCTCGCCATGTAAGACAGAAAAAAAAAATTGGCCACTCTTCTACGCTGTCATTTGAAGCTTACCCTCTTTCATTACAGACATCCTTACAATCCTAGAAATTGTTTGATTAAGTCTATGGTTATGGACTGAACTAGTCCAAGGTCTGTGGAAGCAGTTGGTATTTCTGACATTGTGCTGACCAATTAATTTTTACTTGGATTACATTTTATATTTGCTAAATTCTTTGACAATTGTATCATTCTAAAGGTTAAATGTTCAGATCACTGAAGCAGTGTTTGAATCAAATAGTATAGATGCATTTATGAATAAGTTAGATATGCACCTGAGGAAGAAGAGAACAGAAGGGTGCGGAAGGGGTGGAGACTCAGGTGGAATATAAACACCAGCACAGACTAGTTGGGCCAATTGGCCTGTTTCCATATTGAACATTCTGAGTAATAATCCTTGTTTATCCGCTTCCAGTTGTCATTTTGGTATTTTGTGTGCTTCGCCTGCAGAATCTCAACTTCAGTGTTACATATTCAGTAAGATAAACAAGTCCCATTAAATTATAAAGAATTCAAAAAAGCTTGCCAGTGGAATGCTTAGCTTGCTGCTGGTGCCAAATAAATACTGCATTTTACAACACAAATATAAAGTGTAGCTGGTTTGAAGGGTTTAATATTGAAAAATTACTCAAAGCAGCTCGTGCTCTATTGATGGAAAACAGGTCCTAAACTGCCAAGCAGAAATAGTTCTGAAATCAAAAACAATCTTTCCAACACAATGAAACTCTGAGCCTCCAAATGTTTCAAAATGCCAAAGAGTTAGGGGAAAAATCAATCCTTTTCATTTTGTACTTTCCATGGTGAATTGCTGTGAAAAGTGTACTGTGAATTAGGTTGAGGATGCACTGTTGGCAGCACACTGACTTGCAGCACTGGAGTGTAAACGCAAAATAAATCAATTGGTTTGGGCCTATTTTGAAATAGTGTCCAAAAAGTTTAATAGGCTGTTTTGCACCAGTGTGGTGAGCAGATTTATTATTGAGCTGGCTTGCTCTCCCAAATCTGTCCAGAATGTTTGTATATCAGTTAATGGTCCTGCGAGTATGAAAGAATCAGCATCATGCATTGAGACTAGAACAAGAGGACATAGATTTCAGGACGTCAAAGGCAATTTCATGAGGTTTCCCTTTATCCAGAGGGTAATCAACAACTGGAACAGGTTGCCAGGAAAGGTGGTAGACACTGGACTCATTTAAAAAAGCAGCTTGATGCAGTGATAATAATAATAATAATCCTTGCATTCGATAGAGTGCCTTATCACAGCTTCGAGATGTTTCAAAGATCTTCACAGAATATACTGTAAACTGAATTGACTATATATTTTGTGGTTGAAACGCAGCAGCCAATTGCACAAAGCGTATCCCAAAACAGTTGTGGATTGAGTGACCAATTATTACCCCCCAGAAAAGCGATCCGACGGGTTCCTACCTCCTGCTATGTAAACAGGTGTGTGGAGTAAGGAAATTTGCACAAGGCTTCGCCCTGCCAGGAATTGAATCTAGATCTCTCGCTTGCAAGGCGAGTGCTCTTAACACTGAGCTACAGGACTCCACATGGGGGGACGGTAGAGTGGGTGTTCTGGAGGGATGAGATCAGACAGGATAAAAGGTCTTCTTCATGCAGCGCAATCTTGTGATCTGTGAGCCTTGGATGATGTATGTGTTGGTATCTGTTGCAGGTATGTATAGTGAGACGTATGGAGGATGCAGCAACAGGTGGAAGGTCTTCCACTTGGCTACAAAATATCTAGTGAGCCTAGGTTTTGAGTGGCATGTTTTCGTGGTTGCTTATGATGATTTCCCCCTTGCCTGAGGATGCCGTTTTCTCGTGTAACTATGTCACTGTTCTCAGAAGGCAACAGTTTTGGGGTTGGATTTAGAAGGCTTTGAAATTAATACAACTTTCGAGACAAGGAGCAGGGTTATTTGCCTTAGGTTATACATAACATTGGAAATTTGTAAAACTAGTGCTAATTTCAGAAAAGCACAGCATAACTGAGGTAGAGTTATAAAGATATAGGGCTTTCTCGTGCCTTTTCATGACTTTACAAACTGATATCAGGAAGTAGATTATAAAAAGGCTGTGATGAACACTACTATCACAATACTTTTACTTTACAGGACAATTGTTTAAAGCAAAATATATTTCACACCTACCAAACTTCAGACTCTGAAGAGGTGCTTTCTCCCTCATGAAGCACATTATTATAATAATAATCCTTACATTTGTTATAGCACCTTATCACATCTTCGAGGCGTATCAAAGAGCTTCACAGAATATACTGTAAAGTGATTTGACTGTATATTTTGTGGGTGAAACACGGCAGACAATTGCGCACAGCAGTGTCCCACAAACAGTCAAGGATCGAGTGACCAAATTATTATTTGTATTTTATTTAAGGGATTATTAGACCTCCAGAATATTGGAGTCAACAATCAACAGATTAAATCGAAGGGCCTCAAAAGCTTATTATTATAATAATAATAATTATAATTATTATCATCATCAATCATTCACTTAGGCCAAACAAGGCTCTTCTCAGGGGTTCCAGGTTTCTTGTATTGTAGGTCATTGCTTATTGCAATTGATTTTCATCTATGACCCCTTTTAAAGTTATCGTCACATTTTTAGCAATCTTGCACTGCCATGATCTAAGTGCTTATGTGGTTTTCTACAACAACAACAAGATTATATTTTATAGCGATGGTTAGTTGGATCCTCATCCTCACCTACAAGGCCATTCACGGCCTCGCTCCCTCCTACCTCTCCGACCTACTATCTCCCCTATCTACCTGCCCGTACCCTTCGTTCCTCTGGCTCCAGTCTGCTCCACATCCCCCGCCCCAACCGCCCTACCATCGGTGGCCGGGCCTTCAGCCTCTCAGCCCCGAGGCTCTGGAACTCTATCCCCCAGTGCCTTCGCCGCCTCCTCCCTTTCCTCCTTCAAGGCCGGTCTCAAGACCTTTCTCTTTGACCGAGCCTTCAGCTCCCCTCTCGACTCTCTACCCCCTCCTCGCTCCCTCCCTTCACTCCCCTCACCCTGACCATTTCCCCCCTGCTCGGGTCCTGACCCAACTGTCCAGCGCTTTGGGACATCCTTCCGATGTGAAAGGCGCTCAATAAATGGAATCTTGTTGTTGTTGTTGTAGTGTAGCAGCGATTGTAGCAAAAAAGACTGGATTTCTTGAAGTTATAACTGCTTTGTTTTAGAAGAACACCGTTTTCTTCATTTTTACTTGTCCTTTTCTCTGCCCTTTTAGCACCACCATGAGATGATGTGATGTTCATTAACAAAGTTCAAACTCTGTCCCAATCATTGAGGAAGACAAGTTAAATTATTTCACTTAACATCTGATTAGATGTGTTAAACTTGTTTTCAGTGGAAGGCTGAAACGCTGTGTAATAGAATACGCAATGCTTAGGGCAACATGCACTTATTAAAACACATAATTCCTGACAGTCAAAAGACAATACTATTTTTGCTCAATGTTACATGTTTAGTGTGAACTCAATCCTATCGTTTACCAAAATTGTTTCAGCTAAGGTCTGATCACAGGTGATTACTGTAACATTATTGTGGCAGTGGGATTTTGGTTAGTATTGGTGCAGCGCTGAGCTTCTTGGACTATCTAGCAGTGACTGAAGATGAAACGTGAAAGACAATGCGAGGCACACTTGGTAAGGCACTGCTACGACAGCAAACCAACACCTCCAACTGAGATCAACTAGGTGAGCTTCTCAATTTCATTCATTGCCAGAAGCAAGATGTGTTGTGACTGAACTTCTTCAGAGATTATTAACAATAATAATAGTGAGATAAAAATTGCTTTACAAAATACAACAATAATAATAATAAATAATAAACTTCCTACAAGTAATGGAAGGTTTAAATATGAGGCTATGTTGCCATCAGGAGCTGAAGAGAATACCATTAAATGGCTACATACTGAGGTACTCCTAAATATTTATTCTGAAAGATCATGCCATTCACGCGAGGTAGCAAACAATTACATGCAGTGTAACATTGTATTTATCTCACAGTTGTATGTGGTTTGGGAGGGTTGTACACTTACAGTCTCAGCAGTGCCTTATAGAAAGGTCTGGTGAAGAAGGCATCCAGCAGGTATTGGTGAATCAGAGCAAGACCCAGGATGCGGCCACTGAACCTAAACCTGAAAATAAAGGGATATTTGTTGTCAGAAGCAAGATGTGTTATGACTGAATTTCTTCAGAGATTATTATTAATAATAATGAAAATTGCTGTACAAAATACAACTGTAAAATAAATATTGAATATTATATGTAATATGTTATTATATAATGTGTTATAAACAATAATAATTATTATTGTTGTATTTTGTGTAGTGATTTTCATATCAGGAAGTTGTCTCAAAGCATTTCACAGGATTTTTTGCAGCAAAAGTGGCAGCTAACTAGGAGAAACACTCTTTTCTCTTCTAATAGTAACAGAGGGTCTTCTACTCCATCTGAAGAGGCAAATAACACCTGGGTTTAAACACCGGTTTGTGACATCTGTCAAAGTCTTGATATGTGGTTGCTTTAGGTTTCAGCACAGATATCCTCCAATCAATCCCGTCTGCCAATCAGATGCAATTTCCGTCACTGAGTGAGTATGGTCAGATGTTCAGAATGGATTAACAGACTGGACAACTTCACATTAGTTGTATGTTCCATCTCAGAAAGTAACTGGAGGAATATGACAGAAGTATTTTGGCAATTTTGTGGGCAGACTCAATTTTCATTCGTAATGCTTTACTGAGGTCTGCAATGGTGAAAATTGAGGGAATAGAAGCCACTTTACCTCGCCACCTGGCCCCTTTGAAATGGAACAAAAATAAACTATCCTTCAACAGACATCTCCTCGATCTACACTCTATTGAGCTGCAATCTAATTGTAAGTTACTTTCAGAAAAGTGTTGTGGCTTTAAGCCACGTCCCAACAGTGGACTCATTGTCCCAGCCATACAGCTGTTTCCCTGTTGGCAACAAAGAATGGCTGTTGAACACATTGAAACTCTCGTAAATGTGCTTGTGTTAAAGTGTGATTCTCTCAGCAGCAAATTGTTAAAAGTAAACTATCTTAATAGGCGTGCATAGGAGCACCCAGCCAAGGTAGACGAATGACAAGGCTTGTTGGGTTCAGTATGGATTCAAAGCATCTCCATCATGATGATGATTTATTTTCATGACAGATGTTTCCCTTTATGCTGAATCTCAGATTGCTGCATTTTTTAGAAAAAAAATAAAGAAAAAGTAACACAAAGACTCTTTGAAACTATAGATCTTCTCCCTGCTCTTTTTAAACTGAGGAATATTTGGAGCTGAAAATTCTGACTTTCCTAAGAGATATGATGTACTATCATCAAATAGTACCAAGGGTATAAATCAGAGGATGCTGAGAGTGCTGTTTACTATGCTCTGTGTTATTCCATGGCATTCATCGGATTTGGTACCCAGGAACCTTTATATGTCGTATAATGCTGTGACACCAACCTAGACTAGAAAACAATTTATTTTGACCAATTTATTTTTCTGCCATCACAAACTGATGAAACCTACATGGGGGGAACTAAGAACTTTAAAGGACCTCCCTCTCCCTCTTGGAAAGTTTGGATCTATAATAATAACTGTTGCATTTGATATAACGCCTTATCACGGAAGGCAGACTGAATGTAAAAAGTCCAGATGAGGGAAGAATTGAGACTGAGTGTAAGGGGGAGCCAGGCCACTATGAAATTAGTTGAACTTGTCTGGTCAGTCTATTTGAAGCTATCTGCTGTGTTACTCAGGTTCTCAGCAATTAGATCTGTATTGCAATGTACATACATGGGCTGATGTGCATATGTGGGCTGACGCATATACAATGTAGCCTCAGATCTCCCCAAAGCAATAATTCTCACTCTCTGTGCATTGCTTGGACCACTGGCCTGCGTGACAGGACGATTGCTCCAAAAATGCGTGCAGAGATAGAGCTCTGGTCTCAGAGTACAACTCAAAGCGCATGGTGGGACCAGGGGTATATGTATATGTATTTTCATGCCTACCTGTCACATTAATAACTACAGTATCTTATTGCTGACATTTCTTCTGTATCTGTAACTACCAATTGTACTAGGGTCTAGCATTCCTCACTTCAATGATGGCAAATAGGTTTTCTCTTCAGCTTTGACCCTCTAATTCTGCCACACTCCAGCTCTGAGCCTCTGAATTGATACTGTCACTCTGACATGGTAATACCCCATCTCTGTCCCTCTCATCATTACCACTCTCTCTTCAGTTCAGTCTCTGTCTCTATACATATGCTACTCCAATCATTGCTGCTCTCTCTTCAAATCAGTCCAAGAGATCACTGCTTTTGATCATTTTGGTGGCTGAGTAGGAGGAAAGCATTCGATTAGTGTTGAACCTCAATCCACAAAATGTTTTTAGTTGTCGTCCCTGAGAGAGCTGTTTCCTCCTCCTGAATTGAAGGATGACAAGGTCAAAGTCTTTAGCCTCTGCGTTACTGTGCCCATTGAGATGCGCTAAACAAGCACAGGCTAAAGATCAGCAGTAAGTAGAACCTTCCTTGCCTGGCACCAAGCCATTACATCAAACAGCTCTGAAAAGATGTCTGAAATATGTCATTACAAGTTTAGGAGATAGGGCAGTATGACACAATTTGATGATTTGTAAATCAAACCCGAGTTTTTCCAGTCACTTGTTTGCTTGGTGATGAAGTTTAAATGAGTTCTTTCTTTGTGAAAAAGCCTTCAGCAAAAGATTGAAAGGCAACATCGTGTCACTGCTGATACACTGCATTGTAGTATCATTTTTTCAGGGGCAGCTATCAATCCATTCAGTCTACCCACTCGTTACAAAATATCCCCTTCCTCAACACAAAAAGGCTATTGATTTTAATTTGTTACTGTAGGCAATTTTACTATCCTCAAGCTTCATTTGCAGCTATGTAGAAACAATATACTGTATATATTTTATTGTGTTTTATTGTATATATTTTATATATAATGGTGGAAGCTGCCGGGCTTCGGTTTACCTCAGACGTCGGGTAAATCAGACAAAATGTCCAGCCCTGACGTGCCTGCCTTAAACACCGTCCACTGTATGTTTTTTTAAAAAATCAGCAAAGTAACCTGTGGATAAACTGCATTGATTGATGAAATATTAAGAAAATGACAAGCGTTCAATGCTTTCTATAACAAACTATGTGTTTTTAGCTGATTGAACTCCAGCAGTAACCCACCATACACTTTTAGGTCCCCAAGCCTTGACTCTTGCCAATCTGTACCTATAATCTGTACCTAATATTTCCAGACACAGAGAAATATTCATGTGTAATATATGTGTATATACATATGAGGAACTCTATGGTTTGTCTATTTCTAAGCACAGTGTTGGGTATTTGCATGTGTCAGACAACCACCACCACTCCACCATCCCCCATCACTGTATCTCTAACATCTCATTTGTGGCTGGATGGAGTTGCTGAAAGCTTTGTTATATAATAATAATAATAATAATAATAATAATCCTTGCATTTGATATAGCGCTTTTCACGTCGGGAGGACGTCCCAAAGCGCTTCACAGAACACACTGTAAAGTGAATTGACTGTATATTTGTGGGCGAACGCGGCAGCCAATTGCGCACAGCAATGTCCCACAAACAGTCGTAGATTGAAAATGACCAATTTATTATTGTTTTTGGTTTTGGAGGGATTATTATTAGGCTCTGTGTGGAGTAAGGAAACTTGCCCAGCGTTTCGCCCTCTGCCTGGAATTGAACTCAGGTCTCTCGCTTGCAAAGCGAGTGCTCTAACCACTGAGCTACATGACTCCAGTTTACCTATTCTGAGGGAGTTTCAAGGTTAAGCTACAGATGAACTGATGGTGATAACCTATGCACCTGAACAGGACTATCTGACAGCTGATGATCAGATTTAAATCCATGGAGAAAATTCCTCTCCTTTTTATTGAGTCTTATTATCTAGTATAATTGTGTCATTAAAGGATAGAATACATGCTATCACAAGTTGGATAAGTTTTGTTTGGGGGAAGATTAGACGAGAATGTCACAGTTCCTTTCACCCCTGACTATTCATTTAGTTGTGTAACAGATTAGCACCATTGGTCTTCTGCGCTGTATGTATGTATTGACTAGCTCATCCTAAATATTTATATAAACTGCTATCCTTGCACAATGAGAAAGCTGGGAAAGCTATTAATTCTCAACTAATATGAGAATACTAGAATATTAGTAATACTATGAGAATAGTAGAATATGTAGTATTACCAGTACCTTGGGATGTCCTCCCGATGTGAAAGGTATTATACAAATGTAATCTTGTTGTTGCTATGAGTAATCAATCAGCAAGCCTTACACATGCAATGTAGGATATTAAAAGTCAGGTCTATTGTTAAACCCAGTTGGGATTAACATAATGGCAGCAACAAATTAATGGGAGGCATTTCTAGGAATAGATCATTTTTTGGTAACTGCTATAACAATCTGCTGCTGTAAGCAAATACAGTATACCCAAGGCTTACCGGTCTCTGGGTAAAAAATTGTTGTAAAAAATTCCGCTGGCCAAATATTTTCACCTTTTATAGACTCCCACCAGCCCAAGTTTCCTAGAGCCACTCCAATGCCCCACTGAGCAATGTCACTGTGCTTGCTGGCCTTCACAGTGCCCAGGGATATCAACTTTGGCTTGGATTGTTTGAATCCCGTGAACAGAAAATAGTTTATTTGTTACCTTCTGTTCATAGGACTCAAACAATTACAATGCCAGTCCAGCATTTTTAATGGTGGATTTAAGTACACTCAAGAATGAAGGCTCATCCTGATTGCAAACAGGTAAGATGGACATTTAGGTCATGCAAATTACTATGTGGCAATTATATCAACAAATAAGATAGCAGGTAGCTATAAATCAACAAAATAACACAGAAGGAAAATGAGAATTTGCAGATTTACAGTTCTTTTGGTTCATGTGAAATGTGGGGAGCTTGTTAAACATCAAACAATAATACTAGTTTTACAACTGAACATTTACAAAGTTGTGTGACACTGGACAGTATTAGACTTGGAACTGATAAAAGTGTTACTGCAAAACTGTAAGAGATTTAGAAAATCAATTGTATTTTCTGAGAGTAAGTTTGTATCGCTTTCCCTGGACTGTTTGGCAAAGACTTTCAGCGGTGGGTGTGTACACAATCAGCATGATGCTGCCCATTGGGCACAACCTCTCTCATTGCTGACTCCATCTTCATGAAACTGCAGCGTAGTATAAGTAACAACAGCAACTACCGCTACACCAAACTCTTCAACTGCCCCTGCCGACACTTCCCCTGCACCCACCCTGCCAGCGACACTCCTGCCTCAATTTTTTAAAAATGCCTATATTGGAAGAATACTGTTTGATGAAAAATAATTCAAACTGTCTTCAGATTCTTGAAAATTCTCTCATAAATAGAGATCTGGGTTTGATTCCTGGCAGAGTGAAATGTTAGGCATGTTTCCTTACTCCACATGCCTGTTTACCTAACAGTTGTTAGTTGATCAGTGGATCACTTTTCTGGGGGTAATAATTCCTTCAAAAAAAAGATAATAATAATAAAATGGTCACTCTAATCCACGACTGTTTGTGGGACACTGCTGTGCGCAATTGGCTGCCGCGTTTCACCCACAAATATACAGTCAATTCACTTTACAGTATATTCTGTGAAGCACTTTGAGACATCTCAAAGACGTGATAAGGAGCTATACCAAATGCAAGGATTATTATTAGTATTAAGAAGGGGATATTTAAAGACCTGATTTTGAAGGCAGGGAGGAGTTGATGGCAGGGAGAGAAGCAAAGTGATTTTGGTCGAGTTCCAGCGAATGGGCCTTTAAAGAGATGATGGTGACTCCTGTGTTTCTCATTTCCACATGAGCTACAAGCAAACTACTGACGCAATTTGTTTTGCTACTCTGTTGATTAGAAAGACTGAGGATCTCTTTTAGCTATTGGTTATTACGTACACACACTCTTTTAGAGAAGACAAACACCGTATTCACCCGTGGTCATTCACCCGCTACTGCATGGAAAGTACAAACATCCACTTATCATTTCAAGGTCTTCTGTGGGAACTTGTCTGATTCATAGGTCACAGATGTAGAGCAATCTGGTTAACTGTGCACTGTCCCAGTTTTCGTATTAAAAACTTTTGGAACCTGCTTCTTTAACATTAAAAAAAATCAACTTATCAACAAAAAGAAATGTCATCAGATGGGAAGTGCAAGTGGCGGTTCTGATTCGAGAACCTACCATGTAGGAATAAAGTAAAATGTTTCTAATCTTTTGTCTTCATTCATTTGGGAAACAGCCAAGCTAGAGTTGCCATTTCGATAACACATAGGAGACAAACTTGCAGTGTACTGTGATCCTAGGCCAAATATACTGACCTCAGTGTGCTTCTTTCAGCAGTTGTCTTATTTTATTACTCACTTTGATTTCCTTCAGTAGTCACAAATACAAAAAAAATGTCAAAAGAGTCTCGAGACCGATTGTGGCTTGTTGAGTAGGGACTTTTCGCTGGCCTCTTTTTAACAACCAGTTAACTTTTATGTGAAAAGAGGAGTTTCTGGCCAACAAGCACCCATAGATAATTGTTCATTCAGCTCATGGTTGTGTGTGGATCATTGCTGTTCTCAAATTGTCTACCATGCTTGTCTACAAAATACAAAATCATTATATTTTCCAATAAATTCTGTGAAGCACTTTGAGCTGTCTTCCTGACGTGAAAGGGACGACATCAATTCCTTGCAAGATGCTATCTGTGCTAGCATTAGACCCCTACCACTGGTAAAAATGTGTCCCAGTGTAGGGAGGGAGGCCAAGCAAATCTAAGCTAATACTACGTGTCCCTTGGCAATCTCTTCAAGGTGGCAGATAATGACTCTCACCTCTCAGGGGGAAATGGTAGATGGTATAAGAAACAGAATGCTGGGCTGTTTTGCTAAATTAGTTGAGTTCCAATCCTCAGATGTCATACTCAAGTTGTCCAGTGCTCTGAACAGATCACACTTAGAGAATTGCAGAGAGTTCTGGTTGCTATAACATAAAGTGATTGCCCAGACCTTAAAGGCAGTGCAGAGGAGAACAATGAGGATGATCCCCAGTGTTAGAGGAATAAGTTATGAGCAATTAGACCAGCTAGGGCTCTGCAGTCTCAGACATCTCAGAGGGGACCTTATAGAGTTTTAATGGAATTGAAAATGTGAACCCAGAACAATACTTTAGGATGCACAAAGACAAGAAAACAGGGAACATAGAGAGAGAGTTGCAATTTCAGGATAGACACAGGATGTATTTCTTTACCCAGAGGGTAACTGACGATTGGTACAGGTACCAGTAAGAGTAGTTGAGGCCAGGACACCGGACTCATTGATAAAACAACTAGATACTCTGATTGGAGGATGGTAAATGGGTACTGTGAAGGGATGAGATCAAATGGGTGAAGGGTCTTCTTCACCTGAACTAATTTTATGAACCTAACAAAAAATATATAACGTATGTGATTTTGAAGACAGATCTTGACACATGTTAGGGATTGCCACTTGAACGAGGTTAGGGGAACACCGTTACTTGGGCATCTGTACCCCAGCCCGACCCCACAAAAAACTCAGATAGAGGATTATAATAATAATTCTTGATTTAATATTGCTCCTTTTTCATCAAGAGGATATCTAAAAGTGATTCACATGATTTACTGAAAAGTGTAGTGTCTGGGTATTTTGTAGGCAAATATGATTGAGGGATAAAGAAAATAATTCCTTGTCTGTCAAAACTGAATCTTTAAAGGTTGTTTAAATTCTAAATTGTCACGGGGTCTATTATTTGCCATCTGCAAACCATGTGTAAACATATTTATTAAAACACTCATTTGTTTACCATGTGTAAAACATGCGTGCAAAGTGAATTACAGCTGTCCTTAATAACATAATTAATAACCAATACAAAGGACTGTCTGTGAGCTATATAGGCAATTCTTTAACCCCCAGCACCCTTGACTGTCCAGGCCTTGGGCCATCCTTCCGATGTGACAAGCTCCATATAAGTACATTTGGCTGATATATAAATCAGGGTACCCATATTTCTCTACATTCTGTACATTGTTTTACTAATGGTAGTACAATAGAACTATAGAAACTTACAGCAGAGGTGGCCATTGTGCTCGTGCTAGCTCTCTGGAAAAGCTAAGCATTTCATCCCATTCCCCTGACTTTTCCTCATACACCTTTTATATTTCTCCTTTCCAGACACAGTGGAGCCTGTTGTAACAAAGTGATTGCAAACCTGCCTTATAACAGGGGCCATGACTGCCAGTGAACACTTCCTACACCCTTCCGGGGTGTGAGCCATCAACCAAGGTAAAAAATGGTCAACATATGCGACATTAGGCTTAGTGGAGTCCTGTAGCTCAGTGGTTAGAGCACTCGCTTTGCAAGCAAGAGACCTGAGTTCAATTCCAGGCAAGTCAGGGCGAAACCTTGGGCAAGTTTCCTTACTCCACACACCTAATAATAATTCCTCCAAAAAACTAAACAATAATAAATTGGTCATTTTCAATCCATGACTGTTTGTGGGACACTGCTGTGCGCAATTGGCTGCCGCGTTCGCCCACAAATATACAGTCAATTCACTTTACAGTATATTCTGTGAAGTGCTTTGGGACGTCTAGAAGACGTGAAAAGCGCTATATCAAACGCAAGGATTATTATTATAGGCTGCATGGCTGCTTCCAAGAACTGATTCTGTCCTGATAACCCTAGTGACCCGATAACCCAGAGAAAATCTGTCCACTGTATTTATCCAATTACTTCTTCAAAGTTAACATAGATCTGCTTCAACCATAGTTCCTCGGCATTCCATGTCCTAACAACCAACTGTGTAAAACAAATTCTCCTTAACTTTGTGTTTTTTTACTTTAAATCTGAACTGTCTAAATAGTGGTTAACAATTAGTGGAAATAATGCACATTTATACATGGGACACAATGTACATTTGTTTGCACATGTCATATAACAAATCCCAACATGTTGTGGAATAATTAGCATTCATAAACTTTTGGGAGTAATATTGACTTTTGCCATACAAAATATGTGCAGTTATATGTATAGATATAGATAAAGGTATTTTGCTTTGAGAGGAGCAGAGAGAGAGACGGAGAGAACATTACCATTCCAGATGATTTTCTACAAATGCTGACATCGGGCTGATCTGCACAGTATATGTGTCGTTGGCTGAGTACTCAAACAGGCCATAGTAGGGATTGAAGAGTTCCTGGGACAAGAGGAAGAAAAATTCCCTCGATGGTCCACTGTAATCCAGGCTGGAAAAGAAATTGGAACCTCAGATATAGATATACACAGAGTGTTAGAAGTATGAACCATTTCAACTTTATCAATCCTTAAGGGTCAATGAGGGTAACATCATTAAAGCCCAGGGCTTGTTCGAACAAGACTTCATGTGCTAGTTACCCTACCCCCCAATAGTTTGCATACAAAATACACAGTCAATACACTTTAAATAATTCTATTGAAACGCTTTGAGACTTCCTCCGACATGAAAGGCGTTATGCAAGGATTATTATTTATTATACAACTTTTCTCAATTTTATTTGTGGAGTTCTGAGTCTCTGAGTGAAGGGCGCTATATAAATGTAAATTGTTATTTTTGCAAACACACTAGTGTGATTTTATACATCTCACTTCCAGAATGCAACCTGTCTGTAATCATGGTTATATACAATAGCACACAAGTGATGCATGCTTAAAGGGTAGTGGTGCTTGTCAGTAGTCGGAGGGGTGGGGAATGAAGTATCTGAGCAGGGACTATGCTGCTTTGTTCGGATGTGTTGTTGAGTTAATTGCTACCCTTATCTCATCTCTCCACCATTCCCTATAGTGGGTAGCCAGTCAAAATTATCTACAGTTTAAAAAAAAGGCTTCAAATTGAGACAAAATCCTGCACAATCTTAAATTTTAGGAAAAAATAATCTTACGGGTTAAGAATAAGTGGACTTGTGGGTCTCCGAATGGAAGGTTGACTGAATGCTGGTCTGTAACAAAGGGTTTATTGCAAACTATTTCAAGTAATCTGAAGTAATGATTTCTAATGCAATTGCCAGCAGATCATAATACATGAAAGTGTCTGTGTAAACAGCTCTGATATAACTGTCATCACAATGATAATGTCAGTTCATTGTCCAAGGCAAGGAAATGCTAATCAGACGGAGACAAATACTAAGGCAAGCAAAGATTTATAATGTATCAAACCCTTTTCTGTTCATACAGGTATTCTGCACCCCCTCTATGGAACTCCATCCTGGAGTTCCTCTGATTCCCTCCCTCCCTTCTTTCAAAATCTGTCTCAAGATCTTCCTCTTTGACCAGGCCTTTGGTCATCTTTCCCCTCCCCACCCCCAGCTTGGGTGCCAACCTAAGACTATCAAGCATCTTGGGATGCCCTTCCATCATAAAAGACATTGCATAAATGCAAGTTTACATTCCAATTCAATTCCAAATCTCAAGTAAACTTAAATGCAAATTCATGTTCCTGACAAATTTCTGACACAATGGCCCTCTACGTATCTGATTTAAATAGCAAAGAGTGCAAGCAAAGCAATGCCCAAACATCAACTGAAATAGTAACACATTGCAGAGTTGAATGGTTTTGAGTAATTATGTGGATTTATATTCAAGCATTTTCTGTTGTTTTCTTTAGATTAAATTACTGGCTGAATGATAAATATGCTGTGGCTCACAGATTTGCCAATTTATTATCTTGCAGGAATCTTGCCCGATTCAAGCACAACATTGCTGGACAAAGTATTCTGTGTTGCCCAAGAAACTGTGCTCAGGATGTTATTACTAAAATATTTAGATCCTAAAAAAGATTTCTGGAATTTGGCTTTGTGCAAAAAAAAGCTTATTAAAAATATCTCAGGAGCAGACTTTGATACAAGTCAGACTGTGCTAGTCCTTACCAGTGAGGGAAAAATGGGAATTAATAGATAGCATTTTACTCCCAACAATACACTGCTTATGCAAGTTCAAGATGGAAATCTACATTTTGGTTTGATTTTTTTAGCCTTCTCCTATCTCACAGAGGCATAGAAATTTCCAGCATAGAAGGTCATTTTGTCCATTTAGTCTGCACCTGCTCTCAGAGCAAGGTTCAATTTCAACATTCAAGCAACATTCAATCCCACTGCCCTGCCTTATCCCCATATCTCTTCAAGCCTCTTGGGGGATTCTTTGCTGGGGGAATTGGCCATGCTCCAATATCTCGCTGGCCTTTTTTGAGGCTAGACAGCGAGTGTCAGTAGGCTATGTAACCAGAGACATATCAGACAAGTGTAAGCTGTTCTCATCTGATGTTGGTATATTTTAACTTTTTGCAACAGGGTCACTGGTAATAATCCGGAATAGGACAACCTAATTGTTTGTTGACCTCCCTAGCCAGGAGATAATAATAATAATAATAATAATAATAATAATAATAATAATAATCCTTGCATTTGATATAGCGCTTTTCACGTCGGGAGGACGTCCCAAAGCGCTTCACAGAACACACTGTAAAGTGAATTGACTGTATATTTGTGGGCGAACGCGGCAGCCAATTGCGCACAGCAATGTCCCACAAACAGATCTTAACCCTGGTGGATTTGTCTGGATTTCACATTATAACGAGATCTACAAAGCACAGGCTATTGTCAGCACTCAATTGACCAAGAATTGGTGCAGTGAATGCAGATGCCACATATAACATTTTGTGTATTTTGACTGTTTGCTAAACTGTGTAATGGATCTGTGTGTGGGGGGATCACTCAGTGGGGTCGGCTGATGTCAGGCCATGAGGCGTGCGGGTGGAGAAAATGCGCTAACCAACCAGTTAGTCAGTGACACACACAGCTTCCTCTACCAACTGTGAGGAGACTCTACCAAATGGTCTTTCCTCGCTGAGAGGACCATCTGATTGAGCTGATGGGAGTGGATTTGGGGTGTAAAGCTGTGAGCTAATCTGCGCCATCTCGCTTTGCTCTGAAGCTCAAGAAAGGTGGCCCTCGAGGGAGGCCTGAGGCTGAGACTACACGGCTGGGACAGAAAACTGAGTGGAGTATCTTTAGAGATTGTCAGACTGGGGTCCTCTCCTCCCCCCATCCTATGTGTGTGTGTCTCTGTGGTTAAATGTGAGAGTATGAGAGAGTGTGTGTTGGTTGTCTGTGGGTGAGAGTGTGAGAGAGTGTGTGTGTGAGTGTGCGTGTACATAAACTGATCGATGAACCAAGTCTGACTCCGTGCCTGTCTGTGTCTAGCTGTTGCGCGAGCGGTCTGCTGTTACACTTTGATCGAAAACATCCAGAGGAAATAAGGCATTTAATTCCTAAGAGTTTACAACCTTTAACAAGTATAAAGGGGAATAATTGTATAATTGCAATAATTCTTTAATGAGTACTTCTAGTTCTTCTGTGTTGATTATTTTGGCAAGTTGACTGCTGCCTGGTTTAGATACTGTTAAACTGTGAGCATTGTGTGAAATTGTGATCTAAAGATGAATTGGAAAATGGCCCAGCTATTCCAGCCAGTAACAACAAAGCCGGATGACTCCTTACCCTTCTTCTCCTACAAATGTGACATACAGCTTGTTCCGCTGCAGATCTTTGCGTGAATAGGCCATCACCTGGTTGAAGGTGCCTTCCAGCAAGTGGTCCCGGCGTATAATTAACCTGAAGAGAACAGAGTGGAGTTACAGGGGGAATAAAGCAGTGAGTGCTGCTAGATTGGCAATTGAATGCCGCAGGACTGCTTTTCTTTACAAACAGCTTTGGGATTGTAACTGAAACAACATGTCAGCTATTTTAGGAAACCCCATATTCTTTTTCTTGGAAAATGAATGCACATTTTTGAATAGGGTTTGCTCACTTGTAAAGAAGGCCTCTTTAAAGGTGCTGTCTTTTAGTGAAAAGTGCTTCGGGCTGCAATGTGCCATTTGCTCCCGACAAAGTGAAGCACAAATGTTTGCCAAACAATTTTCTCCCAAAGTTAATGCTCCCTTCAGACCTCATTCTCATGTCTGTCAATTAGTATCAACAAGCACGCAGGATCCTTTTTGGAACATTCTGATCACATATTTTGCAGAAGATCAGTATTGTTTCATTGTTTATTTCAAATCTGTTTTTCTAAACTAAATGAACACCAGACTGTCTTCCTGAAAAGATTATTAGGGGTTTGTTCTTTCATTTGTTTACCAAGACATCTGGGTTGACAATGAAATACTACTAAAACACAAGGACACATTACTTATGTGTAATATCGCAAAGCAAAATGCTGGGTTTAATCAGTGTGTTTGGCACCTTGTCTTTCAGGGTACAACTTCAGACTGTATTTTTCTCAGATAGCTAGCTTCCTGGAGCATGTCTTTATAACACAGATAGACTCAATTCTTCTGAACTTAAGAAACCACCCAACAAAAAAGGAAAGTTGGGAAGTAAAGTATCACCACACCATTCCCTTGTCTACAAATCCACATTTTTTCTTCAGCCGGAACTCAGTGACTGGGCTGTCACCATCCTGCCTATTCTATCTGGAACTCCCTCCTGGATTCCCCCTGCCTTGCCGTCACTCTCCCCACCTTTAAAGCTCATCTTCGGACCTTTCTTTTTGACTGCACATTTGGTCACCTCTCTCCACCACCTCCCCTTTTCCTCAGGTTCCTACCTGATTGTGTGAAATGCTTCCAGAGGTGCTTCTAAAGTGAAAGGCACTTTATAAATGTAAAACTATTGTAGTTGTTATCATTGAGACCAAAATCGTACCATTGTACACTGTTCTATGTGACATTGGCAGAACAATAGTCTGACAGCAATCAAGAACATTTAGTGATTTTTGCTTAGAATTACATTGCCAGATGACAGCCGCAGTCTTTCCTGCCTGAGAGGCTTGTCACTGTGTCTCAGCTAACCTTTCACATTCCCTATTGTCACTGGGTCCTATAAGTGTCAGCTTTTCCTGTGGACACCAACAATGGGAAGTGACAATGATAGAAAGCCAAGTAGCGCTAAAAGTAAAGCAGGAGAGCGAGATAGAGACGCAAGTTGAAGAGGAAGGAAAAAGAGGAATAATACGAAAGTAAAAAAGAAGAGATCAAAAAGAATGCAGAGAAAAAAAATGAGTTTCATTTAATCCTGGCTTCAAAATAGATCTTTAGCTAGTTTTACACCTGATCTGGCTGCGGCTGTGGGTCTTGTACTCAGGGTCTATGTATTTAATGTGCTATGCTGTTGAGGGAATGCTAAACATATTATTCTTACTTGATTTTTCCTGGACCTTGCCCATACCCTTTGGCCTCAAGTTTCCTGTAGAAGTTTCTCAGTTTTGCTTCGAAGTCTCTCCGGTACGGTGCGGGAGCCCTCGCACTGGCACGCTGCATACCTGTCACAGTAAAACAGTGTCAGCAAGGACATCCCTGTAAGATTCACTGAGAACTGCAACACTTTATACAAACTTCTATAAGCTCACAGTTCAAGAAATACACCCCATCCTTCAGAATATCATAATAATATTCATTGCATTTGATATAGCACCTTAAACATTGAGGAGACATCGCAAAGCACTTCAAGGGATTTGACTGTAAAGTGCAGTGACTATTTTGTAGGCGAATTGTGACGAAAAGTATTACATTCAAATATTTTTACTGATGTTGAGCAGGTGATTTTATCTGTTCCCCCAGTATTGTACAAGCATAATTTTATGCACAAAGTGATTTTGTGACTACAATTCTACACAAATCTATCATCTCTTTTCTCAATTAAACAGAGTAAAATCTACTTGCTCTGATTTGGCACAGTTTCCTCATATTTCTTTCTTTGTTGTGAATCTGGGAATAATGATACAGCTTTGGGAGGTGACTTGCTCTTCGTTATATTTTATTCTTGGAGAAAATGCCTGACCATTAATGCTGGGAAAGGAACACACCAAAGCTCAGGTGTACACAACCCAGTGGAGAGTTAAGAGTTCTCTCCACTCCACCCCAACAGTGTGTTTCACACTGTTCTTGTACATTAGACCTTTGTGTCTCCAAAGAGTCTGTGTCTGGAGGCAACTGTGTCCAGTCTATGTCTGGAGGCAAATTAATAAGTTATAATGGAAAATTTTCCCGACACCAAATCTTCCAGGACCAGACTCAGAGTCAGATTCTCTGTTCTCTCTGGAGCGAGTGTTGAACTGAAAAGCCACAGCTCCAAGGTGAACAGCTGTTCACCCACAAACCTGGTTGCTGGACAGGTTTAGGTGCTCCGGGATGCTACCCCGCGTGTAGGGCGCTATATAAATGCAAGCTGTTGTTGTTATTGTTTAAATGGTGTAATGGAAAGAAGTAAAATACCCGGAACTCCCAAATCCAGGACTCCCTGTACATTACCAGACTCCGCATTCTTCAAAATAAAGAGGTTTCAGACCAACCTTCGAAAAGCAGAATGTGCTGCAGCAGAGTGTCAGTTTTCATTTCCAACTTACCTCTCGGAGAGTCATATTACCAGTTTATACCAAGTTAGAGGCACTACTGTAGACTACCGAAGCAGCGTAATTTGTTCAAATTTGGTCAGAATTAACAGGGATTTGTCCCGCTAGACTGGATTTTAAACTCAGATCCCAGAGGGGAAAATACATTCACTGACACTCTACCCTAACCAATCCTGTGAAACACTTTGAGACATCTTGGCGATGTGATAGGCGCTATATCAAATACACGGATCATTATTATAGTTTCTGTCTAGCAGCCCCTGTTGTCAAATCATCTCTCTTTTGTCTCAAAGCAGGTCTCAGATATTTTATTTGAGTGCGAGAAAAGAGAATTCTGTAACTTGAAGATGGGCTAGCAATAAGCTTCAAAACCCAAGATACATAATATAAAAAATAATAATTGTTGCATTTGATATAATCTGAGAAATACTAGCAGATGCTTCGAACAACTATGGTATTACACTGGCACTGGGAACACTCTATCCCCTTCTTGAGGTTATAATGATTTTTACAGATATTGCAATGTAAAATCCTTTTGGAACGCTCTGAAACGTACGCCAGCAACTCCCGTTACAAAAAACACAGGCAATCCTCACATCAGGATCAGATTTTACACAGTTTTAATTCCAAAAGCCAATTTGCACGGTTTATCCAGTTCAATACTGGTCACCTGGGGAGTTCTGAGGTGAGGAGCCGGGCGAACAGCGGGGAGAGTAGCTGTAGCCAGGGTGAAATGAAGCAGGCGGTGGAACGTGGGACATAATCTCATCTTCAAAGAGGCTGAAAGACAACAAAGCACGTTAAGTAAATGCCTGAGTGAGTTAGTAATCATTGTCAGGAAGGAGTTAGTAGTACAGAACAGTGATCTTGTTAATATTGTCAAAAGTATTTTCATTTCACTGAACAATCTGACATTTAAACTATAATCACAACAGAATTATACTTGGCACCAAGTTAAATCAAAAGCAGTGCAATAAAATGACTCCCTATTTGCTATTTATTATTTGTTTGCAAGCACACAATTCAATGGTACAAACATCATTGAAATGCATCATTGAGGCATTTGCACCTGATGTAAGTGATGCCCAACATATGGGGAGGGCTTCATAGAGCTGGTTGAGGCTCGAAGTCTGAGCTACACGTGGGTGGGGGAACGAGGGGTGGGAGGTAGTTGGGCTGAGGAAGGAGGGAGAGAAAGGTGACCAAGGCGATTGACATGCAAAAGTCTTTTAAGTTGTTTAGTTTTGAAAGACTTATTCATGAAGGAGATCCCACTTTAAACACCATTATGCAATGACTTTATAACACCCCCTGTATTCCAATATGCACACTGGTGCCCTGTTTACTTACAATCATCATTGCCTCAAACCTAATGATTACATCGTTCAGATGAGACATGCAGAGACACAAAGACAAAGAAATCTCACATTTCTCATTCCTTTCTCGAGAGGCTCATGTCCAAGATGCCTACTCTGGTTATCTACATGGCTTACTTCAGACGATGGGCCTTATGTTACTTGTTTGACACATGCTACACCAAGACACCTTATGGGTGTTATTCCAAGTGAAATTGTTCTCCAACTCAAGCTGAAAGATGGAATTTCCAGTACAGCAGCATATCGTCAGTGGAAATAAATATACTTTTAAAAATAAGCACAGGTCTTAAACTTGGAATGTGTGTTTCCCTGACTACCAGCACAGGAAAACAACGCAGTAACCAGCATTCATTTTTACAGTCACGTTTTTCTTAGCAGTAAAGAACAGAGAAAACAAAAACACTGTGGGGGCATTAAAAATGATTCTCGGAAAAGTGGAAAGTATTAGTCTCGGGAGACTCATAAAGTGAAATGGGCACTAGGTTCAAAGAACCCTGGTTCAAGATGTGACTGAGGTCAGGACACAAAACAGCTGAGAAGGCGGTGGATAAGCAATTTTGAAGATTTTTTAAAAAAATAATGGAGTTGGTGAGAAAATAAAAGCATCTTGTTGCCTTGCAGCCTTTGCATTAGGCCTACCCTGAACACCAGGTTTTGGTGACCCACTGATCTCAATGTACAGCTTTGATCTGAAGTGTGTCAGTTGTCTATATTGTAAGAAATGGTAACATACTGATGGTGGAGTGGCACAATGTATCCAAACCCAGAGCTTCTGCACCACTGATTGGCAGAACACAAGCTCATGCCCACAACTCATCAATCTCAGAAGGAGATTGAATCGGAGATCAGTTCTTGTTGCTTCAACTGATGTAATTCCGGGTTCATATTTGTGAATCCTTTGAGAATCCAGGTTGCGGTTCCCATCGTTGAGACCCGCCCCCTCCCCCAAGCACCAGGCAATGATTCACCCACTGATTCTTCCTCAGAGTCTGGCTATACTCTATTCAGCACCTGTAGCCACAGCCCATCTATGTCTGGGGTCTGGTTAGGTGGAGCGTCAATGTTGCAAACTACACCATTGGGCAGTTTAAGATCTTACCACAAAATCACTGCCATTTGTCAATGTAGGAAACCACTATTATTTATAATCAGTAAAAAGTGCATGGATAGCAAAGCCACTTAAATGTACAGAGCTCCCTTTCCTTTTAAAAGTGACAGCACACCCAAAACCAAGATGAATGGCTGTCAGTCCACTTGAGAGGTTTGTGTTGAAATGTGCTTTAAAAGCTTAGATCCAGGTTTCCACTGAGTCTTAGTCTGGAAGACTATTTTGTCTTAAAATTTGTAATCATGCAAAATAGTGAAACATGTTTAAATCTAGCATTAATTTAGAAGCTGGGTCTTTTTAAGAACTGTGTCAAATTGGCTTCTAAATTAAGGATGACTTGAAAATGTTTCCACAGCATTCCTACAGCCAAGACTAGGTGGAATGTTGGGCCTACTGTTTTGTTTCATTTGTGAAACCCGAGAATCCCATTAAATATTCCATCAGAAAAACAGGTAAAGTTATGGTACGAAACCAAAATGAGGTGTGACCTTTGCCACCACTCAGATTAGATAATGGGTAGGCTGTGTGTGCTGGAAGGGTGAGATCAAATGAGAGTCCAATGACACTGAATACTTAAGTGAAGTGCTGAGGGAGTGTTACATTGTTGGAGGTGCTGCCGTTAAACTGAGGTTTTGTCTGCTTGTTCACGTGAATCTTTAAGATCTCATGGCACTACCAGAAAAGAGAAGACCAACAATCTTTCAGAATGACTTCCAGTCATTCACATCATGGCCGTTTGTGGCACATTGCTTGTGGGCAATTTAACTTTTATATCCGCTTACAAATATGCAGTACATTTTGTGAAGTGCTTTGAGACATTTTTGCAATGTGGAAAATATCAAATGCAGGAATTATTATTATTATTAAATGGTCCAAATTGTCTTTTNCAAACAGCGTCCCCCAACCACCCCCACCTCATCAGTCTCCCCTGCTCCACTATTCACAAAATTCAAATAATTCAAAACTCTGCCGCTCCGCTTTACTCTTAGTAAGATCAGAGTTACATTCGGACACCAAAGTGCATTCAGCTAACACAAGCTTATCAAATCTCAATCTATCTGAAGCCTGGTTGGGATGTTCATGATTAAGAAAATCCACTTAACCAGTGGTTTCCACCAAACAGCTGTGAGTGACCTCTACTGGCTGACCTCGGGCAGATACCAGTTCACGAGACAACCAGGTCTTGTGCATACTGTTTATTATTTTACCACCTGTAATATAGTTTCAAATTGAAAAAAAACTCTTTAAGTGTGTGGAGAGGAAAAGTGTGTTCTTAAACTTGAGATACTGAATCACAACAGCATTGCCTTATGTCAGGCCTATTCACTTCTCGCTCAGGAAATCTACACTCATATTGAGGCAGGTGTGGATCAAGAACTTTTCTAGCACCTTATCATTTCAAGATCTCTCAAAGAGAAAGTAATTACTGTAGAGTGGAGTAGCTGTCTCTGCAAATAAATGCAGCTACTACTTTTGCAATAGCAAGGCCCCCAAAACAACCTTAACAACAACTATAATAACATTTAATAGAACACCTTTCACATTGGGAGGATGTCTCAAAGCACTTTACAGGATTTATTATAGTCTAGTGACTCTGTATTTTGTAGGCAAACACAGCAGTCAATTTGCACGCAGCCATGAAATGAGTAACACGTTTTATTTGGTGGATTGTTCGCCAGGACACTGGGAGAAACTCTCCACTTTTTAAATAGTGCCTTGGAAGTTTAAATGATTCAATTTGTTTACGTTGACAGAAGTTCACATTTGGTGGGTGATAAGACCCATTTTTATAATTTCATACCCTGTTGAAATATATCCACCTCAATAAAATGTGAAGCACATAAGTATTGTAGCAGGTCATTTAACACTGCAAGACATGATAGAAAACATAATTCAGGGCTACAGTAGATTATGTTGATGTTACACACTATCCATCACTGGTGTGATATGAATCAGTGTCGAGCCTGAGATTTCATGCAAGCCTGATACCACATTCCCACGTCCAGCAAGTATTACAAGCTTGTTAAAATTGAAAATTGAAAAATATCAATGGGGTTATAGCTGACACATCCTTCACTCCCCCTCATCCAAACAGGCAGCCAGCCAGGGCTTAGGAGAAGCTAGGATCAAGTTCTTGTCTGGAAATCCAATCAATGGTTCAGGTACATGATTTGACACTGGATAAAAAATATTTGAAATCAAACAAGAATACTAAGTAATGCAGAAAACAGATTTTTAGTCTTTCATGAGCTCTGATGCATTAAATTAAATATATACTTTATGCATCACTGCCAATGAGAATTCTGTTTCAATGACCAATGTTTGTTATGCAGCCAACATATTCTGAGACAGAGACAATAATTAGGTCACACTGTAGGCTAAAACCACAGTCACTGGCAGGATCACTGCATTGTTATTACAAACAGTACAGTTCTAATAGAATGGCAATTGAAAAGTTATCCTTTTATATATCTGCGCATCGTATATCTCTTCTTGAGTTCTGAAACTAGCTGGTGCTTACGGCACGGGCACAAGAACCTCCGCAAACATGAACTGCCAGTGACTGATCAGAATATCACAGTTTGGCCGGTGGTGAAAGCACCAGCACAGACTTTATCAGCCGAACAGTTGTTTTAAGTGCTGTAACATTCTATGATGCTAGTACATGTTGGACTTGTGACAATTCATAATGTGATACTTGAAATAATTAACCCAAGCAATGCATTATGAAACATTGCAAATTTAGGCCCATGTTCACAGACCTGACCTGCGAAAATGTAGGCCAATGTTCACAATTGTAGTGAAACGATATATTTAAGGCATCTGGGACAAATAAATTTATTATAAAAATGATTTCTTTACCTCAACAAAATAACTAAGTCTGCATCACAGGACAACTTTTCCAGACCAAGAGTTCCTTCTGTACGAATATAATGGATCTTCTCCCTAGATTAAACAACACAGAAATGTATAACTCATCTGAATGACTGTCTGAAAAAAATGATCAAGGAAAATAACTTAATCTAATGGGTCTCTTTCATATCCATTCCCTTCTTTTCTACTTACCTGTGGTCTCAGACTGGGAAAAAAATGAGTATTACTCAAACAGCAGTATTTTGCTAAGATGTTTTTGCTGCAATTTTCCCAATGATAGGCAACAGCCCAAACTCTGTTATATTTCTTTGTGGCTCAAGTATATGTAGGTAAATTCATAGAACATGATCAATTATGCTGTCTGATCTTACAGGCTAAAACTAGGTGGCATTTGGAGCCTCTGGAGGGGAAACTGGCTGAATTTCCTTCCCAACCTGCGTTGTTGATGCCAATTTTAGCATAGAATCATAGAGTTGTTCAACACAGAAGAATTGACTCCTAGTGCTGCCAGCTAACTGCAAGCTAACTCAGCACAAACTCAGCGTGAGACCTGGGATCTAGCTAGTTTGTGTGGCTCAGCAACTGGATAAACTCTCTGAGCCGTCACGGAAGCTATGTGTATATTTTTAAAGTGAAATTGACAGCAATTTAAACAATATGGGCAATTTCCCCTGTCGATGTTATTTACATTAGCGGTCTAATCCTTGGCTGTGGCGAGCCCTCGTGCTGCTTTACATCAGGATGCATCCGTACTAAAGGACGCCTGGTTTTCTATCTCGTCCTTTGATAAAAGAGAAGCATTAAATCAGGGTGGGAGCAATTCTAAGGTCACTCAAGAATGGAGGCAGGGGATGGTCATGCTCCACAGGACAGTGATATTAATCCTTGTACTTATTGTATTCTACATGGAATATAAATTAAAGCTGCTCCCCTTTTGTAGTTGTGGGAGTTTCAAAGTTAACCCCAAGATGGAACTAGGAGATACCACACAAGATGTACACTACTCTTCACCCTCTACATGCTCCCCCTTGGTGACGTCATCCGCAGACATGGGGTAAATTTCCACGTGTATGCGGATGATACCCAACTCTACCTCTCTGCCTCCACCCTGAACTCCAGGACTACTGAGGTCCTGACCAACTGCCTGTCCGACATCAAGTCCTGGACGAGGGCCAACTTCCTTCAACTCAACGTCAGCAAGACTGAAGCCCTCCTGATTGGCTCTCGCCAGCGCCTCCACACCTCAGGCGCTGGCAGCATCAGCCTCCATGGCTGTACACTCAACCTCACTAAGCCAGTCAGGAACCTGGGTGTCTTGTTTAACCCTGAACTGTCCTTTTTCCCCCACGTCCGCGCCATGACCGGCACTGCCTACCACCACCTCCGCAACATTGCTGGACTCCGCCATTGCCTCACCCCTCAGGCTGCAGAAACCCTCACCCACGCATTTGTCACCTCAAGGCCCAATTACGGGAACTCCCTCCTCCTTGTTGCCATACTTTTAGCTCCAGGCCAAAAGTGGAGTCAAAAGCCTGGTATTCACAACTTGGATTTGCAAAAAGATTCATGACTATTGAGTCCTGCTGGCAACGGCTGTGTATTACGCTGCTCGGGGGAAACTCCATTCTGACTTGATCTCCTTCCAGTCACATCAAGCCAGATCTGTCGTGTGCCAATGCCATGCACATCTGGTTATTGTCAAGATTCAATAATAATACAAATCCTTTGTGAATCCAGGTTGCAACTACTGCATTTTTGATGCTATAACCTTCATTATGCTTTCACTTTTATCACTCTGTCTCTAGCATGCTCACTTGTTCGCCTACAAATGCACAATAAATTCTGTGAAACGCTTTAGGATATCCTCTTAACAAGAAAGGTGCATCCACTTTCCAGTAAGCTTTTACATAATTTTCTCTTATGTAGTTAGTCCAATTGTGATTCTTCTAAGTCTCTTACCCTAGCTGAGAGCAGTTAACTCTACATAAGCCAGTGATAAAATGTGGGACGGTTCAGGACTATGTGATTTAGTTCCGAAACTAGACTGTTCATTTACTTATTCAGCCTCAAGTTGCTGTGAAATTGAAGCATTTACACAAGTGTCACAAAACTTGTTTATATTGAGTGTTAGGAATCTGTGTGCGAGAAGAGATTGCAGATATTGGTTGTCTTTCTAATATGTATTAAATAATTATATTCTCCTTCAGTACAAGTTTGGTGTATTGATTATTAATTCCATCAATTGTTAAATCTAAACTGTTTGCCTGTTTCCTGTATGAAACTGCTCTGCCCTGATGAGACTGTTCTAATATTTAAATATACACAAATAACATTTTGTAGCTCGGAGAACATGGTAATAAGGGTCAATGTAGTCCATCAAAGGAATTCTGATAGGGGTTGTGGAAGGTCAAAGGCAAGGAGCTTTTCAATGGAGTGTGAGAAGGAAACAATCAGTCTATGTCAACTTTCCATCACTTAATGATCTTAGTTACAGCTGAGCTAGTTACATCTGAGTGGAAAGCACTGTACTCCAGCCCAAAAGGAGAGGGTGGTTTAACTATCCATGAAGGGACTAGAATAGTCAGTGTTACTACATTTTGCCATAAAGTTGGAAAGTACGATATTGTTTTGTTCGGCTCACCTGCGTCCTGCAAAATAAAGCTCTGTTTTAATCTACAATACATCTAACGATTATTGCATTTTTACAAAGTCGACCCAATCGTATTCTGCTTTCCGATTTTGATGCTCTGCTCTTTTAATGGAAAAAGACAAACTTCTTATCTATAATTTCTTCAATCAAAATCCTCAATTACTAAAAGAACACCACAAAATAGTGCATCAAAGAAATTTAGAGAAATGGAAACAAGACATTTGGAAATTTCAAACCTCCAAAGGCATTGCAAAAAAAATCATTTGGTAATCATTCTGGAATGATAAATCTGTCTGGGATCTTGTATGGACCTTCCTGATTCTGACATCTCTTATAAAATTAAAACAGCTCTTTTTTTCTTAAATTATTTATACATTTTTGATTTACATCCATTTCTCTCCCACCACAGACTTTACTGAAGATTGTAAAGAGACAAAAGATGAGATGCATTAAAATGTAGTGCTTATGTGACACCAAGAATTGGTTTTAAAAAACTCTAGATCTTGGAGGAAGGACGAATGTGTGATGTAACAACTTCCAAAGTCTTCACAAGATCACATCACAAGAGAGGTTTGGATGAAGAAGATCCTTTGGTCATCTGATCCAATTCCACCCTCCCATCACAGCATCAAGCTGCTTCTTAAATGAGTCCAGAATCCTGGCCTCAAGGACCCTAGTTGGTAGCCCATTCCAGTTGTTAATTACCTTCTAGATAAAAGCTGCTTTCTGATGGCTGTCTTGAAACTGTCCTTGACTACTGCCTGGCATATCTGGAAGTATTATTCTGAGTTTATTTTCTCAAACCAATTTAAAATCTTATATACCTCTACAAGATCTCTTTTGATATAATAATAATAATCCTTGCACTTGATATGCCTTATCATGTTTTCAATATGTCTCTTTTCAAGGTTGAAGAGCCCAACAACAACAAATTGCATTAACACAGCGTCTTTCACGTCAGGAGGACATCCCAAAGCACTGGACATTAAAGGTTTTGCACCCGAGCTGGAGGTTGTATTCAGGTGGTGGCCAAGGGGGAGGTGGGGAGGGGGGCTGTGGTCGTGTGATGTTACAGATGACTGAAGGCGCAGTCAAACAGGTAGATATTCAGATCGAACTTGAAGGAGATGAGGGAAGGGGCAAGGCAAAGGGATGGAGTTCCAGAGAATGGCTACAGAAAGGCTGAAAGCTCAACCACTGGTGGTGGGGTGGGCAGAGGTCATGAAGTAGGCAAATGTCTGCCGAACGGAGGAGTAGGCAGGTTACTAGGATTTAAGAAGATCGAAAAGCTAGGGTTGGGCAAAACCATGGTGGGATTTAAAAATGAGGATGAGGAGCCAGTGGAGCTGGGCGAGGGCAAGGGTGATAGGCTTGTGGAGCCTTGTGCGGGAAAGGACATGAGCTGCAGTGTTCTCGATGGTCTGCAGCTTGTGGAGCGAAGAGGTGGAAAGTCTGGCAAGCAAAGAGTTGGTGTAGTCTAGGATCTCGGCGGCCTGAGGGGAGAGGTAGTGTCAGAGCCAGGTGATGATGTGGAGGTGGGAGGAGAAATCTGAATAGGTCAGATCACGGATGTGATTCCATACTGGAATCCCTCTGACTCACTCCCTCTCTATTGTCAAAGAGCACCTCAAAACTTACCTCTTTGAGTATGCTTTCGCCTTGATTACGGAAACTTCCTCCTCATCGGCCTTCCCAACTCTTCCCTTCACAAGTGCAGATCATCCAAAACTCTGCAGCTCTATACTCTTGTGCACCAGGCTCCGTGACCCCATCACTCCCACCCTCGCCCGACTCCACTGGCTCCCCATCTCTCAGAGGATCCAATTCAAGATCCTCGTCCTCATTTTCAAGGCAATCCATGGCCTTGCCCCCTCCTACATCTCTGACCTGCTGACTCCCTACTGACCTGCCCGCTCCCTCCATTCAGCGGACTCCGGTCTGCTCCATGTCTCCCGCCCGACCTGCCCTAGCATCGGCGGCTGGGCTTTCAGCCTCTCTGCCCCCACACACTGGAACTCCATCCCACAATTCCTTCACCTCAATTCCTCCATTGCCTCCTTCAAGGCCGGTCTCAAGACCTTCGGTCGCCCTCCCACCTCTCTGCCTTCCCTCACCCCTACCCCACCCCTCCCCCATGCTCGGGTCCCGATCCCTGACTATCTAGCGCTTTAGGACATCCTCCCGATGTGAAAGGCGCTCTATAAATGTCATTTTGTTGTTGTTGTCATCTTTCCCCTCCCCACTCTCTGGCCTAGGTGCCCAGCTAGCAGTGTAAAATGCTTTGAGACACCCACCTGATGTGAAAGATGTTACATAAATATAAATTGTATGATTTGGGGATGATCCTCAGTTCTGTCCTCAGTCCTCTTCTCGGGCCTAGACTTACAATGTGTTGAGTGACCAGACTGTATGCAGTATTCTATGTGCAGCAGAACTTGAGTATGGCTTCTGGGCATCTGAACTTAACTGAATTGGCTATAATGACGAGGATCCTGTATCTCTTGTTTATTGCTGCCTCACACTATTTCAGACACTGAGCAATGAGACAACTCGTGAAATGGAAAAGAACGAGTTAACAGTAGCAGACAGTGCTGGTTTGAATTCACATGAACAGGAGGCTGAGGGTAATTCAGTGCGTAGCTTGTGTTGTACATTACGGTAAAACCTTAGCTCAGTGGTTAGAGCATTCGCCTTGGAAGCAAGACACCTGGGTTCAATTCCAGCAGGGCAAAACCTTGGGCAAGCTTCCTTACTCCACACGCCTAATAATAATCCCTCCAAAACAAAACAATAATAAATTGGTCATTTTCAATCCACGACTGCTTGTGGGACATTGCTGTGCGCAATTGGCTATCGCGTTTTTCCCACAAATATATGGTCAATTCACTTAACAGTATATTCTGTGAAGCGCTTTGAGATGTCTAGACGATGTGAAAAGCGCTATATCAAACGCAAGGATTATTATTATTATTAAACCACTGCATTAAAACAGCAGTGTTTAAGGGAAAATCAGATGAAACCAAGATTAATTTATTCTGTTCCCCGTAAGCAAATAAATCCTCCTTTTCCCCAGCTGAGCTGCTTCTTCCCTTTAAAAGCATTCCTTTTACCCAGAGCACTCAATCTACCAACGAGTGATTTGTTCCTACAACATTTACAGTGGCTTTTTGGCCCCGAGGTTTACAATTTCATCAACTTGAACAGATAGCTATTCAAATAAATCACTGTTTATACAGCAACTATCACACACTTTGGATATTTTATCAGCACTTACTATTAGACTCCCATAACCTTGGAGTAATCATGCAGAATTTTGATGCTAACATAAAAGCAACTTCGCAAGACTGTTGCATGATTTGTTGAAATTGTCAAATGCTATATGTTTTTACACATTGCCCGAATTCTTCTTTAATGATATAAATGACAGCAATCCTGATCAATGAGGAGACCTAATTCACTGAGATGAGCATCAGAACATTTCTCTCTCTCCCATTACACTGCTCCCAACCCCACCTCACATACACCTATGAAAAGAATGGCAGGTCAAATGCTACCTGTCATGCTACAGATGACACTAAGAGGGGTCTTTTTTGGGCACCAGGGAATACATGAAGAAATACATCACCATCCTTCAGAGTATCCATACAAGACTGAGATTTCCACGTATGATTAATAATAATAATATGCTATGATGGCAATAGTGAAGTTCAGTGGTTAGAGCACTCGCTTCGCAAGTGAGACGACCCAGGTTCAATTCCCAGGCGAGGCAAAACTTTAGGCAAGTTTCCTTACTCCGCTATGTTTACCTAGTAGTAAGTAGGAACCGGTTTTAGTCAATTGGTGGAATCGATAACCAAGGATTATAATTCCTCAAAAAAAAATAGTTTATTATAATAATAATAACTATTTGTTGTGGATTGAGTAACCAATCCATGACATCTGTATAGGCAGCCTCGCCCCCTCTCTTGCCTCCTTCAAGATCCATTTCAAGACCCTCCTCTTCGGTCACCCTCCTTCCCCCCTGCCCTCCACCTCGGGTCCAAAACACTGATTGTCCAGCGCCTTGGGACGTCCTACCAACGTGAAAGGCGGTATACAAATGTAATTTTGTTGTTGTTGCGGGACATGCTGTGTGCAATTGGCTGCCGCGTTTCGCCCACGAAATATACAGTCAATTCACTTTACAGTGTATTCTGTGAAGCACTTTGAGACGTATTATAATAGGAACGAGACCCATTTCCCTCACCTACAGCCTTTAACCTGGTAAACTGAGTAACTCAAATAAATAACTGAGGCCTATAGTGCAGGCACCACTTAGGTTGAAAAGAACAGAAGCAAAAACAAGGTAAATTAAGTCGTGGCTAAGTGATGGTAGACTCAGCTTGGCAACATTTGTTTCTGCCAATTTCTTCCCTTACTTTGCTGAGGGAATTAATTCTTGCTGGAGCTCCCTGGTTGTTTCCTCAACTGCTTTATTTTTCAATGAAAATCCAAAACCCAGGTAATGATTTTCAACCCAGATTTTAAAAAAAAGGAGGAATCAAAATCACAAATAAAGCTTACCGCACAGTCCAACAGACTGAAGCTGTGGAAAGTGGCTGAACAGAGGTTGGTATTTCAGGGTTTAATGCATACACTTTAATCAGTGACTTCAGTCGGACCCTGTTATAATGCTCACTCCGGGATAGTGCGGGAATGTTTTATAGCAGGTGTACACTGTGGACCCACGGTATATCAGAAGCACAGTACACTTATGGCTTCTGGTGTTGACTGACTGGCAAGAGATGACGTCAGAGTGACCTGATGACTTAGAAGCACTATCTGTCAGCCATTTTTTTGTTATAACACAGAGTTAGGGTTTAGTAACAGGGTCTGACTGCTCAAGCCCCACAAAGTGACCCAGTGAACTGGAAATCAAGCCTGACCTCAGACTAATGAAACGTGCATTTACCTGAGCGTGTGATTCCTGCCTAGGCTAGTCTGTCGCTCTTGAAGCATTTCAAATATGTTCGGCTGCCGCAAGAAGGCTACGATCTTGTCATTGTACGCTGCAATTAGAAAGGCAGAATTACAGCTGCGGGGTTGTACAGTTGTACTTATCAAAGCCATTCCTTCCAAATGCTTCCCACAGTCATCTCAAGTTGATCACTCATGCTGGATGTGATTTCACCAATGCTGGTAACTCATCCAAATAGTTAGTCTTCATGTGTGCGAGTTCAGACACTGTATGTTGGCAGGTTCTATTCTCACCAGCAAGAATCAATGAACTGCAATCAGGTGCAGAAACCTGCTGCTTTTTCCTTATCTAGTTCAGACCAATTGTGATACCCCTGCAGCTGCTAGCTGAGATTGAGGAACACATGAAATTCTCTGGCAAAGTCTGTTAATGTAACTACAAGCAGAGAATAAATATACAGTGAAACTGATAACTCACCATCCCAAGGGAAATAGCTTAATTACTACTTATCAGAGTTGTCTAACTGAGTCTAGTTATTCTAGTTATTAACTAGTCTAGTTATTCAAAGTACAGTATGTCAAAAGTCAACGTGAGTGACTAGTTATATGTCTACTTATCTCAGGGCATGTTATTAGAGTTTCACTGTATGCTTGTTACCAAAAGTTGGTAAAAGATCTGGCAAGTAGAGAACAATCCCTATGTTTCTGCAGTACTGGGTTACCTTCCAATCTTTAAAATACTCAAAGGTGGATGAAATGTGATCAGTGGAGACTGCCAATGAAGTTGGAAGCACAAACATTAAAAAAAAAGCCCCATAGTTACTTGCATAAATGTTCACAAGTACTTCTTAAAAACAAGAAATAACATTTGTCAATAAGGGTGTTAGAATGGAATAGGGATGATCATTGAATTGTTTAATGACATGATTTGGTTTTACTCCTTTGTCTTTTGGAGAGTCCTAAACCTAGCCTTAACCCAAATGTCAATAACAATGGCAATTCATTCCTTACCCACTGGCACTACATCATGTTGGTACTGGCTTCGAATGGCGGCCACCAGTGTGTTCGAGGGCCGAGCCAGCATTGAGGATCCCCGCACACGTGAGACATCAGAAGCCTGCAAAACCAATGCATGAAGAGCATTAAACTACAGCCGAAAGCCTTACCCACACCCTCCTTACCTCCAGGCTTCACTTCCTCAATGCAATCTTTGTCAGCCTTCCCAGTCTACCAGCCACATCTCATCCAAAATTCAGCCACTCGCATCCTTATTCACACTCAGCTTTGTCTAACCATCACCCTGTCCTCACCAGGCTCCACCGTCTTCCAGTAATTCAGTTTAATGATCCTGCTGTGCGCAATTGGCTGCTGCGTTTCACCCACAAAATATACAGTCAATTCACTTTACGGTATATTCTGTGAACTGCTTTGAGAAGTCTCGAAGCTATATCAAATGCAAGGATTATTATTATTATCCTCACTTATAATTACCTGCACATCCTTTCCCCTTCCTGTCTCTGTGACCTTTCCCCAGCCTCCCTTCCAGCTTGCCTCCTGTGCTTGGCAAAGTTGAGCACCCTGTGTGTTCCTCATTCTGCCTGCCCTACAATCCACCTATCTGCTTAAATCTGCTCCCCCTGGCTCCTTCTCTATCTGTTTCTAAAAGACCTCTGAAAATCTACCTCTTCAATCCACAGCAACAACATGTATTTATATAGTGCCTCACACAGAGTAGTGCTTCAGAACACTTTATGGTGCCTACACCAATACCTGCCACCTGCTCCACACCTGGCACTGACTCTGTAAAGCGTTTTGAGACTTTGCCCTTTGTGAAAGGTTCTGTATAAATGCAAGCTGTAGTTGTTTGTCTCTTTTGGTACTAAATATAAGTTTGGAACCCCAAACCCACAGGATTGCTACCTAGCAGGCTTCTGATCAGCACAGACCATGTATTTCCAAGGTTGATTGATTAAAGGTAATAAAATGGCCTTTTCAAAATTTCTTCCCTCTCTACCACAGGTGCAGACGCTGCTGGTTCTATTTGACTGTATTACCCACTTTCTGGTAAGCTGTGGACTGACTAAGCATCATCAGGCAAACACAGGAATGTAGAACAGCAGAGACCTCTGACCAAACCCCACGTTCCTGCCTGATCGTTTTCAAAATAAAAAATAAAAATAATGTCTGGAAAGAAATTCAAATTGAAACATAAAATTGTCTGTAGTTTAAATCTCTTTCTTTTTATCACATCAGAGCTCAATCCCATTCTCAGATGATGTCCACACACACACGCATACATACTTTTTATTTTCCTTACATATTTATTTAATTATTGGCTCTTATCTTTTTAACATCCCAAATCATATTGCCCTTCAATCTTGTTTATCTAATGAGAACAAGCTCAACTGATCTGAGCCTAAAACCGAGTCACGTGTTTGTAATCTGGCCTAAGTCAGTCTTGTCAAATTTAGGTTTCTGGCCAGTATTTGTGCTCACCTTAGAAACTTATAATTCATTTAGGCAACTGCCTAGATAAGAAGAATATGATAAAATATTTTTATCGCAATATGCATTCGGTTGCATTGGTATGTCTTAAGCTTATTCTAATAGTCTTGATTGAATATAAATCCACCTGAATCTCACAGACCCTCCTTAGAATTGCCATTGTGAATCCCACTCTGCTCTCAACAGCAAGAGAATCTAAAGCAGAATCTGTTCACATCTAAAGCAGAAACCTAATCCCCAAAGCAGTTTTTTGGGGGTCAGCTGAATGTCTGACACACATGGAAACCCATCACCATGCTGAAGAGTATCCAAACCAAACAATTGAAAGTTTCACATGTGCGTGTAGATTTCCATTTGTCTGGAATGCTGCATGCACTCTCTCCTGGAGGGATGTACCACCTTGTTTCTGGAAAGCACAGGCTGATAAGAGCCAAGGCTTGAGGACCCCAGAATGTGTGTTTTGTGCTTTGGTGTTTAACCAGTTAAAACAACATAATTTGCAATTGACTGTCTACAACAACAACAACAACAAAAAGATTACATTTATAGAGTGCCTTTCACGTCAGGAGGACGTCCCAAAGCGCTGAACAGTTAGGTGCCGGGGCCCAAGCATGGGGGAGGGGTGGTGTAGGGGTGAGGGAAGGCGGAGAGGTGGGAGGGAGACCAAAGGCACGGTCGAAGAGAAGGGTTCTTGAGTCTGGCCTTTAAGGATGCAAGGGAGGAAGCGAGGAGAAGGGACTATGGGATGGAGTTCCAGAGTGTGGGGGCAGAGAGGCTGAAAGCCCGGCCACTGATGGTAGGGCGGGTCGGGCGGGAGACATGGAGCAGACCGGAGCCCGCTGAATGGAGGAAGCGGGCAGGTTGCTAGGGAATCAGCAGCTCAGAGAGGTAGGAGGGGGCAAGGCCATGGATGGCCTTAAAGGTGAGGACGAGGATCTTGAACTCGATCCTTTGGGGGATGGGGAGCCAGTGGAGTTGGGTGAAGGTGGGAGTGATGGGGTCACGGAGCCTGGTGCGTGAGAGTACATGAGCTGCAGAGTTTTGGATGATCTGCAGCTTATGAAGGGAGCTTCCTGCTTGTCCCCTGCTAGCAAGCTTCCTGCTTGTCCAGCTAGGACCACCTTATCCAATAGGGCTTTGGTTTGCAGGGTTAACAAGGGTTGAGTGAGTGACTGGTGTACCCATCCATATTGATTTGATTCCGGGCAGGGTGAAACATTGGACAAGTTTCCTTACTCCACATGCCTCCACAAATATTATTTATTTATTTTTTGAAGGGATTATTTTCCCTGGAAAAGCGTACTGCCAATCGACTAACAACCGGATTCCTACTTAGTGCCAGGTAAATAGAGGCGTGTGGAGTAAGGAAACTTGCCTAACGTTTCGCTCTGCCGGGAATCGAACCCAAGTGAGGTTGCGAGGTGAGTGCTCTAACCAATGTGGTACAGGATATTAGGTTCAGTTCACTTGTGAATGAGACAATGTAACAGTCATGCTCCCATGCTTCAGATAAACTGTGTTGTTTTAACTCTGCAGAGCCATTAACATTATACCCAATTGACATTGGAGCATCATCTTACAAATCCTTCAGTCTACAATGCTGTGAATCGCTAGGATACACTCACCTCCCCTGCACTGTAACTGCGTAGCCGCTGGAGGTGTTGCCTGTGTGTTAGGTGGTTTGGCAGACGACCGTTCTGAAGTGGAAGCCTAGGATCAATAAATGTTGTGGCTCGACTGTTGTGATCCACAAAAAAGGACTGCAACAGAGAATACTTTTATCAAAAGAGTGGCATTCTTAGCTTACAACTCGGCACGTTACATTCATTCAGATGTGTTACACAACATAGAAACGGATCGTGTTTAAAAAAAATACAACAGTATCATTTCTAAGCCATTTTAATACTGGATATCAAATGCATTTCAGGGAAGGGTGCTCTGCATGGTTGAACCTTCATGATAGCATGCACATATAATAATACTAATGCTTACATTTGATACAGCATCCTTTACATCAGGAGGGTGTCACAAAGTGCTTCACAGGATATATTATAAAGTGGAGGGACTGTATATTTTGTGGGCAAACATAGCAACAAATTTGTACACATCAATGTCCCACAAACAACCACACATTTTATTTGGGGATTGTTGGCCAGGATACTGGGGGAATGGAATGTATAGATCTTATTTATGGATTGTGCTAATCATGTGCAAATGCATGTGTAAATAGGGAATTATTGCTGCCCATAAGTATTTAATTAACAACCAATGAAAAAGATTCCAGATTCGCTTCGATTTTTTTACATGGGTTGTAAGTTACCTAATTGAAAGAACCTGCAAGGCCTTATTTCCATTCTGTCCCCAAACTCCATCCTTTGCCCTGTGTCTCTTGTCCTGCCCCTCTTCCCACCTTTAAAGCCAGTGTTAAGATCTTTCTTTTTGACTATCCTTTTGGTCACCTCCCCACCATGCTTCATCATCTTCAGCTCCCCAACATCAGTTCAGGCTCCCAGTTAGCTTTGTGCACTGTTTTGAAACTTCCTCCTGACATGAAAGGACCTTGTATAAATGTAAAATTATTGTTGTTGCCTACGTCACATGCCACTGGAGGCTTTGAGCTGAAATCTTTAACATCACTTGGCCATTCCCAAAGCATAAATATACAATATCTATTTCACAAGAGTCAAAGTACATTCTCATTTGTAAAATGTTTATGTGTATGTTGGTATATCTATATATAAGAACTAAAAGATTTTGTGGATATGTTTGTAGGTTTGTGTATTTAGCAGCTGGTTTCGGTGCATTTGTATGTAAAGCTGTGTGTGTGAAACCAAAGTACAATACAATTTACATTTATTTAGCACCTTCCATGTTGGGAGGAGGTCTCAAAGAGCTTGACACTACTGGCTGATCACCAGAGTTGGGGGGGGTTGAAGCTGAAAAGGGTGGGGAGGGGAAAAGATGCCCAAAAGTGTGTTCAAACAGGTATACTTTCAGGCAGACTTGGAAAGTGTAGAGGGAGGCAGTGAGTTTGAGGGAATCTATTGTACGTGTGAGGTTGGTTTGTATATATTTAACAATAATCTCTTTATTTGATATAGGTCTTTCACTTCAGGAGGATGTCCCAAAGCTCTTCATGGAATATACTGTAAAGTGCAGTGACTATGTTTCTTTTGTGGGGATGAATTTGTGCATTTGTATGTGTCTTGAATCGAGAGGATGTAAGTGAGGTTATGTAGGTGCTCATGTGTGAATATGTAGCTGCATGTTTATGTGAAACGATGGGAATATTGATCTATGTGTGAGCACATGTATGCAGATGATATTGGGTTTCTTTCTTTTGAGAATCCTAGGTGAAGGTTGTGAAATTATTGATAGTGATGGACTGAAAGTGAAGTGTTGAAAAATATGCTTTTCACAGTGTCACAAAAATGTGGAGTAGACTGTCCAAAAAGCCCATACTGTTGTTTGTTTCTTACACCCTATCAATTGGCACACACCTGAAGATGGGCGGATGAGAAGAGGCGTGTTAGCTGCTTAGAAGCTATTTTGCTGACTGGCTTCTACAGCAAAATTGCAGCAGAACACAATAGCATGGTAACTAAAATCTATCATTCAATTACTGACACTGAACTGAAGGCATAAGCCAATTCTACTCCTGACGTTTGGAATTTCGTGCTTTTCCCCATTTCTAGAAAGCCTAGAAGATCACTCTTCTCACCTTGCCCTGAGGATCTGTCTTTATCTCCCAACCTCGAGGCAGCTCCAATTGCGTATCTGCAAACATGTTCATGAAATTCACCAAGTCCCTGTTGTGCTGATACCGTTCAAAGTTCCGAGCATCCCTACGGATCTTGAGTGTCATATGTTTCAAGCAAGTACTATTGGTAAACATTCGATAGGCACTCTGCGAATGGAGAAAGAGGAGCTGAGGGCAGCTACAGAAACAACAACTAAAAAAGGGAAATTCCATGGTAAGTAAATTCATTGGGCATGAAAAATGTAATATGTGATAATTATCACATCATATACTGCATTTTCACCTCTTATGGAATTCAGGAAATCTGCCTGTAGCACCAAAATATTTTTGTCTCAGCATGAAATTACTGCTAGGATTTATTGAGTAAATAATGTAGATCAGTATTACATAAATAATGTGGATCAGTGTTAAAGGGATCTACTCAGTTTATTCATTTTGCTATTTGAGACGTGCTCTGTTCCATTTAGTTAATTACACCAATTTCCCATAGCCTCTGTCAGGAAACTGGACGAGGCAAACAGCCGGTAATCATTTCTCAATGACTGCATTTGTGATAATTGAAAAACAGTCGCAGGACTGAGGCAGAAAGTACGTAACTAATCTCGTTGGCAAATGAATCCATAAGAGCACAGATCAGAAAGTAAGTTGTGGCCTTTTTGTCAAGACTTGTTCTGGATCTGATTGTCAGAAGAGGGAGACAGTGGTTTTACTTGATCAAATTGATGGCCCTGGATTATTAAACATTTAGAAATGTGAAATGTAAAGCACTGTGCAACATACTTTGTTCTGGCAGAGGTTCTGTCTGCCTGTTCTTCAGATGGATGTAAAGATGCCATCGCACTCTTTGAAAAAGAAAAGTTTCTCTCTTTGCCTCCAGATTAACTGGTCATTCCTAGTTGTGTTTGGCACCTTGCCAGCATAGTTGCCTGTGAATTTACTTACAAAAGCATTCACTAAACATGACAGTAATTGCTGTAAAGGGTTTTGCAATGTCTCCACAAGATAAGCCACTATAAAATGCAAGAAAAGTTTTTTGTTTTGTTATACTATTGCATTCATTTATCAATTTGTTTTCTTCACCTGTGTCCGACAGAAGCATTTGTATATGACTAAAAGTTATGTCTTTGCGAGTTTGTAATTTAGTCTTTCCCTCTCTTTGCCATTTGGTCACCCAGCTCCCCCTCCTTTGCCCACTACTGGCTGATGTCATCGACCAGTCCCTCTCCTCCCGATCAGTCCCTGCCTCCCTCAAAACTGCTGTTATCACCCACCTTTTGAAAAAACTCTCCCTAGATCCCTCAAACCCCAGCCACTACCGCCTATTTCTAACCTGCCCTTCCTCTCAAAAGTCCTAGAACGCGTTGTTGCCAAACAACTTCGCACACACCTCTCCTCCCACTCCCTCTTCGAACCCCTCCAGTCCGGTTTCCGCCCTCCCCACAGTACAGAGACTGCGCCCACAGTACAGAGACTGCACTTGTGAAAGTCACAAACGACATCCTCTCTATGTGTGACCAGGGATCGATCCCTCTGCCTCCTTGTCCTTCTGGACCTCTCCGCCACGTTTGACACAGTCGATCACGCCATCCTCCTCCACCGCCTTTCCTCCGTCATCCACCTCAGTGGGACTGCACTCGCCTGGTTCGAGTCCTACCTCACAAACCGCCAGCAGTACATCTGCACAAACGGCTTCTCCTCCCGCTCTCACCCAGTTACCTGTGGGGTACCCCAAGGATCCATCCTTGGCCCCCTCCTCTTTCTGATCTATATGCTCCCTCTTGGGATGTCATCCGCAGACATGGGGTACATTTCCACATGTACACGGACGACACCCAACTCCACTTTTCCACTTCACTTTGCGACCCCCCAGTCCCCTGATGTTCTATCAGTCTGCCTGTCAGATCTCAGGGGCTGGATGAGCACAAATTTCCTTCAGCTGAATGTTGACAAGACGGAAGCCATACACTTTGGCTCTCTCTCACCTCCTCTACCTACCTGACCTCCCCCTAAAACTCTCCAAACCCATTCAACCTATGCGTCAGGTTCGACCCCCAATTATCCTTCCTCCCCCACATCCTGTCCCTCATCAGCACCGCTTTCTTCCACCTCCGACGCATCGCCCTCCTCCGCCAATAACTCTCCCAAAAGCCGCTGAAACCCTGGTTCATGCCTTTGTCACCTCTCGGCTGGACTACTCTAATGCCCTCTCACCGGTCTCCCATCCACTTCCAGTGCCTTGGGACGTCCTCCCGACGTGAAAGGCGCTCAATAAATGGAATCTTGTTGTTGTTGTTGTTCCATCCATAAAATCCAACTCATTCAGAACTCTGCCGCCCGCATTCTCACCGCACGAACCTCCGCTCCCCGATCCCCCAGTCCTTGCCAGACGGCACTGGCTGCCTGTCTCAGAGAGGATGGATTTCAAGATCCTCACCCTTGTATTCAAATCCCTTCACTCCTCTGCACCCCCCTACCTCTCTGACCTCCTCTTTCCTCAAAACAGTACCCGTTGCCTTCATTCCTCCGGGTCTGGCCTCCTCCTCGTCCCCCGAGTCCTCCTCTCCACCCTCGGCGGCCGTGCCTTCAGCCACTATGCCCCGAGGGTCTGGAACTGCCTTCCTCACTCCCTTCGTCTCACTCCCTCCCTTCCCGTTTTCAGGTTTCTGCTGAAGACCTTTCTTTTTGACCATGCCTTTGGTCACCTTCCTCCCCCTCCCCCTGGCTCGGCCCCGGGATCCGTTACTGAAAAGCACTCTGAGACGCCGTCCAGCGGGGAGGGCGCTATATAAATCCAAGTTGTCGTTGTTTCTCAGTTTCCCATTGGACACTCAAATGATGCACATTGATAGGTTTCCGCGTGTGTTAGACACTGGGCTGACCAAAACAAAGAGGGTTAAAGAATGTATTGTACTTACATTGTTTGAGTGGAGCACAGTGAAGAACTCTGGGTTTGTGATAAACTTAACAGTGGGAGACTGCAATAACATGTTGATTTTCTGCGAATTCACTGGGGACATGGAGCCATCTCGCCGCAGTTCTGGTAAAATTGAAGAGAAAGAAATTTGGTAAGCAGACCATCACAAATGGTGACTGTACATTTAGCAAATGCGCAATCTGGGCTGCACAGGTACGCACATTTAACAGACATAGATAAGAGTTTAAATCAAGTCAGGTACAGTTAACACACAACTTTCATGATAGTTCAGACCAAATATACATTTAAAATTACTTGTGATCTAGTTTATAATGTTGAACAGATCTCTTATTATGAACTGTGCTTTTATCGAATTTCTAAAACATCAACTTCAACACATTGGATGTTTCAGAAAATTTGGTAATTATATATTTCTTACAAATGTGGGCAAAATAAATCAAGTAAAGTCGGTACATTTGTAGTCAATAGTTAAGTTGTAAAATAACTATAAAATATAAAATTCAGATATCATATTTATCCGTACACCTATAAAATACAGTCATTCCATTTTACAGTATATTCTGTGAAGCATTTTGAGACATCCTCAGGCATGAAAGGCAATGTATCAAATGTAAGAATTGTTATTATCTTGCTTCTAAAGAGCAAGGAGTATGATGTCGCTAAACCTCCTGTGATCAATTGTACTCTTGTTTGTTTTAAAAATATTTTAATTACAACACAGATACAATAAAAAGGTAAAAAAAAATCTAAAATAAAGATTCATTGAAAACTGTCAGACTGCACCTGATACAGCATCAGCTGTGGTAAAATTTGCCTGCAGTTGCCAAGATGGTAGTATAAAGAGCCCCATCTCCAATGAAGTAACACCACTTTCAACATCCGTTCTCCATTTCCACTTCCTCAAAACTATTTGCATTCACACTCATTATTGATTTGTGTTTACATGACAGGATGAAGAGAGTATTGAACCCAAAGCCCTGACTGTGGCTGCTGCTGTACCAGCCTCAGTCTGTCTGTGCACTACCCCACACAAGGCACTAAAGAGGAACAAGTGGTTCACATTTCCCTTGTGGTCACTTTGATCATTCTGTCCATCATGGTTGCCGCACCAGAGAACTGTTTGTTTTCTTTTTGTGGTAATTGTCTTAGCTCTGGTACAATTTCCACATAAGCAGAACTGACTTTCATCCGATTACTTTTTTTGGAAAGAATAAGCAGACAAAAATACCACAAAGGACTTCAAACAATACATGACAGCAACCGCAGCGAAGGCGGAAGCCAGATCCAGATTGAGTGCAAAATGTTCCCAGATATGGTAACTGCAGTAAAGCTGTCTGTGGGAACAAAGATATCTGTGGTTCTTCTGCAGAACTGTGTCAATCGGATATGCAGATGGCTATTTCCCTGAACATATTCCTCACAAATTATAGCTACCTGGATTCGGCTGAATAGCATCTGTTGCACTCGCCTCATCTTCTGACCTGTTTGTTGCAATTGTCCGCTGGATGTTCTGATACCTGTTACCCAACAAGAATAAGAAGCCGATTAATTCATTCATAGTTACGGTCTGGTTTGATGATTTGACAATTTAACTTTGTGTTAGGTTGTTAATGGGGCCAGGGGAAAGAGAGAGAGGAGAGGGAGAACATGATTTAGAGTAACCACATGAAACAGCCTAAACTGTTACCAAAACAAATTGTGCAACCAAAGATTTTTTTTACAGTGGATTAGAACCTACCGATAAATCACCCAAGATTGAAACTAATGCAAGTAAGATCAGGCATGTGGATAAATGGTCTCCGGGTCTCCCATTTAATAATGAAGTCCTATTACACAAGCCGGACAGTCTGTATAGTGCCTGCAATACGTGAAGAGTTTATTTTTCTCTGGTGCAATGATTGAGCTACAAAACAGCCCTGGTTTGACCCAGGTATAACCAGACCTCACCAACAGAACATCCTCAGCAATGGCATAGTCCGAGAAAGTAGTTTCACCCTTGATGGAGAGGCTGATCCTTTCTCCAATACCAATTTGCTTCTCCTGGATAGAAACAAGCTATGGAGTAATGCACAGCATTTCACACTGACTGGAGTTGAACATCAAGGGCTTTGATCTGTGCTGTGTGCAAGTTGATGTGTGGAATTTGGATAGCATTATCACATTGTCTGTCAATTGCTAGAGAATTCAGATGAATCTGATTTGGTGTGTTGGCACTAAATAAGACATCTAATTTCCAGCTGCTACTTCTGGCTCTGGTTATAATTTTTGTCCTCCATCCACTGTTGCTATGCTCCATAATCTATGAGGTCTGTATTCATACTACAAATTTATAGTGGGGGATATCCTTTACATCCCCCACTCATCTGCTTCAACCTCTTTGCTCAGCTAACACAAACCTGCTGATCATCCCTCAATCCCTCCTCGCCAATGCTGGTGGCTAAACCTTTAGCCACTATCCCCCAAATCTCTGAAACTCCCTGCCTCAATTTCTCTGCCTTATCCCCTCTTTTCCCACCTGAAAAACTCACCTGAAAAGCTACCTCTTTGACTGAGTCTGCAGTTACCTTCCCCCCTCTCCCTTGCTCGGCACCTAACCCTGCCACTGTGCTATCCTGTGTGAAGGCCGCTATATAAATGGAACCTGTTGTACATATAGCTATATTAAATTAGTAAGATATCATACATATTATAGAGACATCGCTGTACAATGAATAGCTTACACACACAGTGGCGTACAGTAGGGAAGCCACACTTACCTTTCGCCCCAGGAGAATAAATCTTAGAGATTGCATTCACTTTCTCAATCTTGAAGGGGAGGAGGATGAGTGATCCTAACTCAATCAACAGACCCATTGAGATATATATGCTTATATCTATAAATGTATTATATGTGATGTACAGTTTCCAACAGCTTGACTACAAAGTAGTCAAATGCATATTTATTTCTACAGCTTCATTAAATGCCTAAATATGTTAATCTATTGTTAATATTTCCTGCCTATCTTGAAGTACATTGAAAAGATATCACCAATATCACCTTTACATTCATACAATTTGCATAATTGAGTTAATAGGAATCTGACTTAAACTCAAGTGCCACTTATGATCTTTGTACGTGAAAGGCTAATTTTATGTTGCACAGTTACATTTCTGATGAAGAGTTTGCAACCTCTGGAGTTATTAAAGTGGGTGAAGGACATAATTGATTGTTGACTGCTTTTGACATAATTAATAATCCTTGCATTTGGTACAGTACCTTTCGTGTCAGGAGGACATCTCAAAGAACTTCATTGGAATTTTCTGTCAAATGTAGTGATTGTGTATTTGTAGGCAAATGTGGCAACCGAATTGCACACAGCAATGTCCCATAAACAGCCATGACTAGTTTTATTTGGGGGATTGTCAGTCCAGGAGAAACTCCATTCTTTTTTCGAGTAGTGCCATGGAGTTTTTAACATCCACATAAGACGAATTTAAAAATGTGAGTAGTGAAAGACTTTATTCCTGCCTACATTGGTGTTCCTACACATTCTGCAGAGTAGAAAGTAAGATGATAAGAAACTTGATTCTGGATGGTAGTCTTTTGATGGTTGCTACATGTTAAAATATGAGGTGATCACGTTTCATGGAAAAAATGGATTATATTGAGGTGGTTAACTCAAGCCTCACAAGAGCTGTTTTGTGGATATTCCAAGAGATGGAATTTGTTGGCATTTCTAATGTATTTATACAGTCTGGAAATATTCACTAATCTCTTGAGGAATTCTGAAACTGAGCCCTAAAAGACAGTCTGGCTCAGTTACAATACCCAGAAACCAAGGCAGTCATAAATAGTGGTTACATTTTGGAGATAATTCAATGTAACAGCCCCTGTGGATGCAGAAACATACAGTATTTAATAGCTGGGGTGAACGCACATTTCCATGTTGGAGATCAAAAAACTGTGAAGCAGTATTTCATTAAGAAAGGAGGAATTCCACAAATATTAAATAATGAAGGAAATAAGGACTGGAAAAAGTGACTCCATCTGTGCCTTCAGTCTAATTAAGTTACTCAGGACACTATTAAACATGTGCAACTCAGATAGAAACCACCCTATTTGCAATCCTCATACTTCAAACAGCACAAATGTTTGAATGAAATAATCCTTTAATTTCAGGATTAAATATAAAATCTGCGCTTGAAATGATAGGGGTGCAAATTGTGACCTGTGATAATATTAACACTAGTGTCAATTATTATAGCAATGAAAAATTCAGCCCCATGAACAAGTTTAGTAACTGAAAAATACTGTGGGAGAAATACCAGCAGCCAAATGGTTAAAGAATAAAAGAAAACTTACATTTTTTTAGTGCTGGTTCATTAGTGTAGAAAAATTCCGTGGGCAGTGGTGGGGAGACAAACAAGTAAGTCACACATAGTAACTATGCAGCGAGAGGGGTTTGGCAAGACTGGAGCACCGATAAGACTCAGGAACCCGGATTTTATTAGGATCATAGCAATTTACAGAACAATAGAATAACAACAACTTGCAATTAGATAGTGCCCATCACAGTGATGGAGCCTGATATTGAGCTGGGGATAAAGAGGTGACCGTAAGCACAGTCGAAGAGCAAGGTCTTCAGTCGTGATATAAAAGAGGGGTGGAAGGGGGGGCAAGGCAGAGGGATTGGGGGAGAGAATTCTTTTGGCCATCTGGCCCATCGGCTCCATGCTGGCTCTTTTAAACAGCAATCCTTTCAGTCCCATTTACCTGAACTGCCCTCTCCCCATACACCTGTAATTTATTCCTTTTTCGATATCTATCTAGTTCCCTTTTGAAAGCTAATTGCGTAAGGAATTTGTCCTCCCCTCCCCTTGGCTCAGTCCCAGGATCCGTTACTCTGAAGCGCTCTGAGACGCCGTCTGGCGTGGAGGGCGCTATATAAATCAAAGTTGTTGTTGTAATATAGAGTCGCCTCAACCACTGCTCCTGGCACCAACATATTATTCAGGACTCTTTGAAACTCAAAGGTTATTAAAGAAAACTCAAGAATTAAATTCATAAAGCCTCATCCCTATAGTATAAATATTGCTTTCTTTGTTCCGTAGAAACATTTTCTCACATCCGTCCTTCCCACCAACAACAGCAGGGATATCACGTTGCATAAGGAATTTGTTCTTCCCAATCTTGACCTATCCCTATCCACTCCAAATTTGTTCTCAAGTATATTTCATCCCTGTTCCCTGTGTTTCTGATCACATGGCTACTCATTCAGAACACCTAAGTTGAAATAATATCTTAGAGTGAACTCTGGCCTCAGTGTAAAGCTACCACCTTATGGAATTTGATATAATTGAGCATGCAAAAAGAGTATCATTTACACTAGAGAATGGTATTCTAAAAAGATGAGATCAAATAGGATACAGGTCTATATCATTCCTGCCAAGACGAGAACTCATTTTTTTAAGGACAAATTATATGACCGAGCCATAGTTCCTACATGAAGCCCATTCAACATTATTCCTCTCGTCAAGTATTAGGACTGATAATTAGGGAAGAAGTGGAACATTAAGTCAAAAAAAAAGTATGCATGACAATTTCCTTAAAGACATTAAAGAAGAACAGTGCTTTGACTAGAGGAACAAGAAAATATTAAAAATTATTATCGGAGAAGTGCAGTAAAGCCTGTTAAAGCAACCACTTCTATTCAGCAACCACCTGCTGTCAACAACCACCATGGCATAGTCCCAATGGACTCTCCATGATAAACACCTCTATTCAGCAATCACCAGTGAGGCAGCCTTGGTAAATGTGCTAGCAGTCTAACGTGACGCTATACGTGGAAATGTTTGGTCCGTGGAAATGTTTTAAAAAGATTTCAGGCCTGGTCAATGAACCCTTATGCAGAGGCCACTCTAACATAAAGGCCACATTGATCCAGTCCCATGAGCAGTTGCTGAAAACAGGTTTTATTGCATTAAACGTAAGGATTGCTTTCTTAAAAGATAAAGAAATAACAATTTAGAAGGTTGATACCAAATGCATGAGTGTCATTTACCGTCGGTTAAGTTGTTCCATTTGTTGGATGGAGCTTGACCGCCGCAGACCGTCAAGCGTGGCAGCCGTTGTGGGTCGTTGCCAAGTCGTTGTCCGGTTTACGTGATCCACGTAAAAGACTCTCCCGTGGCTATCGATCCGTGCTTCCCAATCTGCAATTTTGAAAGACAGATTCTTGTCTGGATATTTCATTCCAGCTCTTCACAAGCTATATGTTGCAGTCTTATTTCTCTGCTCTTTCTCAGAGTCCTTTTATAATTTTATTCTTCAAGCCTACTAAATTACATAATGTATATAGCTTCAAGAGCCACTTTCAGCTATTCATTCCACATCCCACTTACCTTCTGAATTACAAATTCAGGAACTAAACTCTCATTGAAAAATTCAGATTCTGAAGATCATACAAATATTATTTTTGAACAGCCTGGACAGATTATAAATCTCGGTAACGTTGCTGAAATTCTACAGAAAGAAAATATGAAGACATTAAGAAGCAAAACAGTAGAATATTTCAAATGGTTGAGAAATATTAGGGAAAATGTCTAAATGCACCATTAAGTTGGATTCTGGTTTGTGAATAATATAGTTTCAGTTCTTTTAAGCTATTTCTCTTTCAAATGCTAGTTAGCCTACCTGTGGATTTGCAAAAACCAGCATTTTTTATATCCAGTAACACAGAAACAGTCTTATTCACGAAATATGGTAACCAATTATGTACAGAAATTAAAATTAATGCTGTTGATGAATTATGTAATGAAAAGTGGTTCAGCTCTGCAAGCCTCTCATCATTCGTACAACCCAATGTCCACGAATCATGCTCGTCATTCTTCTCCAAACACATTTTTTTAACCCTTTTTATGGTCAGCTGGGTGTCTGACGCATGTGGAAACCCATCACCATGCTTAAGAGTCTTTACTCAAAACTACTGAGATATCCACATATGTATGATTTTGTTTTGTTTGGATCAAACCTTTCAACCAAAACTTACACATATCTTTATGATCCATTTGATTATTTAACAACAATAAAAACTTGCATTTATATAGGGCTCTTAATGTAGAATTACATCTCTCAGGGTGCCACATAGCAGGGGGAGGGAGGGAGGTAACCGTAGATTGACTCCACTTGAATGGGCTGAAGGTGGACCCAAAGGAACATAGGGAAATAGGAACAGGCGGCCATTCAGCCTATTGAGACTGTTCCAGTAGTTAGTTACTTCTTGGCTGATCTTTTAATTCCATTGCCTTGCCCTTTCACCATATGGAGTCCTGTAGCTCAGTGGTTAGAGCACTTGCCTCGCAAGCGAGAGACCTGGCTTCGATACCTGGCAGGATGAAACTTTGGGCAAGTTTCCTTACTCCACACGCCTGATAATAATCCCTCAAGAAAAAAAACACAATAATAAATTGGTCACTTCAATCCATGACTGTTTGTGGGACACTGCTGTGCGCAATTGGCTGCTGCGTTTCGCCCACAAATATTCAGACAATTCACTTTACAGTATATTCTGTGAAGTGCTTTGAAATGGCTAAAGGCGTGAAAAGCGCGATATCAAACGCAAGGATTATTATTATTATTACTTCCCGCATTCTCCTCACTAAAGATGACTGAAGCTGAGTCCATGATATTCATTTTCAGGCACATGGATTGTAGCCTTTCACCAATGGCTTGAGGGTCTCCAGCAATTTGGGTATTTTGTTTCCTAATAAAATTCTCATGAAATGATAGTCGAAGTTTGTGATCCACAAATCAGAAGTATAAGGTCTAGGAGCTGATTTTTCGGTCTTCACCACTGAGAATGATGTCCCGTGGTGGGGGGCTCCTACCTCAGACCCCTTCAATGTGATAAATATCACATGGGCTGCCAATGAGACCATGATATTCCTAATGTGCTCTCACAAACTTTAAATTTAACCAACGCATTTTGTTTAATATCCACATCCTTTTGTGCCACGTATCATTATTAGTTCCTCTTAGTGGAACAGCTATTATTGTGGATTTTTCTTTCTCTGTGGCAGCCGGGCCAAAATTAACAAGATTATTGTGAGAGCTTACAAGGCTGAATCTGAAATTCACCGCTTCTCGACACAGTGGACTGGTGCTCCACTATACTGCAGAATACAATGTAGCTTTACCTTAGCCCTGCAAAACATTCCAAAGACTTTGGCCAAAAGCCTGTCGCTCTCCATCAGATGGTCACAGGTTCAGCTCAAGTCTTCAGAAATTTGTTGTTTAAATCTTCCAGGATCAAGAGACTTCTTGGACAGGTTATTAGACAAAGTACTTCCCAAATGTGTCAGGAGTAAAAATCCCTGTAATTTTGCTGAAAATTCACATAAGTGTCAGCCATTCAGCAGCTGCTAGCAATTTCAGCCAGATGGAATGACTGATAGCACAGCCATTATGTTGAAGCTGTTTGCTTTGCAGTTCTTAAAAATGATGACTGAATTTAAGATGTTCCAAAATTAAGCAAGATCTTAAATTTTAAGCCATTGGTTTTATGGATCAGACCGTGAGAAATGTTAGGACCCAGAAGCCTTACATCAGAATCATTCGGAAAGGAGTTTGAGGACCCAGGGTGTTTGGGATGAACTAACTCTAACTTGCCACTTCAAGCACGACCTTAAGAAATCAACCAACCCAATTGTTTCAACAAATCCCAGTTGCCCTCCCAGGTTCATTCACAGAGATTTCTCCACAAGATGGAAGCAGTGCTGCACTTTTAATTTTTGTTAAAAAAAAGCTTCCAGGACATTTCATTTGGGTTTTCTTCTGCATGACAGCAGATAAGAGATAACATTCTTTGGCTTTGAACAAGCAGGACTATGTGGGTCAACGTGGTTAAAGGCACGCCCACCGATGGTGGAGCGGAGGAACCGAGGGACAAACAGAAGGCCAGAGCCAGCTGAGCAGAGGCAGCGGGTGGTGGGCTGGGCGGTAAACAGATCGGATAAGTAGGAAGGTGCGAGGACATGAAGGGATTTTAAAACGAGTGAGAGGATCTTGAAATCAATCCGTTCAGTAATTGGGAGCCAGTGGAGCCTGGCAAGGACTGGGGTGATCGGGATACAGAGTTTTGCGCAAGCGAGAATCGAGTGTTGGAGTTTTGAATTCATTGAATTTTGTTCAAGGTGGAGCTGGGGCGACAAACGAGGAGGGCATTGGAATAGTCCAGTGACGAAGGCGTGGATGAGGATTTCAGCTGCAATGGTAAAATGGATTGACTGTGTATTTTGTGGGAAACAAATCTGGGTCATCTCGCTTGCGAGGCAAGTGCTCTAACCATTACACTATGAGACTCCACTCTTTTCAGTTTTAACCAATATTTGACCCTTCTCCCCTTGTGAGTCAGAGGTGAGAATGCTACCGACTGAGGCACGCTGACACCTAAGACCAACATTGTGCCATGACAATGAACCTGGAGAAAATATTTTGGTCGTGGGTTTTATTACACATGGGTATTAAACACATATGAGATTCACACATCGGGGGTGAGTTTTTGTGATGTGTTAACTATGTGCTAATTAACACATATGGCCAATTTTTCATAGCACATATTTCGTAATAAATGGCTCCACAGTGTGCTAGTCAGAGATGCCCCCTCTCTCCGATACACTTCTCAATGGTTTTGACGTAGAAGCCATCTGTGCCACATATTACACCGCCAGTTAGTGAGATACCAGCTTTACTCTTTTTGTTCAGATAAGCCGATATCTCACTAACCAGCACTCTAATACCTACGTCCAGTGTGTGGCCCTGCTGGTGTCTTGGCACGAGGCCATCGAGAGGGGCGTCTTGTGGGAGTGAATGCACCTCAGGACCTTCCCTCGGGCTAGCAAATGTGTGAAATATCATAAAGTTACTAAATTGACCACATGTGTTAATCACCACCTAGGTGCTAATTAACACTTCACAACATCTCAATATTCACCCCAGATTTCCCAAAGCTATTTATTGCACTTTTTACAGGAGCAATTTTCAGCTCCATAATTATCAATGCCATGCTACTTTTGCTCATCGAGAGTAACACCTACTGTGCTCCCATGAGTAATGAGTTCAAAATGTGAGATATAGCCAAAACCACAACTAGCAAGCCAGCCATCTTAGTGTGGCTTTGGAAATGTGAAATGGGCCGTTGCCTTGGACTACATTGTACACAAGAAGTAATTTTAGTCGTGACTGAAAAGCTACAAACAGACTTCCGACATACACATATTTGGATTTCTCATGGTATTTCTATAGTAGGAGATGCTTTCAGATATTTGCAAATCAATACAAGCTGTTTATTATGGGGAGAGTAATGTTTCACACAAGGGAATTGTATGGATCAAGAAAGAATGCACATGGGAATCCTCTGATATTTCCTTCTCTATGCTTTGTTGCTCAGTGTTCGGCAATGACTGAATACAGACATACTGACCACACAAACTGTCCCTATATTACTGTATCAGGAGTAGCGTTAACCTTGCTTAGAAACATCCTGCCAATCTGCGTTGTTAACAATCATACATAAATGGACCAGTCATTTTTTAAACCGGGTAAAACCTAATCAAAAGTGGTTTGAGTCTAAGAATCTCTCACTGGTATTTTACAAACCTCGCTTTTGGTATATTATGTGGTGTTTGGCTACCTCTGCTTTTTAAAACATTTACAAATTTGGCCTTATATAATTTTTATTAGTTTCTGCAAGATTTCCATGAAAATTTTAGTGTAAGAGTTCATGATGATCTCATCAGGGTTCCACAGTGCATGTTATGTTAAGGATTTGCAGATTCTTTCCACATACCTTTGGCTTTTTGAAGACGTTTAACAAGTCCCATATGGTAATGTCAGCCGCAGGCTGGTGACTTACTTAGGAATCTGTGACTTGGGCTGTGACAGTTATGGGGACAGACTGCAAAGCTATTCTCCCTTAAGTAGAGTTGTAACTGATCCTTCAGAAGTGAGAGCAGATAGAAGAGCTCAATGAATATGAATGTAGAGTCAAATTATAAGTGTGGTGGGTGGGAAAAGAGGACAATGATGCTTGTTGCAGATAAGGACATAAGAACATAAGAAATGCTAGACGAAAAAAGACCAAGGTCCATCTAGTTCGCCTTCCACCTTACTGGTGTCGCATGCACATATTTCCCGAACTACCTATGTACTATATCCCATAATTTATTACCGAAAAGAAAACTATCTAATCTGTGTTTGAAAGAATCAAGTTCACTGCAACAGAACCCGTTCTGACGAAGGATCGTGGACCCGAAACGATGACTCACTTTCCTTTCTCCATAGATGCTGCCTGACCCACTGAGTGTTCGCAGCGACTTCTGTTTTTGTTTCAGATTTCCAGCATCTGCAGTATTTTGTATTTTGAAAGAATCAAAACCTGCTTCAACTGTCTCCCTAGGGAGCCTGTTCCCCAGGTTCACTATTCACTCACTGAAATAGTGTTTAGTAGATTCGGTCTGAATTTACCCGCCTTCATTCGCAGGCTGTGTCCTCTGGATCTACTATTCTGGACAAGCTGAAACAGCCTGTTATAATCTGTATTGTTTTGCCCCTTTAGAATCTTAAAGACAGCAATCATGTCGCTTCTCAATCTTCTCTTTTCCAGCGTGAACATGCGTGAAGATGTTAATAATAACCCTTGCATTTGACCCGTTCAGCCTTCCCCACCTCTGCACCATTGCCCGCCTCCATCACTACCTCTTCTCTCAGGCCGTCGCAACACTTATATGTGCTTTTATCATGTCCAGGTTTGACTATGCTAGCTCTCTGCTTGATGGATGTGTCTACTCCTCCCCTCACAAGCTGCACATTATTCAGAGCTCTGCAGCTTGTGTCCTCTCCTACACCAGGCTCCGTATATCAACTCCATTCTCGACCGGCTTCATAGGCTCCCTATCCCCCAGAGGATCAAGTTTAAGATCTTCATCCTCATTTTTAAAGCCCTATATGATCTTGCTCCACCCCCACCTCTGTGACCTGCTAAAACTTTACCAATCTGCCCACACCCTGTGCTCGGCAGGCCCTACCCATCCCACCATCGGTGGTCGGGTCTTCAGCCTCCCTTGCCCCCACTCTCTGGAACTCCATCCCAGAGTGCCTTTGCCTCCCCCCTCCCCTCACCTCCTTCAAGCTCCATCTCAAGCTCTTCCTCTTTGACCACGCCTTCAGTCATCTTCCCACCTCCACTTCCAACATCTTGGCCCCCACCCCTTTCAAATTTAATCCCCAGCTCGGGTGCAAACCCTTGACTGTCCAGCGCAATGGAACATCCTTCTAATGTGAAAGATGCTATATAATTGCAATTTGTAGAGCCAGTCAATTTCTGCACCTTTACCAAACTCTCTTATTACCAGATAGCAGTCCTCTGTGGCTATGATCCGATAAGCAACCATGGCATTTAACACTGTAATTATACTCTGAACATTAGTGTAGAAACACATATCTAATGGCAAATAATTCTGAAACCAATAGTCAGCCTGGCTCAGGTATCATTTTTACCTCTGAGTCGGGTCTTAGAACTCACAGTCTAATCTGACAAACCAGTGCAGTTCTTCAGAGTTGAGAGAAGGCGATTCAGAGGGGATCTCATAGAGGTATATACGTTTCTAAATGCGATTGAAAAAGTAAACCCAGATTAATACTTCAGGATGCACCAAAATAAGAAAGGTGTGCTCATGAAAGGGAATGTGGCCAAGACTCCAGGTTTAGGGTTGTATTAATTAATGCATTATTTGGGAATGCAGTTTGAATAGCTTTAACTTATGCAAAGCTTTGAGGTCTCTTGAAATAACTCCCTGCCACCAAAATCATTGTACAATCCTACAAAAGTCATGTTCAAAGTCAATGCAGTATAAAGTCCCTTTGCCTCAGCCCCTCTCTTGTCTCCTTCAAGGCCCATCTCAAAACCTTCCTCCTAATCCCATCCCCCGGCTCGGGTGCACATCCTTGACTGTCCAGCACTTTGGGACATCCTCCCGACATGAAAGGCACTATAAAAATGTAATTTGTTGTTATAGTATTCCTATTGATGCCATGTTCAGTACAGCTGGACTAAGCAACAACTTAAGGTGCAGTTGCCTTAGCTGCAGTTGTACTAGCTGTGGCTCAAGCTCTATCCTGGCCATGCACATCCTGCCTGTACGTACCTGCACTGCGAGCGCTCTCAGCAACCTCAATCTGGTCGGTCATAGCTGTGCTGCTTAACGTACAGTTCATGTCTGCATCGTCGGTGTGGCTGAGATCTTTATAAGAGAGAAATGGCTGTTGACCCGACATTGCTGAGAGGAAACAGGTGGTATATGTACAAACACTCCACGCCTAATGAAATACGCCGTAGACCAGCAAAGATATTAGTACAGTACATCTCCTCAACGAAAGAAGAGCTGCATTGAGAAAGGAAGTGATTCAGGTGCCCTCTGATGGAGATGAAGTGTAAAAACACTTGTAAGTCACTGTTAGCTGAAGAGGCCAATAATGTCTATAAAATACTCTGTCACTGGGGTTATGAGGCGTTGGCAGGAGCACCTCCAATGTACAGTGTTTTCTCCATGGATACCCATATGCATTACGTGGGACTTCAGCTAAGATGAAATCTCAAAGTCTGAGCCAGCAACTTGCAAATCTATGTCATGCACAGAGGTTTTTGCCATACCCTTAATACCTTTACTGCCCAATTATCTGTCTACTTCTCGATTTTGCCTCTGTAGCTTTCTGAGCATTCCACATCATCAAAACCCTCTATGTGAAGAAAGAGTTCCTGAAATCTGTTTTGAAACATCTTGGTCCTGATTTTAAGACTACGCTCCTTGCGCTGGATCCCTCCACAAAGAGGAGGAGTCATCCACTGTCTAACCTCTCCATTTCTTTCATTATGTTAAATACCTCAATCAAATAACCTCTCTCCTCTGGGGGATAGAGCTCCAGACTACCCAGCCTTTCATTATAGCTAAATCCCTTCAGTCTAGGTATTAATCCAATGAAACATCATTGGACACCCTCCAAGGCTAGTATATCCATCGTATATCTCGGTATCCAAAACAACATCTTACATTTATGTAGTGCCCTTCATGCTGTAGAGTCTCGGAGAACTGAACAATGGAGAGTTTGAACTGAAACAGAACACAGTACTCGAAAATGAGATCAGACTAGCCCCCTTTATAATCTTTTACATTCCAGATCTTTTGAAACAAAATGACAGCTTTTTAAAATATATATTCGTTGAAGAATTTTCTTTCTGAAGCAAAGACACCGTATAAGGCCTAACATTTCACCTAGTCCCAGCCTGTAGGACCATTTTGTCTTAAAATGTAAGATTGCACAAAATTGACGGAAATACTTCAATTTAGTCTTATTTTGCAAGTCAATTTTCCACAGTTCTTAAAAAGCACTGCTTTCCAAATGAATTTAAACATTTTCTACAATTCCATGCAATCTTACATTTTACTAGGTGATATGACTTTGAACAGTTTGCTACAGAGTCGTTTCTTCTGTTCTAAAGAAAGACACCGTTCTTGTGCTGAATGTTTGTGTTTTCAGGCTGCTGTTAGTTTTACATTTAAGACAAGGTGGAATTTCAGGCCTATCGGGGTGAGATTCCACCTGGGACTAAATCTACTCTATTTGTGTAACATTTTAGAGTGTTCAGAATTTGACAAATTGCTGAATTCAGGCAAACAGTTGAGGCCTTTTTTTGCAATTCTTAAAAGAACTTACAGCAAAGCAGCTTCAAAATTATGGCTGCATTTCAGAATCTGGCAAATCCTCGGTACTATGAAATGCTATATAAATGCTGAGTTACAATCTACCTCTTCACCCATACAAATTGTCGCTTCTCCCTTGCTCATTATACAAATTTGTCTGATGTGTTCTGAAACGGTGTCTTACATAAAGGGAATTATATAAATACAACTTATTATTACCTTCACCTAAAAAATACCCAATCACTATACTTTACAGTATATCCTGTGAAACTCTTTGAGAATTCGCCCCTGAAGTGAAAGGCCTTTGCATATGAAATGCAAGGATTTTTTATTTCTTTAAATTTATTATTACTTTTGAGTAAATCCTTTTGAGTAAATCTAGACCAAGGTTTTTTTCCCATCAGTACTTGTTTCAGTGTTTTCCAGGTTATAACTCCGAATCAAGTGACAACTCAAGCTTTCACGGTTGACAACTTAAGTTGTCACTCCAAATCAAGTGACAACTATTCAAGGAAGATGGTGGATAAGAATCACAATGAATGAGCTAAGCAGCTTTTCCATTTTAGTGTCTTTCTACTACAAGCAGTAACATATAAAAGCATCAGTTTGAAGGATTTGAAACCATTCAGAAAAACAAAGAGGCTACTCTGTTCTGCTCACTGTGTATTTAATTAATTGCCGTTGTGGACTTTTAAATAGCCGCACTTTAACTCCAAGTATAAAGTATGGTGTAACATTAGCACAAGAGACATTATTCTTAAAATAGGTTAAGGAAGATTGGATAACTACCAGCAGATGGCAGCATCCTCTCCAATTAAGTGGTCTGTTCCTCAGTCCGAGCGCTCCCATTCTGTTTAAACTAAAGCAAGTTTATTTTGTAAATATTAAGCCTTACATCAGGCCTTTGCTTTTTTTGTAATATTTATTTTCCAACATTGATTTGCCTTGGAATATGGGGAAAGGACAGTATAAATGAGACTGAAAGGATCGCTCTTTAAAAGAGCCAGCATAGACAGGCTAAATGATCTTCTTCGGTGCTGTAAATTTCTATGGTTCTACGTGAGCTGGAATCTATGCTCTTCAAGGCCAAAATAGCTAACTTTTAGCAAAGGGTCTGGCGGCTTTGAGCCTTGCCTGCTCAATCTCTAATAGTTAATCTTTTGTGATGGTGGGCATAATAATAATAATCCTTGCATTTGATATAGCGCTTTTCACGTCGGGAGGACGTCCCAAAGCGCTTCCCAGGACACACTGTAAAGTGAATTGACTGTATATTTGTGGGCGAATGTGGCAGCCAATTGCGCACAGCAATATCCCACAAACAGTTGTAGATTGAAAATGACCAATTTATTATTGTTTTGTTTTTTNGGAGGGATTATTATTAGGCATGTGGAGTAAGGAAACTTGCCCAAGGTTTCGCCCTCTGCCTGGAATTGAACTCAGGTCTCTCGCTTGCAAAGCGAGTGCTCTAACCACTGAGCTACAGGACTCCATGATAATGCCCAACACTATGCACCAACCATACTTTATTTTTGTTAAAGTTATCCAGTTCCTCATGTGAGGAAGCAGTTCAGATGTATCAGGTGAATGTTAAAGATCTCATGGCATAATTCGAAAAGTGAAGAGTTTCTCCCCAACAATCCACCAGATAAAAATTGGTCAAACGTCATGGCTGTTTATGGGACATTATTGTGTGCAAACTGGCCTCACATTCGCCTACAAAATACAGTCTTTACAGTAAGTCCTGTGAAGATCTTTGAGACATGAAAGGCACTATATCAAATGGATCTCTGACATGAAAGGCATTATATCAAATGGAATAATTATTATTATTATAATGTTTATGGTGAAATAATCAGACACCTAGAATTATGTTATCTTCTGGTGAATATGAGAAATGGGTTATCAGCAGGGCAACTGTTTCAGCAAGTTCAAGAGAGAATTAGATAGTAACAGTAAATAATTCAATTAAGCGATAAGATAACTAAAGCCAAGATTACTTTTTTCTTTGGAACTGGCTAAATAAATAGCAACGATCTTTTAAGAGTGCTTTACATTCATATGTTTCTATTTGAAAATAACAAATAGGAAAACGAGAGGCTAAAATCATCCTTACCATCATGGAGGTTCGCTGTCCGTCCACTTGTGTGGATGTTACATTTTGCACATGTTAAAAATGCACGTGATACTGTTGTGTGCTCTAGTTTTTGCTCGTAAGACAGTTTTGTCTTAACATTCAAAATTGTGTTGAGTGGTGAAAAATATAGTTTAGAAACTGATTTTCCTCAGTTTTTAAAAAGAACCAATTTCCAAATTTAAAAAAATCCATATTACTGCCCGCACATAAATTTTACGATAAAGCTAAGACTGAGTGAAATTTGGAGTCTTTGTATGTTCAAAAGGAAAACCAATAAAAATACATTGTACAGGTAACATTACTTTCTTGTTAATACTGAATGTATTGCATATAGAAAAAACAAATTAAACAGGTACATATTTAACTGATTCACAAATCTATAACTGTTATACAGTATTCCTTATGAATCAAAGTTAGTTGCTGTAGAAAGGTTATGAAAATTCACAATATCCTCCAAATGTGGCTGTTTTTGTTGGCTGCCCCAGATCCCCATGAACTATTTAAAACAGGAACGATATATATTACAAGTCCTTGCAGTGATTGAAATGTTTTTGTTGCATTAACGTGAATCAATAAAATGTATTATTTCAAAACGCAGAAATGACTACAAAGCTTTCTTTGTTTCTGTCAGTTTCGAATGTCGGGAGCCTTCCTTGGACCCATCTCTACTCTCCAGCTATTGCCCTATCTCCAACCTCCCATTCCTCTCCACAGCACGGAAACAGCCCAGATCAAAGTCACTAATGACATTCTGAACATCTGTGACCACGGCTCTCTCTGCCTCCTTGTCCTCGTCGACCTCTCTGCTGCTTTCAATACTGTCGAACATTCTATCATCCTACAACACCTCTCCTCTCGGCTCAATCTTCACGGACCTGCCCTTGCCTGGTTCGAATCCTACCTTTCCCACCATCTCCACTTTGTCGCCACTAACGGCTTCTCCTCCAGCCCCCGCACCGTCACGTATGGCGTCCCTCAGGGCTCTGAGCTTTGCCCTCTCCTTTTCAATATATGTTCCCCCTTGGTTACATCATCTGCAGACACGGGGTCAATTTCCACATGTATGCAGATGACACCCAACTCTATCTTTCTGCCTCCAACTTTGATTCCAGGACCACTGCTGTCCTCACAGACTGCTTGTTGGACGTCAAGTCCTGGATGAGAGCTAACTTCCTGCAGTTGAATGTCAATAAGACCGAGGCTCTCCTGCTTGGCTCCCGTCAGTGCCTCCATGCCTCGGGCGCAGACAACATCTCCCTCCATGGATGCACTCTACATCTCACAGAGCCAATAAGAAACCTCGGCGTCCTGTTCGACTCCCAACTGACCTTCATACCCCACATCCATGCCATGACCTGCTCTGCTTTTGCCCACCTCCACATACAGTCGGCTCCTCTAATGTCTCACTCCGCAGGCTGCCGAGACCCTCATATATACACATTCATAACATCCAGGCTCAACTATGCAAACTACCTGCTTGTCGGCCTCCCCAACTCCTCTTTCCTTAGGCTGCACATCATCCAAAACTCTCCCACACCAGACTCCGTGTCCCTATCACCCCCATCCTCGCCCGACTCCACTGGCTTCCCATCACACAGAGAATACAGTTCAAGATCCTGGTCCTCAGCTTCAAAGCCTTCCAAGGCCTTGTTTCCCCCTACCTTTGCAAACTCCTAACCCCCTACTAACCTGCCCGCTCCCTCCACTCAGCCGGCTCCGGCCTGCTTCACGTACCATGCCTCGCTCGCCCCACCATTGGCGGGCGGACGGACCTTCTGCCACTTTGCCCCCACCCTCTGGAACTCCATCCCACAGTCCCTCTGCCTCACCCCCTCCCTTGCCTCCTTTAAGACCCAGCTCAAGACCCTCCTCTTCGATCATGCCTTCGGTTACCCTCCTTCACCCCCACCTTCCCCGATCCAGACCCCAGCTCGGGTCCGAAACACTGACCTTGGGACGTCCTCCTGACATGAAGGGTGCCATAAAATGTAATCTGTTGTTGTTGTCTCCTTATTTTGAACTCACCAAAAAGTAGAAACAGCATTTAAGAGAACAAAAGTCTCAGAAGAGACAGTAACAGAGAAAGTTAAAGAAACTCAGAGACACACAGAGGGAGAGAGACACACAGAGAGAGAGAGCCTGGCATAATGTGATGTCTCATGATCACCATGGAGAATACTTGCAAATATATTGTCACTGTTATAAGAGATTTTAATACAATATTGTTCTAACATTATATGAAATGTGATAGCTCTATAATGATTGCATTTTTTTTTACTTTCCTCCTCCTAAATATAACTATGGAAAATGAGGTGGGGGCAGATCTCCTTGTATTTGAAAGAAGACAGTAGGTTCAGATAGGTTTTGTTAGAATTTCTGCTGAACTCAAAATTATCGGGATTTATACATTTATCACAAAAGTTTTCCTTAACTTTTTCTAACCTGGGAAATATTCCAGAAACAAGGATACAGGAGACCAGTGGGGAGCCATTAGAAGTGCTGCCCAGCCCACATCATAATTACATAGAACGATACAGAATATTACAGCACGGAAACAGGCCATTTGGCTCTGCCGATTAATATAATCAACTGGCAAGGAAATGGTTCCAGTATTACATTTTCAGTCAGTGAGGTTATTTATTAATTATATTTCAATCAAAAACTCCTCTAGGTTAAGTCATAAAGTAAGTATTTTTCTGCTAGCCCTACACATACTTCTAAAGGTAATAATAACTTTGCACAGTGAAACAGAGATATATTTCAGTATGTCTGTACCACATGGAGAATGGAAGATACATTCCCTAGTAATTTCCTCCACGGAATCAAATGGGTTTTAAATGGGCTTTCAGATTTATAATACTCATAATCTGGGTAATATTGCACAGAATTACATAAAACTAAACAGAATGTTACAGCACGGAAACAGGCCATTTGACCAACTGGTCTTTACTCCGCATGAACCTCCTATCCCACTTCCATACCCTTATATTGCCTTCTCCCTCACATAAGCATTCAGTTTCCTCGTAAATATCTTGATGCTTTCTGCTTCAATTACGGCTTTAGGCACTGAGTTCTATATTTTCACCTGTGTAAAGAAGTTTCTCCCAAATTACCTTTTAGATGTGTTCCTGGCTACCTTATATTGATAGCCACTTGGTTTGGACTTGGAAACAACCTACTAAAGTCCATCATTCTGAGTCTTGAATTTTCCTGTGGTCTTAAGATTGTGCAGAATTTTGGAAAATTCTTAATTGCCGTCTTAATTTAGCTGAAAACTGACTTCCAAATTTAGCAATAGCAGCCTCCTGACTGATAAGTAAAAGTCTTTTTTTTGGCCTAGGAGAGCATGGATTTTGCCCTTTTCTACGTAGATAAACCCTAGAAAGTGAAATTAAAACAAACGTTTTACAACCCAATACAGGACCTAAAATTTACTAAATTAAAATTGTTGCCTCAGGGCTTTGTACAGAATAATAAAAAAAACTTTATAAAAACAATATGATGGTTCTCAGAGCAAACCATTTACCTGGAGGTGGGCAACACCTGCTGGTGCTATTGAAAGTCTTCCTTAAATAAGGAACTGAATACATTTAGGCATACAGGAAATTTTTACACATATACCATATACATTTGGAAAATGAATGATTCACTTTTCGCTAGTTCAAACAATCAGGCTCTGCCCTCCAAACAAATATTAAACAGTTAATTCTGAATTCAAACCATTAAAATTTCCTCACTTTTACCAGTGAAAATGTTTAAGAAGATGTAATCTTACTAGGCGGTAGAGGCTCATCGATCGTTGGGTAGCGGTTAGTGTCTTGTCTCAAAGTTGGCAGCTGAGATATTGACGGTGCACAACATGGCAAATGATTATCACCTACGAAAAGAAAGAGGTGTGGAAGAATAATTAATCTGGATCAGTGTTTTTCAATCTTGTTGCATTGTAGGAATAAGCTCCATCTCAGGTTGATAGCACTTCAACTATCATTAACATCACCTTTGTGACCAGTGTCAGAAGGATTTAGCGAGCAATTTAGAATCAACAACAATTTGCACAAATATAAGCGCCTTAGACATAATAATAACAATCATTCCATTTAGTATTGCGCATTTTACGTTACGAAAATGTCTACAACAGTTACTGGCATCCCAAACCTGTAGATATGAGGGACAATGAACATTTATACAGGGATGACTGGACTGTGTGCACGTCATACCTAAATCAATACTCATTATAAGCCTAAAACAGACAATGATTTTTTTCATAAATATTCTATTGACATTCCTGTCTATCCTCTTTGAGGGGGAGATATGTGGGGTCTCTTTGTTGCTGAACTGGCTCCTAGGTGACATGCCTGGCAATGCAATATCGGAATTGAGCCAGCCCTCTGTGGTGGGCTCAATAGTCCAGTTCCTGAGCCAGGTGGGTCCGCATTATTCCAGGGCACTGCTGATGACAGTACAGTCAGTCTGGCTGATCGGCAGGACCACGAAGGGCAAACCAGTCAATGGGGGTAGAGAGTCATCCCACTCAGCTCCGGTTAACCCTGCGAGCCAAATCCTTAGCGGGTAGGGTGGTCCTAGTTGGACAAGCAACGGGAAATCGCATCTCCATCACATCTCCTCCCCCATCTAACTTAGTGGGACCGCAATCAGATGGTTTGAATCCTACTTAACCAACCACTTCCTTTTCATCTCAACAAATGGTTTCTCCTCCCGGCCCCGCCCGGTCACCTGCCGGTTATCCCAGGGCTCCATCTTTGGCCCTCTTCTCTTCCTTATCTATACACTCCCTCTGGGTGATGTCATCTGCAGACATGGGGTAAACTTCCTCATGTATGTGGATGTCACAAAAATCTACTTTGTCTCCTCCAGTAACAACTCAGATCCGCCGATGTTCTATCAGCTTGTCTGGCAGACATCAAGGCCTGGATGAGTGTAAACTTCCTGCAGATAAATATGGACAAGATGGAAGCCATACTCCTTGGCTCCTGTCAACATCTTCACTCCTGTGGATCTAAACTCCTCAACCTCCCTGGGCTCTCCCTCAGACTCATCGAACCAGTGCGCAACCTAGGCATCCGGTTTGACCCCCAACTGTCCTTCCTTCCCAAATCCAGTCCCTGAGCAGGACCGCCTTCTTCCACCTCTGCCACATTGCCCGCCTCTGACCGTACCTTACCCCAAATGCAGCCAAAATCCTTGTGCATGCGTTTGTCACCTCCCGCTTTGATTACTCCAATATACTCCTCGCTGGTCTCCCGAGCTACAGATTTCACAAGCTTCAGCTCATTCAGAACTCTGCCGCCCACATACTGACCCAGACCAAACTCCATACCCACATCTCACCAGTTCTGGCCAAGGCTCCACTGGCTCCCCATCACCGAACGGATCGACTTCAAGATCTTGACTCTCGTGTTCAAATACATTCACTCCCTGGCACCTCCCTACCTCTCTGACCTCCTCACTCCCAAATCCACCACCCAGCACATCCGCTCGACTGGCACCAGCATTTTGCTCGTCCCTTGCACCCTCTGCCCACCATCGGAGGTCGCACTTTCAGCCACTAGGCCCTGAAACTCTGTAACATTCTCCCTCAATCCCGCCGCCTTGCACCCTCTCTCCCTTTTTCTGTCCCACCTGAAAACCTTCCTCTTCGACTGTGCTTATGGCTACCTCCCCCCCACTCTCGGCTCAGAGTCAGGCTCCGCCACTGTTAAGCACTTAGAGACACTACCCTGCATGGAGGGCGCTATATAAGTGCAAATTGTTGTTGTTAAAATTGGGAAATCAGTTAATTGAAGAATAGTTAAAATCCACATTATGGAATGATATATAATTTACCTCATGCTCGAATCATGATTTAGAAACCGTTGAAATGTACAGCGCAGAAAAAGGCTATTCAATCCATTGTGTCTGTGCTGGCTCGTTTAAAGAGCAATCCTTTTAGTCCCATTTACATGTCGTTTCTCCATTTTCTCCCCTGTAGTTGACTCCATTTAGATATCTATCTAGTTCCCTTTTCAAAGCTAATATGGATTCTGCTCAAATCCCACTCCTAGTAATGCATTCTATATCCTGATAACTCTGTATTTGAAAAAAAATTCTCCCAATATTCCCATTTGTTCGTTTGTTCAGGTGGATATTAAAGATTCCAATGCGCTATTCGAAAAGAGAAGGGAGTTTCTCTCAGTGACCTAGCAACAATCCCCAGTAACAATCGCCCAAATAAAATTGGTCACTCGATTCATTGCCGATTGTGGGACATTCCTGTGGCCAAAATTGGCTGCCGCATTAACCCACAAAACACACAGTCACTGCACTTTACGATATATTCTGTGAAGCGCTTTGGGATATCCTCCCAATTTGAAAAGCGTTATATCAAATGTAAGTATTTTATTATTATTAATAATTTGGGGAGTATCACCTGACACTGCATTCTCAACACGTAGCTGCACACTCTGAAAGACAATCTTTAAATGTTTTGCAATGAGACTTCACGAGATCTCACAATTCTTCCAGAAATCCAACAGCAAGCACCAACCTGATACACTGTCAAGTCATGGAGCTTAGTTTGATGGAGGAAACCAGCACAAGCTTGAAATAACAGAGGCTCCAGATATAACAGGTCATTGTGTTTTACTTTGCTTTTGTGATGTCTTTTCATCAGAGAGGCAGCTATTCTAAGCTACTCTTTCTGAATATATATTGTGCTCACCAGTTGTGACACAGCTGACATTCCATTTGGATACTGTTATTTTTACACCAGTCTACTTTAAGCCATTTATTTTTCAAATTGAAGACATTTCTTTCAAAGCAAACATATGTTGTCCGACACCATTGCATAATTCCCCAGAAAAACAGCAATGGAGATAACAGTTAATTTTTCTTTGGTCGGCTGGGAGATTGACACATGTACTTCACCATGCTTAAGAGTATCCAAAGCATTTGCCTACAAATACTGTCACTACACTTCCCAATAGATCCTATGAAGCACTTTGAAACATTTTGACGTGATAAGGCACAGCTGCAAAAGCCAATGCTTGGGACCTGAGAGTTTGCATTGGGATACTGCTTGGGTTTTAGTCAACTAAAAGCATGCAGCTTGCTATCGTGAACAATGACTGGCATTGTCTATCCAGCTAGGAACACTACCCATTCAGTCTTTCAGGGTTGATAGGAGCTGATGAGATGAATCGCTGAAATAGTGTCAGGTCTGTCCTCCAAGACCCACTGGTGGCTGGTCAGTCAGTAGTAGTGCTTTGGAATTCTGTGGACCTGCATTCCTCAGCAACCAGACTACCAAGACAGCTACAAAAGATTTGACTAAATTCTGATATTCCATAGCAAATCATGTACTTTGGAAGCAGCTTAGACCCAAAGAGACTGCTTATCTCCCACAAGGATAACCAGAGTGTCTGTGGACTGAGGATGAGAATGCGATGGAGCTTTGCTATGATTCCTAAGAGGCAAAAAGCATATCAGGCGCACTCACCATTTTTTGCGTATTTCATCGAAAGTCCCTAGTAGATCTATCAGGCAAGACTTGTCTAATAAATCCATGCTGACTGTCTTTAATCAACCCATGTCGTTCCAAGTGGTTATCAATATTATCCTGTATTGTAGCCTCCAAAGCTTTGCCCACTATGACTGGTCTATAATTACTTGGCTGGTCATATTTGCCCTTTATAAACAGGTGTTACATTAGCTGCCCTCCAGGTTCCTGGCACAACTTTGACTCCAAGGATGTTCGAAAAATTGTACTCAAAGCAACTACTATTTCCTCTCTAACTTTCCTCAACATTTTCAGATGCAGGCCATCGTGCCCTGGTGACTTGTCCTTTTTTGGGTTCCATCAATTTCTAATTACTGCACAGCCACCTCTTGTACACTCAATAACAACAACAACAAGATTACATTTGTAAAGCACCTTTCACGTCGGGTAGACGTCCCAAGGTGCTGGACAGAGTATAGCATTTCAGACTCGAGTTGGGGTCGGGGTGGGGGAAGAGAGGGGAGTTGAAGAGACATGGCAGATGGCAATGTCTACTCTGTTAAAACTGGGGTGAAATACTCATTATGTATCTCTGCCATACTTTCATTTTCTACGACTAGATTTTCCTTTTTTGTTTCTAATTGGCCCTAACTTTTCTTTAACTATTCTTTAACTTTTTATGTGTTTATAAAATCCTTTAGTATTTGTCTTTATGTTCCCTGTCAGTCTTTTCTCGTATCCCCTCTTGGCTTGTTAAATCTCTGTTTTTTGCTTTCTTTTTATACTTTCAACATGCTGCCTGTGTTTTTTTGTGTTATTATCTTTCCATTTATTGTGCGCTTCTCTTTTATATTTTATTTTCATTTTAATTTGTCAACTCATCCAATAAACTCTAGCGTTAGCAGTGCTCCCTTTATTAATTGTAGGTATATGCCTATTTTGTACCTTGTTTATATTGGCTATGAAAGTTTCCCACTGCTCATTTACTATCTTATCTGCCAGCTTTTCCACCCAATTGATCTGTGGTATTATAATAATCCTTGCATTTGATATAGCGCTTTTCACGTCGGGAGGACGTCCCAAAGCGCTTCACAGAACACACTGTAAAGTGAATTGACTGTATATTTATGGGCGAACACGGCAGCCAATTGCACACAGCAATGTCCCACAAACAGTCATATGGATTGAAAATGACCAATTTATTATTGTTTTTTTTTGGAGGGATTATTATTAGGTGTGTGGAGTAAGGAAACTTGCCCAAGGTTTCGCCCTCTGCCTGGAATTGAACTCAGGTCTCTCACTTGCAAAGCGAGTGCTCTAACCTCTGAGCTACAGGACTCCATTACTTTCTTATCTCTCATGAAACATGTTTCAGTTAACACCAGTGTCAACACATCATAGCTTGTGATTTCACCCCGTTAATGTGAACCAGTTTGAACTGAGACAAACAGTTTGGCTTTACTCAAAATGAAGGGAAATGTTGTTTGCTCTGTAGATCTAAAAAAATGTGCAGTAGGACTATGCTGCCGACTGCATGACCTGTGTAAGAATGAAGAGAAAAATTTTCCAGCATAGTTTAAAATGTTACACTCCAAGGGAAATCCTTTCCCTTTTTATATTGAAGGAATTAGTTTTACTCAGCACTCTTGGGACAAGATTTGGTTCCTGTTGTATCATTTTTAAATCCCATTACTGTCAAATATGGATCGCTTCAGCCGGCATAGGGAAATGTTTACCCATGGGTCTAAGCTAGGTTTGAAGCTAGTTTCAAGAGGTGAAAGGGAGGGGACTGTGCCAACCCATCCAATCCCATCTGAACGGTTCTTTTTTCCTCCTTCTGAATGTATTTCCCTCAAACTAATCCCATCCGGTTGCTTTAACATACTGGCACTGTACATAGGAAATCTCTTTTATTTTGGTCAGCCGGGCTTGTGGTGACTGTTTTTGTTGGCAAACATCAAGATCCCAGAATCATACAAGGGAGGAAATAATAACAATGCTTGCATTTAATATAGTAGCTTATCACATCTTCGAGACGTCTCAAAGCGCTTCACACAATTTTACTGTAAAGTGAATTGAGTGTATATGTGTGGGCGAAACATGGCAGCCAATTGCACACAGCAGTGTCCCACAAACAGTCATGGATTGATGACCAATTAATTTGTAGCATTGTGGGTTAAAATACCGGAAGAAACTCCCCTCTTTTTTTGAACAGTGCCATGGCATCCTTAACGTCTAAAGCATCTCTTTAATGTGGGTTTCAAGGGGGAAGTAGACAGATATATGAAAGTCAGAGGCTTGAACCGGTATGGAGATAAGGCAGGGCAGTGGAATTGCAAGAACACCTTGTTCTGAGAGCCGATGCAGACTTGATAGGCTCCTTCCACGCTGTAAATTTCTATGATTTTATATTGTCTCACATAAAGGTTGGAACTTCTAGCAATGCAATGCTCCCTGAGTACTAAACTAGAATATCATATTAAACTATAACCTCAAATCCTGATTTAGTCTTGAACCCAATGCTACCAACTCAGTCATACTGACACTGCTATTTTGTAATTTTCTTGTCGTATTCACAACACTAAGGAAGTGTAGAAATGTAAATGCTTACCCCCACTTCAAAATCCTGTAGAATGAACAGGTTAATGTATAGATTTGTTCCGCTAACCTTCTATCCTGCTCCTTTGCCCTGCAGAAGCCTCTTCAGTTCCCATTGCTGTCTCTGGAGATGTTTCTTCAGTTGTAGATTCTTCTGGCCACTGGATGGTGCTGTCCGCTTGCTCTCTGTCATTGAGTTCAGGGCTGTGTGTTGAGTCTGGCGCTGACTCAAACGCACTGTTTTCATCTTCTTCTTCTTGTGAAGAGAAGACTATACTTTCAGACAGTCTGGCACTGTCAATTGAAGAGAACCTGGTGTGGTTTGAGGAGTAGCAGGTTGTACTGTCATAACAGGAAGTGCTTTGACAAGAGGTGCTGTAGCAAGACGTACTATAACAAGAAGTGCTATAACAGGAAGTTCTGTAACATGATGCATCACAGACATCCCATTCGTTATTTACCTGTGGCCTGGAACTTGCGTCGCTCTCACTTTGATTTCTTTGTTGATCATTTTGTAATATCTGATTTAACTCAGAAAGATGTTCAACTGAGGCACTGCGCGGCAGCATCCTCCGACCTCCACTGCTGGGGTCCATCGAGACATCATCAGATGGCAGATCTGCCGTGTCTCTTTCACTAGTGTTATTCTCTTCTTCTGTTTCTTTTTCCAATGGCTCGTGAGGAAATTCTTTACCTTGCTCCTCCTGTGCGTCATCATCTAGCTGAGCAGAAGGCAAGCTGTGGAGCAGACGGTGCAGTGTAATATAGTGGGTCCGAGGGGTTTCTGGCTCACCTGAACCACAAGCTGAGGCAATCACAGACTCCAGCTCCGACACTGGCAGTGAGCACGGCCTTGTTTTCCTCTTCACTGCCGTCCTCAATCTTAATGTGTTGTTTTCGTGCTGAGGTGAATCTCCACTGCTTTCAGCACCAGGTTCAATGCCTTCCGCTCCGCAGGCAAGTTCAGCAAAATTCTCAACAATACCTTCATCATCAGCAACCAATTGATGAGATCCCACATCTTCTTCAACAAAAATGTTGTCCTGTACTCCTTCAGTCTCTGAACTGAGATTGAAAGGGACATCTGGTTGAGGAGGTGATTCATCAGAAAGGGATGGCTCAGCTTCATTGGGTGCAGATTCCTCAAGATCCAGTGAAGCTGTTGCTACAGGACACTCCTCTTCGGGCTCATTGACTCCATTCTCAGTAGGAATGGTTTGGTTCAGTTCAGCGGGTGGTGAGGCTGCAGCTGGGATACTCACAGTCACTGTATTTACATCACTGTCCGGGCTCCTCACATCAACGCCATTCATGTTACTCCCGTTCAGCTCGATCTCTGTTGTTGGGGGCTCTGATGCGTGAAGACTCTGGGGGTCACAGCAGGTCTGCTCCGTCACATCAGCCGTCTGATTTTCCTGATATTCAACGGATTCCAATTCATTATTAGTCGAGACATCTTCATCATCTGAAAAAGTGTCAGAAATGATGAGTTACTAACCCAAAGCAGCTCAACAAGAAGGGTGCCATGTACACATCATATGCTCACTAGGTCAGTTTAATTTATTTTAAAGTTGTTTGTGAACTCCTATTTAAATAATAATTATAATCCTTACATTTGATATAGCATCTTTCACATCAGGAGGGCGTCTCAAGGTACTTCACAGGATATATTGTAAAGTGGAGTAACCATGTGTTTTTTGGGTAAACGCAGAAACCAATTTGCAAACAGCAATAATATTAATTCTTACATTTAATATAGAGCCCTATCACGTCTCCAAGATGTCTCAAAGCGCTTCACAGAATATACTGTAAAGTAAAACTTGTGGAGTAAGGAAACTTGTCCAACGTTTTGCCCTGCCAGTAATTGAACCCAAGTACTCTCGCTTGCGAGGCGAGTGGTCTAACCACTGAGCTACATGACTCTAGGTTCGATGTCCCACAAACAGCCATGAAGTGAGTGACCAATTTTATTTGGGGGATTATTGGCCAGGACACTGGGAGAAACTCTGTTTTCTTTTCGAAGTGCCATGCGATCTTTAACATCTACCTGAACAGGTAGTTGGGCCTTGTTTTATTATCTAATCTGAAGGACGGACAGAACCTCTAACAATACAGAACATGCCCAGTAGTACATTGGAGTGTCAGCTTAGACTATATGATTTCCAAGTCCCAATGTCTTGAGAACCACAATCGTCTGACTCAGATAATAATGGTACCAACTGAGCTAGGTTGATATGCAATGTCTAAATGAATGTAAGTTCATTCTGTTATCCATAAGCATCCATTATCTGGAACACTTATATTTGATATAGTATATTTCACGTCAGGAGAAGCCCTCAAAGCACTTTGCAAGATAAACTGTAAAGTGCAATGACTATCTTGTAGGTAAATGCAGCAGTGAATTTGACAGCGATGTCCCAAAACCCAATGTATTTTATTTTATTAAAAGGCGGTTTCTATTTAGGAATATGTTTTACTTGACAATTCCCTAATTGGTAAGGTGGTTCTAACTGGATAAGCAGCAGGAAAGATTGCCAGGCACTGCTCCCAAAGGCAAGCTATGTGATTTTAGCTGGTTAGACTCCAGCAGTACTCCAACACACACTCTGGGTCCCCAAACCTTGGCTCTTGCCAAAATGCACCAGATACTTTGCGGAATTAGGTAAGCAGGATGCGGCCCTCCAGGGAGAGAGTGCACATTCCATTCGAACAAATATCTCTGGGATTTCCATGTGTAGGTGGGATGCATGGAAATCTCAGTTTGGTTTGGATACTCTTAAGCCTAGTGATTGGTTTCCGCATGTGTCAGACAGCTGACTGACCAAAACAAAGAAGAGTCAAAGTTTGCATGTGTGATTAGTTGAGCTCAGGCTGCTTGTGAATCACTTTGGATATAAATCTGATTAAAAACAAAATGTAACTCCTTTCCTTTGCCCTATGTCTATGCACGAACGTTAGAGAAGGTGCACGCCAAATGCTTCCTCAAGTTTTGTTGTTCGATATACTTGTCAAGGATAGAGCAAAAGTTCAGAGTGTAATTTACTGTATTATTTAAAAGAGCAAGGCATTTACAAAATAATTTAAATATGTGGAGATAAGTATATTTCTTGGGAGTGAGGAATATATACCCAGTCTTTGTTTTCTGGAGCAATTTTTCAACAATGCTTCTACAGTGACAAGTCATTAATCTCCTTGCTGCCCTTGAGTGAATGTGGTGCATTGCTACAGGAATTCTATCATTTCAGCTATGTTGTATCTTGCAAAGGCCTTTTGGTCTGCGGATGTTTGTATTCAACAATCTGTGAAAACATCTGAGAGCATATACAACAGGATGAGCCTGATTCATATAGCAATGTGGTAGGAGGAGGAGAATTCAATTGTGGTGGATAATCAAGGTTCAACTCCAATCGACACTTTTTATTTCTGTGTATGCAGTGCAGTTGTGGGAGAATAGAACCCGTCATCGGATTTGCATCTCATTTAAATAACAAGTTAAAAAAAAGTACACAATCCTGATTTGGGAGGAACATCTAAGCTTTTGCAGAGCGTCACAGTATTTTATTAACTAATATTTACTTCAATCACACTCAGACTATCTTACTGCAATAACATCTAACATAAAACTGTATATAATATGCACTGTCAAACTATCCAACCTGAATACAATCTAGCAGTACAGTGCGTCTTGTTTATACACTATCACAGTACCTTACTTCAATAACATTCAAGATCAATCACACGCTGTCACAGTATCTCACTTTAATAATATTTAATATTGTACTGCATATTAATTATCAACTATAATCTGTTATGGTATCTCCTACAGCAATATCTAACAACACAAATGTTAGTGCTATACTGGTGCAGTATTGTATTGTGATAACATTCAACATCAATCACACGTTGCCACAGGATCACTTCCAGCATCACGCTGCACATCATCCACACAATGCGGCATTCACTATCTTACTTCAATAACATCTGCCAGCACACGTCATATTAATTATACACTGCCACACAATCTAGTGTAATAACATCCAACACCACACTGCAGATGTCTGATACTCTGTTACTGTGTCTTACTGCAATGACATTTCTCATCAATCACACAGTCAGAGTATATTACTCCAACATCTAACAACACACACGTTAATGATCTACTGTTACTATATCTTACTGCATTGACACCTGACATAATTGCGCCTCAATCACTCACTGTCATAGCCTCTTTGCAGTATTTATTTTGCAGGATACATCAGAGCAAGTTTAAAGAGAACCAGCTCTGAGGTAGCCTGAGGCTGGGATGCCTCCTGCTTTGCTCTTTGGGATGCAATCCAAAGCACCAGAAGCAATATTAAAACGACTGCGCATGTCAAATGTGGAAGTAACTGTAACTGGGTCTAGTGCCAACACTGCATATTTGTTTATACTGTAGCACTGCAGGCAAAGGCACGTCTCTTGTCAGCAGCAGGGCTGCAGTATAAACACAGTTTTACTGGAGTAGCAGGTGAACATTCACTGCATATCAATCACACACTCTCACACTACCTTCCTGGAATAGCATCAACATGACAATACATATCAATTATACGCTACTACTTGTCAGCTCATATGCATGAGTAGTTGAAATTCCATTGAAAAAGGCTTGGAGTGGGGAAATGAGGTGTAAATGCATTGTGTGTGTGTGTATATATATATAAACGAAAGGCCAGCAACTGTGAACTGATAATGGAAGATCTATGGTTCACTAATACATCAATAAAAATGAAGAAATTGTATCTAGGAGACTTTTAGGAACTATCAAATTTACAAAACTTATAAGTTTAGTCAAGCATGATTGCATGCCAAATTTGCCTAAATTTGCCAAATCTCACCATTCTGGCAAATTTATTTCCGCCCTTCCAATGATTTGATTCCTAGACACCATCTGAGTCAGTGTCACCCATTCATCAGCTTGTTTGAAAATAACAGAGAACAGTGGCGAGGAGGTGGAACACAATCTCGTCAAACATTCTGATCAAAAATTCTTTGTTGAATAATACATCAAAGTTTTCTTTTGCTTAAATTGAAAATAAATCGTATTAAAACACTTCCTCCAAAATAACACTGGGACATTTTATAATCTCTTCCTTCAGCATCCTGCTGGCAAGAATAAATAGATTAGGCCCTAATCTCAAAAGTTTCTTTCAGATTTATATATATATAAAAATATACTTGTATATAATAATCCTTGCATTTGATATAATGCCTTATCACATCTTCGAGACATTTCAAAGCGCTTCACAGAATATACTGTAAAGTGAATTGATTCTGTAGTTTGTGGGTGAAACGCGGCAGCCAATTGAGCATAGCAATGTCCCACAAACAGTTGTGGATTGAGTGACCAAATTATTATTATTTTTTTTGGAGGAGGGATTATTCCCCCCAGAAAAGTGATCCACCAATCGACTAACAACTTGGGTTCCTACTTACTGCTAGGCAAACAGAGACATGTGGAGTAAGGAAACCTAACGTTTCACCCCACCCGGGAATAGAACACACGTCCTCTCACTTGTGAGGGGAGTGCTCTAACCAATATGCTACAGGATTACGGAATATCTACATATCAACATGATAACAAACAACAGAACCTTGATGGATTGAAGATGTGATCTCAAATCGGAACTGCAGCTGTCCACTGACATGGTCTGTCGGGAGCCGTCGGCCCAGGGTATAGCTCACCACTCTGTCCCTGAATGAAAAGCAAACATGATCACATGACTTTTCCCGTATGAATAAAACATCAACACTGATATCCTGTTATGCTACACTAGCTCCAAACTGGGCTGCAGGTTTATCATGATTCCAAGGGCACAGCAGAGAAACAGAGTGTGCTGATGCAGATCAATTCTGTGCCTCTGTTAACAGCAATATTCTAATGCACAAAGTGATTCAGCTCCCGTGACAGCTTTGCAGTGATTGATAGTTACCCAATTAGAAAACGGGCTGGTATCCCACGTAATGATTCTTCTGGGATGGATTCTCTGCTCTGCAGGTGGAGGAGAAACTCTTGACACAAGCTTTTCATTGTTCTCACTGCATTTAAACCCATAAGCTGTTTGCCCAGTGAACTGTATACATTCAAAAGCAATTTTTCACTTCTAGTCTTAATTCTGTCTCTGATAGCACTGCCATTAAAATGAAAACATTCAGCACTTGAACACCTGTCCAGTTGCTAGCACTCTTGTCACGAGATTGAGTTAAACATCATAATGTTCCAAAGTTAACTATTGTTACGTACAATGATTGTATGTATAGTCTTCTGTGGCATCTATTTGTGCCCCAGCAAAGTTCTACATGAGCTGAACCCTCTTTGGTGAGGGAGGTCAGTGGGTTTCCCTGGAGCTGAGTTGGTACAAGTGATCATAGAATCATAGAATTATACTGCACAGAAGGAGGCCATTCGGCCCATCATGTCTGTGCCAGCTCTTGGAAAAGAGCTATCCAAATCAATCCCAATCCCCCGCTCTCTCCCCATAGCCCTGCAAACTTGTCCTCCTCAAATAGTTATCTGGATGTGCTTGGTAAAGGAATGTTGGAATCATTTGAATCCTACGTGGCAATCACAATAGTTTCCTGAGCCAGGTGGGTCAGATACCAGATAATTAATAAATAATAATAATAATAATAATAATCCTTGCATTTGATATAGCGCTTTTCATGTCTTCTAGACCTCGCAAAGCGCTTCACAAAATATAATGTGAATATAAAGTGAATTGACTGTATATTTTGTGAGCAATTTCAGCTATACTAGTGATTGCGCAGCATATTTAAAAGGAAAATAATGCTATTTGCAGGTCACCGTTCCTTTTTTAGAATGACTGCTGACTCTACATTTATAAAACCCTGACATAGTGCCTTTTCTGCACTTTATAGTAACCTGCAGGGTGTTATTTTCTCCTCAGGATATGCTGACATTTTCATGGCCAATAAATCTCCATTTATGGTATAACCAGGATATACTCGGTAAAATGATCAATGTCATATAAGAAGTTAGTTTCTAATCAGTGAAGAACAGATTAAAATCTCTACATATTAACATGATCAGCATTAAAGTCACTTCCTGAAACAAAACACAAGCTACGTTTTACACGGGTCATGGCTGCGATTTAGATTTTGAGTCATATCAAAAAGGGTGACTTGTGCCAATCTGACAATTCCTTTCAAGACATGAGGGGGGTTTGTAAATCAGCTGCTACATAACTTCATACAGATGCTATGCATTCCATCAAAAGAACATTTAAATTGCATGCAAATAAAAATGAAAGCAATGCACTCTGCACAAATGACAATTTACACATTAAGTATTAGTTCAGCATTGAGATAATTGCTAAAGTTGTGGAAAAATCAATCTTTCAATATTCTCCGTCTTTTTCTGTGTTTATACACAGTAGAATTTTAAGCCAGCTGTTGGTTCTTCACACTTAATGTATAATATGCTTATTGTGGATGAAGCATGGATCTGTCTCATGGATATTCAGTGTGTCACAATGAGGTCTGTCGAAGTACAGATTGAGGATATCCAATTTGACGCAAGACATTAAATGCAGCACAGAAAAATGTAAGACTTTTTTCAGAAAAAGCCTAAAGGAAACAATCTTTTGGAATTCATTAAATATTTCTCAGCTAGTGACCTTAAATATGTTTCCATAAACTGGTGATAATATGGAGTATACAGCCACGTCAGAAGTATTTTGTGAAGTAGATTTGTGTATTGGAATATTCTTTCCCCACCTCACAGAATTGTTGTCCATTAATATTTCTGTACCAACAAATGTTAATATAGCAACACATAGTATCAATATCAATGATTAGCAATGTCATGCAAGAACATATATGGCCATCAGAACAAAAAAACATACAAAGACTTACCCTATCGCATGCCTTTCCAATAATCTCTGCACTGGCGTTGAAAGCTTTCCTAAAAAACGCTTAATAATGGGTCGACTCTTTGCAAACTTGTCCTTCACCTCAATTTCAAGCACATCCGTAGGGAGAGAAACAAAGCTGTGCTGCTGCAGAGAAGGGAAAGGAAGATCCTTGTGTAAACTGTAAGGCACTTGAATAACTAGTGAACATGTGTATGCAGAAATTAATTTGAATTATGCCGTTTTATAGGATCCTATGAGAAGTACATTGGGTTCCTAAACATACAGCAGAACATCACAAGGGGTGGAAACAGAAAAATAACAGATTTTCTAAATTAACTAGTTACATTTCTGGAAAGTAAAATGAGTCAAGGTTATTAGATGGTGAGTTGTACTGAAGGAATAGAACCGTAAAAAATCACATAAATTGGATAGAGGGCCACCAGCCAGAAACAAGCCATTTGACCCAACTAATCTGTTCCAAGGTTTTTCTCTACATGAACCCCCAACACTTCTGTTCCCCTTACTCACAACCCTCTATTCCCTTCTCAAGTTTGAAACATTTCCTATTAACTATTAAACTCTATTTTTACCTATTAATTTCCTTTCCATTGTTGTCTTTGTTGCACGTCCTCACTTGACCAGGAGGAGGAGGTGATGTGAGCAATGAACAGCTCCACCACGAATGTGAGCACTTCTTCGTGATCAGTTGGCTTGAGCCGCCAGTGAAGTAGGGCAAGAGCGTTGTAATTAAAGAGAATACGCTGATGTAACATGCAGAGTTGGGACACAGTCATTACTATTTGCTTGGCTGGGAAGAAGGTCAGCCACTTCAGCGGATCGGTCATCCATACACAGGCCACAATTTCTGCAAGTCAAGAAACCATTTGCTCAAAGCTAAAATTAGCCATGTGTGAGTGGTCTCTTAATGGCATTAATATCACTGCATAGAGTCAGAATTGCTAAGATTCTTTAATTATTTACCAAACTAAACTCCGCACCCCCATCACACGAGTTCAAGCCAAGTTCCACTGGCTCCCTATTGCCAAACAGATCAATTTCAAGATCCTCATGCTCGTTTTCAAAGCCCTTCATGCCCTGGCACCTCTCTACCTCTCCGAACTGCTTACCCCAACCCACAACCCACTGCCACTGCTCAACTGGCTCCAGCCTTCTACATGTCCCTCGTGCCCTCCGTTCCACCATTGGTGACCACATTTTCAGCCATTGCACCCTGAAACTCTGGAACACTTCTCCTCTATCCCGCCACCTTGTTCCTTCCTTCCCCATCTTTAGGTCGCACCTGAAAACCTTCCTATTTGATCGTGCCTACTGTCCCTCCCCTGCTCGGAGTCGTGCTCCGCCACTGTCAAGCACTCTGGGACGCTACCCTGTGTGAGGGGCTCTATATAAATGCAAGTTGTTGTTGTTATCTACAAAATAGGACCATCGGGTGTTTTAATATTTATAAGAAAAAAAATTGGGTAACAACAATTAAATTACTAATTTCTATAGCGCCTTTCATATTGGGAGGACGTCCCAAGGTGCTGGACAGTCAGAGTTTCCGACGCGAGCTAGAGTTCGGGATTGGGGAGGGTGAAGGGCAGGGGGTGAAGCAGGATGATCGAAAGCACAGTTGAAGATGAGGGTCTTGAGATGGGTCTTGCAGATGGCAAGGGAGCGGGCGACGCGGAGGAACCGCGGGCTGGAGTTCCAGAGGGTGGGGGTAGAGTGGTAGAAGGCCCATTGCCAATGATGGGGCAGGCAAGGTGGGGAACATGAAGCAGGACACAGCCCGCTGAGCGGAGAGAGTGAGCAGGATGGTAGAGGGTTAGGAGGTCGCAGAGGTAGGGGGGAACAGGACCATGGAGGGCTTTGAAGGTAAGGACAAGATCTGGAACTGTGTCCTATGTACGGTGGGAAGCCAGTGGAATCTGCAGGAGAGGTCACGGGCTGCAGAGTTCTGGATGATCTGCAGCCTATGGAGGGAGGAGTTGGGGAGGCCAACAAGCAAGGAGTTTGCATAGTCAAGCCTTAATTTAATGAATGCGTGTATGAAGGTTTCAGCAGCCTGCGGTTTGAGGCAGTGGCGGACCTGGGGCGATATGGCGGAGGTGGGGTAAGGCAGAGCGGGTCATGACAAGATGTGGGGTAGAAAGGATAATTGAGAGTCAAACAAGACCCCACGGTTCCGAACTGACTTAGCAAGGTGGAGTGAGCAACCATGGATGGTGATGCTGTCACCGCCTGAAGTATGGAGGCGCTGATGAGAGCCAATCAAGAAAGCCTCAGTCTTGTTCACGTTCAATGTTCAACGTTCAAGATGAAAGTTAGCTCTCATCCAGGACTTGATGTCATTAATGACATTCTGAATATCTGTGATCAGGGCTCCCTCTGTCTCCTTGTCCTCTTCGACCTCTCTGTCGCCTTCGACACTGTCAACCACTCCATTCTCATACACCGCCTATCCGCTTTACTGAATCTTTGCTGATCCTGCCCTTGCCTGGTTCGATTCCTATCTCTCTCACCGTCTCTACTTTGTTGCCTCTAACAGTTTCTCCTCCAGCCCCCACACTGTCACGTCTGGCGTCCCCCAGGGCTCTGTCCTTGGCCCTCTCCTCTTTAATATCTATATGCTCCCCCTTGGTGACATCATCCGCAGACATGGGGTCAACTTCCATATGTATGCGGATGACAGCCAACTCTATCTTTCTGCATCCACCCTCACATACAAAGCCCTCCATGGCCTTGCTCCACGCAACCTCTGGCTCTGGCCTGCTCCACATCCCCCGACCCACCCGCCCCAACATTGGCGGGAGAGCCTTCAGCCACTCTGCCCCCAACCTCTGGAATTCCATCCCCCAGTCACTCCGCCTCGCCCCCTCCTTAGCCTCCTTCAAGCCTCGCCTCAAGACCCTCCTCTTCGACCATGCTATCGCTCACCCCCTTTCCCTCCCCTCCCTTCTCCCCCCCTGACCCAACTCGGGTCTGAAATGCTGTACAATATCCAGCAACTTGGGATGTCCTCCCAATGTGAAAGGAGCTATACAAATGTAATCTTGTTGTTGTTGTGAGGAACGCCACACGAGACTGTGCAGGGGCTAGAGGAGAAACCGTTTGTGGAGATGAAGTGGAGGCAGTGTGAGAAATATGATCTGAACCAGGTACGATCTCGTACCCTAGGACAGAGCCGTGAAGTTTGGGGTGAGAGGAGAGACAGTGGATGAGGATAGAGTGGTCGACAGTGTCGAAGGCAGCAGAGAGTTCAAGGACGACGAGGAAGCAGAGGGAGCCCTGGTCGCAGATGGACAGAATGTCATTTGTCACTTTGACCAGGGCTGTTTCTGTGCTGTGGGCGGCATGGAAACCCGATTGGAGGGGTTCACGAAGGGAGTGGCGAGAGAGGAAGGAGCGAAGCTGGGAAGCAACAACTCGTTCCAGGACCTTGGAAAGGAAAGGGAGGTTGGAGATGGGCGGTAGTTTGAAAGCAGAGATGGTCCAGGGAAGGTTTCTTAAGGATAGAAGTGATAACGGCGCTTTTCAATGGGGTGGGAACAGTACCAGTGTGAGGCTTATGATGTCTGTGAGTAGAGGGGCAAGGAGGTGGAGCTAGGAGGTAAGGAGAGGGGTAGAGATGGGGTTGAGGGAGCAGGTGGTCAGTTTCATGCAGGTTATAGTGGTGATGAGAGAAGAGGGGGAGACAGGTTTGAAGGTGTGGAGGTGGTTTGGGTGGCAGTGGGGAGAGGGATTGAGGAGATGAAGTGATGGTCTGAGATCATTTGTCGATGATGGTGAGGTCCGAGACGCGAGACCCTGAGTGATCACCGAGTGGTCGAGGGGGTGACCGCGAACATGGGTGGTGGAGTGGATGTGGAGCGGTTGATAAGGGAGAAGTCAGCAGAGGTAGAGCAGGAGGGGTGAAGTGAAGGTTGAATTCGCCTAGGATGAGGAAGCGTTCGGAGCAGAGGGAGAGGGAAGACAGGAGGGTGGAGATGTCGGGAATGAAAGTGGGGGAGGGCTTGGATGGGCGATAGATAAGGAGAATTTTGAGGGAAAGGTTGGAGGGGTGATAAAGGGTAAGGTGCTCAAAGGAGGGGAAGATTCCAGAGGAGTAAGGGGATAGGCCGAGCGGGGACTGGGGAGATAAGAGCCACACCAGCACCATGACGGTGCCCATACCCAGTAAAATAATGTTTAGCTACCCTGACTGAGCTGAATTACTGTCTCTCAAAATGATATTATGCTGTTTTGTCTAGTAAAGTTAATCAATATACCACATCGTCATAATCTAAGGAATTATTAATCATAAACCTTACATTTGATGCAGAGCATTATCATAGCGATGAAATGCTTCACAAGATCAATTGTAAACTGTAGTGCTTATGTATGTGTAGATGAAAGTGGCAACCAATTTGCACCCAATGCTCTACAAACAGCATGAAATGAAAGACCAATTTTATTTGGGGAATTATTACCCTGATAAAATTGGTCACTCACTTCATGGCTATTTGTGGACATATGCTGCTGCCTGCTGCATTCAGCTCCAAATGCACAGTGGCTACACCTAAAAAAACAGTTGCAACACTTTATATTAAATCCAGTAAATTAAAAATATAACATACATATACTATATATTATACTAAATAATATATAAAATTATTATTAAATAATAATACTTTATATTAAATTCACTTTGAGACATTTCTACAATATGATAAGGCACATATTAAAGCAAGGACTATTAGCATTAATGGATTTATCTGTTTTAAGCACACATTGTCAAAGTAGCTAAATTTAGCAATGTCAGCTTGACTTAGCACTCATTTCTGAACCAGAAGGTTAAAGGTTCAAGCGCGCCATTGTACCTAAAACTCAGTCCAGACTGACACTGAGGAAGCACTTCAGTGTCAGGAGTGCTGGTCCCACTCAAAGAGTTGATTGGAATTTATTGTCACAAGTGACCATTGAGGCTCGATCAATGGAATCATTCAGAAGGGAACTAGATAGAACATCTAAGCAGTATTAACATTAGGGAAAAAGGAGAAATAATTGAAAAATTAGATTAAAAATAATATATTTAGTAATACACATAGCTGTGGCACAGGATCAATAGGCCATAGGGCCTCCCTCTGTGCTAAAACTTCTGT